GGAAGGACGACAGCCTGGGAGGGTTTTTTTGTATTTGAATGAGAGAGGAGGAGTGAAACTGTTTAGTGACCACATGAGTTCTGGAAAATTTAATTCAAAGTTAAATTTTTCACACGTTTGTTGAAAGTCAACCACGGAGGATTATTTTGTTAACTTTCGATTAATGAAATAATGAATTGACGGATCTCGGCGAGTGCCGTTTCCTTTAGGGGTGAGTCGCAAACCTCAACAGTAAGAAGCAGAAAACGAGCAAGGAGTCGGCTGGACAACTCACGAAACTACGCCGAAGGGTCTAAAGAAGCAAACTGAGGAAAAGAGAAGCTGAACATCCAGCTGATCACACAGACTATATCTGATAGTCGATAGATAGTTGTGTTAAATGATACCAGAAGATGGGAACCAACGGAAAGCCAAGCTTGTGGTGATAAACTTGTAAAAGTGACGAACATGCCTGAGACCGCAGAAGAAGGTGAGCGGCTGTTAAAATCTCGCATTGACGTGTGGAGGCGCGTAAGGGGAAAGAGCAGTGCTCTTCTCTTTCTTTCGGTGTGTTGCTTGCGTGTTTGGCTGCAAGCAAAACCATACAAATAGCAATTGTTGACCGTGATAAGGTTGCTAAAAGTATCGAATGAAGTACTGGTTTGGCTGGAGACTCATCGACATCGCTTCTCGATGCTGGGCTGTTTCGGTCGATACCTTAAAAGGTATTGTTACTCGATACCCATCCCTAATCACGAGACAGTTATTTTTTTTTTATATTGTAAAGTGGTTTTAAATACCAGATATTTTACTCTTGTTATTTTAACACAGTACGCAGAATATTTAATCATAAACATTCACCATGAGCAGAGCAGGTCGGCATGTTTAGTGGCTGCAACTGACGAGAGTGAACTCTTTGCGTGATGATTAAAAAACACCTGGAGCAACGTCAGACATTTAATTTACTTAGTGTTGTAGTACTCGAGACCACTTTTAGATGGTCTTGGTCTCGTTTAGGACTCAACCGTATTTGTATTTGGTCTTGTCTTGGTCTCAGACTTGGGATTTTAATAAAAAAATTCCCATTAACGCCTGTCACCCCTCACTGCGATGGCGATGCTTACATGATTTCTGATTTCAGTGTTTGTATGTGGGTGTTTTAATGGGAATGTGGATCTTTCTAATCAATTTGGGAAGTACGGATGATCTCGTTCTACATTTTATTGTGATGTCATGTAATGTGGGGAACTGGTCTTGGTATTGACTCTGTCTTGCCCTCCCTCGGTCTTGGACTCAACTTGGTCTCAGCCCCTAAAAGTCTTGGTCTTGTCTCAGCCTTGATAAACTCTGGTCTTGGTCTTGACTCTGTCTTGCCCTCCCTCGGTCTTGGACTCAACTTGGTCTCAGCCCCTAAAAGTCTTGGTCTTGTCTCAGCCTTGATAAACTCTGGTCTTGGTCTTGACTCTGTCTTGCCCTCCCTCGGTCTTGGACTCAACTTGGTCTCAGCCCCTAAAAGTCTTGGTCTTGTCTCAGCCTTGATAAACTCTGGTCTTGGTCTTGACTCTGTCTTGCCCTCCCTCGGTCTTGGACTCAACTTGGTCTCAGCCCCTAAAAGTCTTGGTCTTGTCTCAGCCTTGATAAACTCTGGTCTTGGTCTTGACTCGATCAAACCCTCCCTCGGTCTTGGTCTTGACTTGGTCTCAGCCCCTAAAAGTCTTGGTCTTGGCTCAGCCTTGATGAACTCTGGTCTTGGTCTTGACTGTGTCTCACCCTCCCTTGGTCTTGGTCTCTGCCCCTAAAAGTCTTGGTCTTGTCTCGGTCTTGATAAACTCTGGTCTTGGTCTTGACTCGATCAAACCCTCCCTCGGTCTTGGTCTTGACTTGGTCTCAGCCCCTAAAAGTCTTGGTCTTGGCTCAGCCTTGATGAACTCTGGTCTTGGTCTTGACTGTGTCTCACCCTCCCTTGGTCTTGGTCTCTGCCCCTAAAAGTCTTGGTCTTGTCTCGGTCTTGATAAACTCTGGTCTTGGTCTTGACTACAACACTAAATTTATTGTACTTACTGACATTTCGACGATATACATAAGTCTATACAGTCAGTGTATGTGTGTGTGTGTGTGTGGTATTAATGGAGGAACTGAACACTTATTTCACTTCAAACCTGGACCCCTCAGTGGTTTTTGTCCACGTGAATCACATTGATGGACAAACTACAAGCAGAAAAGCTAAAGTTGGTTTCCTCTCTGAAAAGGTAGGTGCAGCTTTTCTGTCTGGTCTGGGGGATTGAAGGGGTCCCCGGGGGTTGCAGTCTTCTTGGATTTGCCAGCTGTCATTAACACTGAACAGTGCTTGGTCTAATCCTGCATCCAGACCAGCCAAGAACAGGACAGAAGCAGGAAACAGCAGGAACCACTGAACAGAACCCGGAAGGTTAATGCTGCAAAGCTTCCTTTTAATCTTACTTGGCTGCTGGACAACAAGAAGCTTCAGAATAATTTTTTGACTCTTTATTTCCAAAACACAGCCATTTAGGTTTTTCCCCTGCACCTTGTTTAGGTTTTGCCCTGCACCTTGCTCTCCGTGCGCCCCTGGTACTCCCGGTCACGTTTTTGCCCCGCAGCCTTACCTACCTGAGATTTGTTTGGGTTGGATTCTTGCCCAGGTTAGTGCTTGTGTAGCCGTCAGCCCGTGTCTGTGTGTTTTCACGTGTTATAAAACTGTAAAAGAGAGTCTTAAAAACAATTAACTGGCCGCCTGAATGTTTGTATTGGACCACTAGGTGTTTTAAGGTGGTAATCCTCATTATATTTGCTGCAAACTGTAGTTTATTAAAGATGCTGTATCAGACAAACAAGTGACATCCGCATCCCTTCACCTCTTAGGATCCTGGTTTTACTTTATATCCAAGATGTCTGAACGTCCAGGTCATAGTTGTCCATAGGTTAAAATCAAGGGCAACTGGACTCGAGTAACTTCAACCAAGTCCAGTTGCCCTTGATTTTAACCTTCCTTGATCCCGCTCAGTTTGGATGCATATCATATGAATGTGTTTCCTGTCTTTCACTCTGGATTTCCTGTTGATCTACAACAGTATTTGTGCTAATCTCACAACCAGAAGTTTGGTTTCATGGGTAATTCTGATAGCGGAGAGTCGTGCAAACTTCCGTCTGCAGTGTTGCTAGTTTATCATGATTTGTTGTTGAGATGACTGGATCTTTATTAACTTTTAAACATTTACTATCGTCGTATTTTTCAGCTGACGCGTGAAGCACTTCTTTATCTGCAACAGCTGATAACTAAAACTGCAGCCATGGAACAGCGTCTGTCTCAGCAGCATGTCATGTGCCTCACTTCATATGTTTAGGCGTTTTCTTTTTTGGAAGCCTTTAACGAACACCATTTCCCATGAGCCTTAGACCTTTGCATGCTAAATGTCAGACTGTAATAACAGCAGGACAGAGAGGACTGGGAGCGCTGGATATTATGATATCATGTTAATGGGTTAAAACCAAAAGATGTAAACTATATAATAAATATAAATTATGTGTTGCGGCTGCTGTAGTGGAGCTGATTTAGACGCTTGTGGGACAGAACAGGAAGTGATGCTCAAGACCATAGACTGTATAAAACGAGTGGACGTAGCTGGCGTGATGTCACCCACTGCTGTTTCGACTACCATTTGGCATTTTGGATGTGCCAAGCGGATGTGACCATATTAGGATGAGAGTCTGGAGCTAGCTAGCTTGGTTAGCAACTGGAATGCAAATTTTGGCGAGTGACAAACAGGCTTAAAACAAAATGTACTTCATGGGTAAAATGAACAGCCGACTCCTCATAAGCTTTTTCTGCGGCGCTGGTTAAATGTACACAGAGCAGCGGATACGAGTCACCTCTGTCCTGCCATGCTAGAGACTTGTCAATCAGCTTGTAGCCCCCTTGTAGCTTTCTGGTCTATGCTCCTCTAACTGGGACCATAATTTACTGAATGAACATCATGCTGTGTTGAAAAAGACTTGAAACTAGCGACTGAGACCATAAACTCATCAGGAAAGTGTTTGCTGAGGGAATAATTAGAAACAAGTAGAAACATTTTCTCATAGACTTACATAAAATCACACTTCTTTTCGCTCCCTGCTGGCCGTTAGAGAAAATGCAGGTTGCAGGCAATTTTAAAAAGTGCTTCACTTTTCAGACCTCGAGGTTCCTGCTTGGCTTTGACTCAGGAGTCCTCTGGACTTCTTCTTCTTCTAACTAGGAGCTACTTTAAGTCATAAGGTGTTCTGTGAATATACGCAGGAAAATAATATATATGGGCCCTAGTTTAAGTGTGGTTAGTGCTGTTTAGTGCTTCTTTGTGTTGCAGAGGAAGGAGTCTGTGTTTGGAAAGAGACATGAGAGTGTCGTCTGTTGAATTACACCCTGTGATCTGAAACTATAAGGTTTCGTGTTTGATCCGAGCGGCAGTATGAATTCAAAACGTCCAACAGAGAGACCTGCTTTGTTTGCTGAAAATCTAAAGCAGAACACCAAACAAAACGTCTCCTCAAGTGTAAAATAAATATGTAAAAGATGTGTCTGAAGCTTCATCCTCGGAGGAGCTGAACGTCGGCTGCTTATTAACTCTGTGGTGCAGAAGAGACAGTTTCATTATTTAAGGATGCGTCTGAATGGAAAAACAGGAACAGCGATCATCTTTTTCAGCTCAGGCTCAGACACGACGTGCATCACAAAGGACTTCAGTTTAAGTGAAAGCAATAAAGATACAAACACACCCGGTCTCCAGATACCATCACATGTAGATTATGTATAATCTGCTCCGTGTGATTTCCCTGCCGAGATGATTCTCTTTTGTATTCCAACTCATTTGCAGGTCTTCTGTGATATCTTCTCTCTGAATCTCTTCACTTCACACAAAGACACAGTGGAGTCTCGTCCCAGTACACGTTCAGAGTTGCTGTAGCTGCACTTTCATTTTCACAGCTGCTCCATTTGTCTCTTTCTTTTGTCTTATTTTTTTTTATAGATACAAAGACAGTTATTCCCTCCCGGGGCTGGCCAGTTAAGAAAATATCAGATTGGACGTCACCTGAGAATACTACACAAGGTAAGAGAGCGGGCTCGTTGTTCTGGTTAAATCCCACATGTGCAATCGTGAGTGACTGCTGGAGACAAGATCTTGCACACTCAGCAAGGCGTATAACATAACAGCTGAATAAGGATATTGTTTTATCAGATGACGCAGAGGACCGTTTGAGATTAAATCCAAACCTAAAAAAAACAAACACCTGTGCTCGCCGTTATTGTCCTGCCATCGTTTCATTTAGGCAAATTGCACTGGCCGTAATCCCTCCTGCCAGTCTGAACCCAAATAGGTTTAAAGCCGCTGTGTGTTTTAAACAGACGCAGGGCTGAACTGTTTTGGAGCAGAAACCGCCGTCGACAGGTAAACACCAGGATTTGTCCGGAGTCCACGTCTCCTCTCCGGGTGATTAGTGTCCTCCTCTGTGATCCTCTTTTGAGGTCTGAACCGCCGCCGAGCTGCGAGGGAGAACCCAAGACGTCTGACATTCAGTGGAACCAAAACACGCCGCCGTGTTGTTCTAGTAGCCGCCCACGTCGTCCACCTAAAACAAATTGTCCTCTGTGCTTTGTCGGTTCATGAACCGCTGAGACGTTAAACCCGTGAAAAGGCAGAAAAGTTTGCTACAGCTGAAGAGGCGAAGACTGTAAAAGAAAAAGAACTGGAGCTGTTTGAAAGCAGCAGTTTGGATCCAACATTTACCAGATAAAAACATCAGTAGCACTTAATGTCATTTCTTAGTAGTTTCCTGGACGGTAACATGTAAGGTGGTGCACTTCTAATTAAGTAATTCCAATTAATTGCTGGTGTTTAAAACTAGTATAACCTTGAATCATACAGTCAGTGCACAATAACACATGAAAAGATAAATATGTGTTTGGGTTAAATGGAGCAGCTGTTTTTCTATTTTCCAGGAAGTAACAGACCTGTAAAACAAAGCGTTATGAGGCAGTTGTTAAGGTTTCTTTGAATAATTATTCTTCCTTAATTTTTCCCTCTTAAATTTTGTGAGGATCACTATTTAAAGATTTAAAGGGAACAGTTTGACATTTTGGGAAACACTGATTAGGCGTGTGCGATACAGACGACAAAAAATTACATCTGGACATTCTGGCGTCATTCAAAAATAAAAGTCTGATATTGTTAGATATAGTAAATTAGGATAGTAAATTGTTGCTTACTAATGACTTTAATGGAAAGGTCCTTACTTACAACTGAAGCATACAAGTAAAAACAACATAAAAATACTCATAAGTGTGTAATATTTCTGAGGATCTATTGACGGAAATGCAATATAAGATCCCATTATGACCTTACATAATAAATATCTATCTACATAACCGCGGCACCCCCTTCTATGGATGTCGCCACGTTCCGTCATCATGTTTCTACAGCAGCTGAAAACGGCGCTGCAGAGCGCCTTTCGTCACTACGTTCTTCTTGTTATACTTCTGGTAGAATTCAGGCAGTGCACTCATCACTGTGTTGAATACGTACGTTAGAAGAAGAAGTAGTAATAAAATACTGCAGGGGACGGCAAGTAAGTTTTGCATCGGAGCAACATTTTTAACTATTAGATAGTGGCTGAGAATATAAGCTGTAATATTGAGATGCATCAACATGTTGTTCGGTTAGCTCAGTTGATGAGGTGAAGGACTCGCAACCCAAGGGGTTGAGTGTTTGATCCCATCTTGGGAAAACTTTATTTTTCTCTCTTCCACAAATGGATTCTGCAGCGAATGTTTCTCAGGTCACGGCATGCGCTGCACTGTTTTTGTTTCGGTGTTTGATCCACATCCATCAGGCAGAGGACATTTAGGGGAATCACGTTCTCTGACTGCAGACTCTGAAAATTCTGAATGACATTAAAAAAGTTAAAAGCTCAGTTCTACTCCAAATACTGCATTACAGTAAACAAGCTTCTCGCGCTTTTATTTTGTAGGCAAAACCACTAAAGAGGAAGTGATTATGTGAGTAACTGTTGCTGTCATGACAGCAGTGCTGAAATAGATCTCAATCAACGTATTTATTTATTTATATTTTTTGTTGCAGCGGGCCAGGTATTATTGTTGGCGGGCAGTTTTGGCGAGGATCCATAATCACAGAGAGAATGAACGTGTTTCCCTTGTCAATGTTTGTATAAACTTTATTTAATGTGTGGTTCATGATGGACTGTGGTGCAGAAACAGTGACAGTGTTTCACACTCTTGGATTAGTATTTCCATGTTATCTGTCAGAGGCAAAGTCACAATAACATCTGGTTTTACTGAATAATTAAATAAATATAATTTCTTAATAAATATACCTAAAGAAACCTCATTTCTTGACTGGCCACTCTCTGCTGTCTCAGAAGAGACACTTTTTGTGCTGTGTCAGCCACCGTAGCTGTCCCGCGCTCTTTGAAAGGTTAGGGGGGCAGTGGTAGACTGGACAGATGGTTGCAATTCACAGCCCTCACCACTAGATGCCACTAAATCTCACACACTGAACCTTTCTGTTAAGTCCAGTGTGTGTGTGTGTGTAGTATGAAGGACTACAAACTTTTGCAACCCTGTGTTTTATAATGACAAACAACCTTTTAACCTTGAATTCGTCGGCTTGTTAAACTCTAACACACGTGTACTGCATGGCGCAGTGACTGGGCGGACGAGGCGTTTTTGACATAGCCTACTCGATAACGTCTGCTCACACATCGTTAAATCAACAATTTTTTATTGTAGATGCACACCGCTAAATCTGAAACACTTTCTCAGGCTTGATATGACTCTCATGACTATAGGCTACGTACGGGAGGCCTTTAGCCTAGCTTGATATAAACACACCTACCCAAGGCTCATTGATATAATCTTAGTTTAATCCGTACATGAACAGAAATGAAAAACAAGATGTTCAGTGTCCACTTTATTAGGTTTACCTGTGCAGTCTAATGCAAAACAACTGTAGTAAGAAATTAATCTGTGATCTCTAAGCCAATGTTACTGGTAAACTGACTTTGATGTGTAGTCGTTGGCGTGCTTCTTTAAAATCGGATCTTTTTCCCCGCAGACTCGATGAAACAGGACGCCGCCGCAGGAACTCGGGACTCGTCAAGGCCTCACAGTTAAAAATCCAAAACGCTGCTGAGCTGAAGAGGCTTCAGGACAAACTCCTCAGAGCTCTGAGCTTCGTATCAAAGGACAATCTCCTTCCAGGGGGAAACTGACATTTAGGCCGCTTTGAAAACTGTCGGATAGCCGTCGTCTGCAGCCACAAGCAGCGTGACGGCGAAGAGGAGCTCAGTGGACGAGTCTGCAGCAGCGATCAGGTGTCGGCTAATGATCGACTCTGACTGTTTTTGTACCCGTCTGCTGATTGTTTGTGTTTCTGTAGTAAATAGGTTGGTCGTTGTTAAAAATACACACAGGATCTGATGTGAAGTGATGAGGAGATCATTTTAAAGCTCAAATTTGGAAATGGAAAAAGGAATTCGCATCAGGGAGCCTCAGCGCTGGCGTCACACGTCATAATTTTCCAATAAGGTTTGACAGCTTATCAATACAAACGTTCTTCGTTTTCGCTTCTGACCCCCTTAAAATCGAGCTTTATTTACTCGAGGCCGCTCAGTGGTCTCAAGTTTATGTTGTATGTATTTAGATATGGTCAGAGCAGCCAAAAGGTGATTTTTCCTTCTCTTATTGTTTGGCCCAACAACTTTTCCATTTTCAACAACTCCCCAGGTTTATCATTGGGAACTGGTAATCTAAAAATAGAATGAGGAGCATTAACAATCATTAAAAATCAGCATGCTATGGACAACATTTAATTGTAAATAAGAACCGAGAGTCTGCAGCCATGCTAGCAGCTCTGTGCAGCTGTGCTTAGGGGCTTTGGGCTAAATGCTAACGTCTGCATGCTAAGATGCTCACGATGCTGATTTTACGTAGCTACAACCCACAGACTGTATAAAAGAAGTGAACGTAGGCACCATGACGTCACCCGTTGGTTTGTCAACATCTTGGGTTTTTTTGGACAAGATGTTACCATATTTGGAAGAGAGGGTGGAGCTAGCTAGCTTGTAGCCCCGCCCTAAAGCCTCCCCTTCTTCCTGGTCTCTGTTCCTCTAAATGGGACCATAATTTACTAAATGAACATCATGCTGTGTTGAAGAAGACTTGAAACTAGCGACTGAGACCATAAACTCATCAGGAAAGTGTTTACTGAGGGAATAAATCAGCTGACAAGTAGAAACATTTTCTCAGAGACTTCTATACAATCAGTTTTTTTTGGCAGCCAGTGGCGTCGCCCCCTGCTGGCTTTTAAAGAGAATGCAGGTTTAAGGCTTCACTTTCCAGACCTGGAGGTTCCCGCTAGGGATGCACCGAATGTTCGGGCACTGAAATGAATCAGCTGAAAATAGCAAAACAATTGCACTTTCGGTGTTCGGCCTAATAGGTTCAAAGACTGATTAAATTTTACAGAACAATTACGTTGACATGTCGGCAGTTTGGAATCATTTTAAAGTGTCCGAGCTGTTTGCAGACGCCGTTCTGCTGAATTGTCTCCCAGCACATCCACTCCATCTGTGGCTGACTTCTTACTACTTCTTGTTTCTGTCACTCGTCTGTGAGAAGGCGATTAAGCTAGCCGCACCGACATTTGGAGTGCACACTCATTCAAGCCTTTACGGTAAGTGAAACGGCCCAGAGCGAGCCGACAGGCAGGTTAGAGACTTTATCCTTTCAGTTTGTCTCTTTACAAAGACAAGTGCTGTAGTATGAGACTCCTGCCTGACGAGAGGCTGTGAAGTCTTCATGTTACGCCGTCCGAGAACCACATAAAACATTATTTATCAAACCGGGTCGGACTGGATGAATTTAGCGCGAGGAGGAAACACATGTGACAACATCCGGTTTTCAAAATAAGGCATCTGTACAGGATGGAAATAAGATTAATTGGATTATATTCACAGAAAGTATAAAACATATTACATGTTTCTATTAAAAGTAAATAGACGCATGTAATTTACTTTGCCGGACCCTCTCATGTTTATTATTTTTTAATCACACCTCCAGCTCTAGTTGCTTCTCTTTTTAAACCATGTGACGTCTCCCTTTTCAAAAACAAACCGCATCACCGTTTTGAGAGCTGGAAGATCTTCATCGTATTCTTTTGTACAGTTAATGTAAATAGATGATCACTGTTGTTTTCTTTGAGTCAACACATCTGCGGATGTTTATTGTTGTGTTTGAGGGGAAGAAACCCACCAAACTGTAACGTGTCTTGTTTAAAAAGTGTTAAATGGTCATTTAGTTGAAAATACAAACTATGAACTCGAATGAGAGACTTGATTTTTCTTAATTCCTTTAAGAAGCTGTTTTGCAGATATATTCAGGTTTTTGGTTTGACAGCAGCATCAGAAGTCAAAGAAAGAGCGGAGAGGTGAGTGAAACATGGAATGCATTTATTCATCTGTTAGAGAGATCAGCGTTAGAAAAATGACAAGAAGGCAGTGTTTCCCGAGGAATGATTGTAATGAGTGGGGAGAGAAAACAGATCGTAGCAGATGCAGATGACACCCTCTTGTACATTTGAGGACATATTTCAAGGTCATCACTCTGGTACTGAAACCAACACTGGAGGTCTTAATCGTGATCCCTTTACACTCAGCCTTTAAACAGATAGGAAAACAGCTCGTCTCACCTGCTTCTGTATGTTTCTTGATGAGATATTTATGTCTAAGCTGCATGTATTAAACTTTGTAGGTCTCAAATTAGGTTTAAAGGGTAACTTCTGTATTTTCGGTTCAGAGATGGACCTTTTTTTTAAAAAAAGCGTGAGATCCTTTTTGTTTAACCAGGAACAGTCCCTAGATCGACTCCCTTGACACAAACAGTTATTTTATACCTGTGGTCTTCCGCTACCTGTGTTATTGTGTGGCTTTAAAGGGTTAAAAACACCAAAGTCACACAATAACATAAACTAACTAACCGGCCAAGACAGCAGTAGACAAATAACTCCTGTGTTCTGTGAGGTATAATTACTGTTTTTATCAATGGAGTCTGGTGGCTTTGATGAGAGCGATTATAACCTCTGTTTCTGGTTTACAAAAAGGGTCTTAAGTCAAAAAAAATAAAATAAAGGTTTATTCTGTAGGGATCCTTCCCATAATGTTGCCAGAAACTTGTAATAACAATCCGAGCCTGTCAGTGGCAAAAACAAATAGAGAAAAAGGTCCAGATGAGGCGCAAAATACCCAAGTCACCCTTTAAAAAACAGTTGAAATCCTCGAATGTGTAACTCTGAAGTTTTACGAGGCTGTTTCTTTATTTGCTGTACTGCAGGGATCTGATGTTACAGGTACCATCAAGTAAAGCAGGAAACGGCTAAACTAAAGAAAAACCAGCACTAAGTCAATGAAGTCGTTTCATCTGGAGGTGAGAAAATACACCTTTTTAAAATCAGAATGAAGCGGTGAAAGCTGTTTACACATGTTGGCAGCTGTCAGAAGTGAAAGAACACAGAGAGAGAGCGAGCGCGATATCAGCAGTTTGAAATCTCTCTTAATACCAGCAGAAAATTAGTTCTACAGTTAAAAGATCCGATTTTGTCTGTCTGACGTTTGGTCACCTGTCTGATCTCTTCAGCTGCAGCACTGCTATTCATTTTTATAGTGTATAAGCGCTGATGTCTGGGCATCAAGGTTAAAACGATTTGGTTTTTCAAACTGTAGCTTCAACACAATTTCCGACTAGATAACAACATGGAGTTACTTCACATTGATATTCAGTCTGATACACAGTCAATGCACAAGTTAAAAGAAAACTTCCTCGTCTCACCTGCTTCTATGCGTTTGCTGAAGCCATTTCGGTCGACATCTTTATGTCCAAGCTTCTTGTAATTGTTTACGTGAATGTCATGGCTGCATGTATTAAACTTTGTAGCTCTCTGTGTATTTGGAACTTGAACTAGGCTTAAAGAGTAACTATTATTGTATTTTTGGTTCAGAGATAGATCTTTTTTGTTGTTGTTGAAAGAGTAAGATATTTCTTGCTTGCTTCATCGCTCTCGACAAAAACGCCACTCCCTTGACAGAAATAGTCATTTTACTTCTCTGGCCTGCCGCCGCCTCGATCAGTTAGTTTGTGTTATTGTGTGACTTTGGTGTTTTTATCCCTTTTAAAACGACGTCACACAATAACACAAACAAACTGACTGACCCAGGCAGCAGTAGACGAGCAACTTCTGCGTTCTGCGAGGTAAAATTGCAGTTTTTATCAATGGAGTCTGGTGACTGACGAGAGCGATACAGCGGCTTTTTTTCGTTCTTTTGCAGGGATCCGGAAGAGTAAACAATCGTCAAAGTTGAACTTGAAACACCTGACCAATAAGGCTCAGAGGTTGTGATTTGCATGTTAAAAAACACCTAGATTTTGGTGTAGAATTCGTGTAAATCTAGTTGGAAAAGTGAATTTCTACAAACTTCGGCAGTAATATATAGTTGTTGTAATATGTTTAAACAGCAGTTACTTCGCCCACATGTCCAGACATCTTTTACCGCATCGAACAGCCTGCTTCCTTGCATGTTAATGCCGTTTTGTAAAAGGGGATCAGGTACTTTGCAGCAAGACAGATCTTCATGCTTTCAGACAATCTTAAGTGACCTTTTTTGCTGTGCGGAGAGAAGAGCGTAAAAAGGAAAAGAAAGCTCAGGAACAGACTTGGCGACCTCGGGTGAAAAGAGGAAGGTGTAACGTCGCAGCAGATTGTCTTTAAATCTTTGATGTACCCGTCGGAGGCGGCTCGTTCCATCTCTCAGCTTTAGTTTGATTTATTGCTTCACGTGACAATCTCACGTACCCGAGCCACTGAAGTAGAAACAGTTCTTTCAAATATAAACTCCTACATTCCAGTTGGAAAGGTCGCTGTATAGAAAATATTCAGTGTCGTACCGGTGCAGCGTTAACGTCGTGCTCGACAGCTTCTCACACAGCAGGAAAACATCCAAAACATTTCTGCAATCAAATGATATTTTTAATTTAAACAGCCAGATGGAGTGATTTATATTTTCAGGACGTCGTCACTGAAAAGCGTGAAACTGCCTTGGGAATCACTGCATTGGCAAATTATATTTCCTTGTGTAAAAAGATCAGATTAGACTAAATATGGTTTGAATGTATTTTTCTTTTTTCTTGCAGCGCTGATCTGGCCTCAAACAGCCCGCGGGGAGTTGCATCTCAGCATTTGCATAATCATTTCACATTTTTCTGCTTTGCTTGATGAACGCAGAGAGAAACTAATCACGGAGCTGAATTACTGCTCTGGCCAAAAAAAAAAATTAAAAAATCTAAACAAAAACAACCCAACGAGGGTTCAAAGTTAGAGCGATGTTTGGTCTCACTCTCAAAGGTTTTTTGGACCTTTTTCTCATTAGCTTTACACATTAAATCACACACAAGAAAAAGAGGAATCACAACATGAAAGAATCAACGAGGTCTCAAGTTACATTCGGCTGGAAAGACAAAAGGTAAAATAAAAAAAAAGTATTAGCAAATATTTGACTTAATTTAGAGCGCAGTCTGGAGGAATCACCTTGACGGCTCCTTGTGCAAGTGTTGTTTAAGAACCACGTGAAGACGATGTAAACAGCAGGTTTAAGTCAGAGAGGGATCACCAGCTAGCTGTTAAAGATGGAAGAGACACACCGGTGAGACTTCAGTGTAATAATCAGGAATGCATACTTAGAAAAGGAATTAAGTTTTCTTGTTTAGGGAGGCAGCTTTGAACAAAAAAAGTCCTACTTCTGGCTAATAAACCCTGTTAAAGTAGCGTTAAGGCCTCGTAGTTAGACTTGCAGAAATGTTACAGAAAAACAACCAGATGTGATAATTTAGTATGATTTTTCTGCATAGGGTTCAACGCGAAGCTTCCCTGCCCCCCTTCGAAGGAACTGAAAGCCTGCAAGAACAACAACGGCAACAGAAGAAAACCAAAAGGACAGTTGAGAACAAAAAAACCAAAACAAAAGTCGCTGTTCACTTGAATGCCAGTCAGAACCTGGTGCAGTGCGCTCGGACGCCATCTGTGTTAGGTAGCTGGTGCATTTGTCCCTTTGTTTGCAGTGAGGAGCCGCGGGCCGCGTCACTTGAACATGCTCTGCAGCATGGCCGTGGCGTAGGTGGGTCGCGCCTGCCGGTTCTCGATGGCGCTGCGGAGGTACTGGATCCCGCCGCAGCGCTCCCAGATCTCCTCGAACTGCCGGGGAAGGATCTCGGCGCCCCTCTTCCTGGACAGGCCCGTCTCCTCCAGACTCAGCTCGCACATCTCCATGTCGTCCTTTCCTGAAAGATGAACGTTTGATTCAGGTTTATCCTCCTAAAACCAGCCTTTAACATTTACTTTAGACGGATCCTGACCAATCAGAGAACCGTCAGAATTAGATTACAACGAAGCCGAGCAGTTATTTCAGTTTGAACTGTACTGGAGCAACGGCCCATTGAACTCTCCAGTACGCTCTGTGCGGTAAATGTAATGTTTAGCATGTTAGCAGGCTAGCATGCTGAAGTTAGTTGCATTTAGGCCACCGTCCAAAATGATGATTTTGCTTCAATCTGTCAATTTTTAGATTTCAACTTATTTGACAACTGCCACACTTTAATAAAATGTGGATTTGTTTTGGAATAATATATATAAACCATACAAACTGTCAACAGTAGATAGTGTAAATTTCATCTTTGTTACCATTTTCCTTATAAAAGTTAGACTTGTCTTTTTAAAGGGGCTATATGTAAGTTTTTCAATGAAATTAATCAAATTGTCAGTGGCCTCAAAACTCACTTAGAAATGAAGCACACGGCTGTTTTCTCGGTTGCTCGCCTCAGCCACTATTCTGCTTTTAATGTGAGGTCTCCGGGTCGGATTCAGCCCTGTGCGCAGTGTGTAGCTCGTGCTACAGCGACAACACGGCAGCTAACGACATGCAGTTTAATAACACCACGAAACAACCGGCTCACAGCAAAACACAGGCTCCACGTAAGGATACAAAACAACAACAAAGGTTTATGTGCTGAAGCCCATTAGACCAAACGGGCTCAGATGATGTTGAGTAAGAACAAAGTGAGCATTAGTAAAGCTGGAGAAACACGGAGAAAGTCTGCCTCTGAAACGTTGAAGTAATAGATCCTGAACATGTCTGTGAGAAGCCGCAGCCTGCATGCTGGTGTTCCTGCGTTTATTGCAGGATTTCTGTATGAAAGCGGTTGTGTTTCGGGTTACACTCGCTCATGAGTTCAAGCGAGCACGCATACGAGCACACGCCTGGTAGCAATCTTAGAACCGCACCGCTAGTGGCCGCTGAAAACTACATAATGCCCCTTTTAAAACTCTCCATATTTAATCATACATCATTTGAAAGGCCCCAATTTTTACTTCATGTATTACAACATTAAATTTTTTAATGACTAACCTAAAGTGTAGTGTAGCATAGTGAGATACTGACATTTAGGATGTTAGCGTGCTAATGTGCTAAAGCTAGCTTACAAAAGGTTACATATTTAGCATTGCACAAAAGTTAAAGCAGATTATTTACCAAGTTAATTGCGTTATTACTGTAAATAAAGTTATCTTAACTGATAAAAGCAAGATGACAAAATGAGGAATATAAAAATGAGTATTTACTGTCTTAAAATCTGAAGTCACAGATTACTTAATGCCCCTTTAAACTGCTGATTTGGTACAAATACCAGAACAGTTCTTGAGAAATATATTTAGTTACTGCACACCACTGGTTAGTTTTGGATGTGGCTGTTCTGTAAAAACTGTAGGAGCGGGAGCAACTGAACTTCAGCAGATGAGATATTTCACCTCCAACACATTCAACAACGGCACTTTACATCCAGTCGGTATAACGGCCCGCATCTGCAGCCTTAAAGGCAATAACAAGTTGCAGCGGCGTGTTATATGAGGTAGTTACTCACCCACATACTGCTGTTGTCTGAACACTGCTGCTCCAAAATACCAACCATTTCACTACAATATGGGCTTTTTTTTGATTGACGACCACACACACTTTTTAAATCACACAACGTGTGGCAGGCGACATGGTTTCATAAAGCAGGAGCTCACAAACACTCCTCAACCCACAGATGACTGTAATCCGGAAAGTCAAAGAAAGTCCGGAAAAACGCTTGTAGAAGTCGTGAGGGTTTAACTCATCAACACACACACACACACATGCTGGGACAGATGGGTAAACACAACAACTTTTTACTTTTAGTGCTTCCTTCCCTCTATTTGTCCTTCGCTCCATGCATCATTCCCTCCAAGCTTCCTTTCCCCACTGCTGCTTCCTTCCCTTCCTGGATCCTTCCCTCCCTGCTTCCTTCCCTTCCTGGATCCTTCCCTCCAAGCTTCCTTTCCCTACTGCTGCTTCCTTCCCTTCCTGGATCCTTCCCTCCCTGCTTCCTTCCCTTCAAGCTTCCTTTCCCTACCTGCCTTCTTCCCTCCTCAATGTGTCCTTCCCTTCATGCATCCTTCCATCTCTATTTCCATCACCGCTTCCTTCCCTCCATGCTTCCTGTTTCCTTACCTCCTTGCCTCCACTCTTAATGCACCGTCTGCGCCTGTATCTAAAGGAGTTTCTTTTTTCTCCTTTTCCAAAACCAAAAACAAGACTAAACGTGTAAAGAATGGACTGAACATTGTTTATCTGCTACAACATAAGCTGTAATAGTTTTGAAATGTAAGCGTTATTCCCTCCTCCACCACGATCCCCCCTCCTCCCCCTCATACGTCCATCACATGCCCGTGCTGTACTGACCTGCCACCAGCAGAATGGGGTGTTTATCGGGATGCAGCTCCATCTGCCTGGCGATCCAGGGCCCGTCGAAGTGAGCGTACCACCAGCCCTTCTTCTTGTTCTGGGGGTCTTTGTACTGGTCCCCCGGCCGGATGAACGGGATGCGGAAGTAGCGCTGCTGTCGGTTCATGGCCACCTCGTACTGCCGGGCCGGTATGGGCGGGGCTGGGTTCTGCTGGGCTGTCGATTGAATTGGAGGAGGGGAGGGGGGTAAAACAAGTTAGGCATCTTCCACAGATGATGGCAACCAATCAGGAGCCAGCGACCATGTCTACATGCAGGCTGGGGTAAGTTTATGGGAAAGATGGTCAAAATTTGCGTCGCCTTGTTCCTGTTCATCAACCTGTGTATTAACTTATGGAAGAGTTTGAGCCTCCACCCTGCTGAAGTGCCCTGGAGCTAAATATTGTCTTCACCAGCTCCGGTAGGTGCAAGTCTGACCTCCTTACAGAGAAGTTCCCTTCAAATGGACATATTAACTACTACAAAATTAATTTCAGTTATTTAAAATTTCAGTGATCTAAGTTGAAAATTTAAGTTTTATACTTGGAAAGGTGCACCGTTAGAATTTCAAGAGTACGAGAACTGATTTCTGTTTAACATTTAGGAAACTTTCAACATGACTGTCCACATGGGATGAATCTCTTCTGCAATATCTCAAGATTAATGAGGGTTGACTTTTGTTTTTTGTGAGGCCGATTTGATTCAACACAATGCGGATGTAATTTTACAAGGTGCATAAGAATATGATTCTTAGCAATTCAATATGGTTTTGATTTTATTTCTTTTGTTGTTAAGCAAAATCATTAATTAACAAAAAAAAAGCCATTTTTACTTCACATATTTGTACTGCCACGTAAGTAAACAAACCTCACAAAAGCTTTGTAACCCCACACACATTTAACAGCTGAACAGTTTATGGAAGTTGCATTATTTTGCTCACCAGTCTTGCAAGCAGTTCTGCTGGGGATAGTTTGAAACAATATCTCTTGAGTTTCCCAAACTGTAACTGTTGCACACTTTTTTTTAATCGGGGCAGTTGCATCTTGAACTTTTCTGCCGGTGCACCGATGCAAATCCGTGAATCTTATCACCCCTAATATGTATGAAAACAGCTGCAAACCTACCAGCATTAGAAAAGAAGACATTTAACCTTGAACTGCATGCAGCATTTAAAAAATAAACAGTCGTATTTAAATCTTTTTATATTTCGATATGTTGCTTTCATGTAAAAACACTTTGAATTGCCTTGTTGTTGAAATATCCTACACAATTTAAACTTGCCCTGCAGCTTCACTTTGACCTTAAAGTGCTTTCAAGGTGCATTCACATCAATTGTAAAGTTGTTAATACACAGATGAACGCACTGGAGCAGGGCTCATGCAAAATGAAAAATAAAAAATAAAGCGAACGTGGAAGAGAGAATCACAGTCAGCACAACCGGGTTTAAATGTCAGCTGATTTCCTGTTCAAACATCACTTCAGCAGGTGGGTTTCTTATCGCAGGTCCCCATTTACTGCATGTAAACATTAAGCTCCACTCGGCTGCTCCCGGATCAGGTTTGAATAATAAACCCGGTCTCCATCTTTCGGTCAGCAGCAATCACAGCAGTGCTGATAACAGAGGGAAGAAATCAGCGAGACATGAAGCGTGGCAGGTGTTTATGAAGGGGTTTGCATACTCATGTGAAACATAAAGCCTAGGTTATTTGCATTTTTCTACAAAGTGGAGCGTAAAATAAGGATCTACAGAGACTGAGGGAGCTTCTCTACATATTAAAGAGACGCGAGCTGCAGCTTGTTGAATCTGCAAACACTTTCAATTTTAACAAGTTATTTCACCTTGTTTTCGGCTTTTAAATACGTGATTCAAAAGCATGAAGATCTGCTTGTTCGACACATTAAAAGATGAAATACCTTTAAAACTGATTCCAAGGTTTAAACACTGTTAAAATGAGTCTTTGCAGTTTTCATGAACATATGAATCACCAACAACGCGGTGCCCTCACGTCACCTTCCAACAGGCGAGAAAGTGAATAGGAACGACACCCACAAACACGTCGTCTTCACCTTCACACATTAACAACTTTCATAAATGGGGAAAAGAAAACATTCCTCAGAGAGGCACTTGAACTGAACTCCCTGTTGGATCCTCTCAGGTTGTTGATTACTGTTTGTCGTACTTCCTGACTTCCTGCTACAAAGCGCCGGAGCACTTTAGGTGACTCATTGAGGGGTCGAGCGCAGCATTCAGGCTTCAAGGCTGACGAAAACAAAGGTGGATCCTGTGACCTGCTCGTACAGATGAAGAGCAGCTACCAAATCACTGAGGCTGTGACACCAGCGGGGCAGACTGTGAAATATGTGATTTTAGCTCCTGTATTTTGATCTGCAGAGGTTTCTCAAAAACATTTATCTGCTGTCAACAAACATCAGGACACTCAGGGTTAAAATGTCTTCCAGTCAAAGTTTTCACCTGACGACAACTTTCATGAACAGAGTCTGAAGTCAGCCACGAATTAGCAGATAAATTCTTCCTCTAAATGCCCAATCCAGAGGTTTGAAGGGAAAGGTCACCCAAATAGCAACAAAATTTAATGGGAGGTAAATGTAATTTCTTCTGTGATGTTTGGAAGCACTTCAAAAAAACTCAACAGCAACATGTTTTATCCAATTCACCAACCGTCCTGACAGCGCTGACCTTTGAGGGAACGGAGAGCCAAAGGGGCCAAAATCTAGAAAACTACTGTCACATTAGCTGAGCTTTACCCTCCAGGTTTGTTTTCTGTATCCCTGTGTCGGAGTATTAACTGCTTTTTGAAACAACTCCTGTTAGTGACTGAACTAGTATCAGTTAGCTAGAACGTTTTACCCGTTTTTTAGTCAGGAACAGAGACAAAACAAGACCAAGACCGAGGGAGGGCGACACTGAGTCCAGACCAAGACTTTTAGGGGCTGAGACTATTTCCAGACCAAGACCGAGGGGGGGCGACACCGAGTCCAGACCAAGACCGAGGGAGGGTGACACCGAGTCCAGACCAAGACTTTTAGGGGCTGAGACTATTTCCAGACCAAGACCGAGGGAGGGCGACACCGAGTCCAGACCAAGACCGAGGGAGGGCGACACCGAGTCCAGGCGACACCGAGTCCAGGCGACACCGAGTCCAGACCAAGACCGAGGGAGGGCGACACAGAGGGAGGGCGAGACAGAGTCCAGACCAAGACCGAGGGAGGGCGAGACAGAGTCCAGACCAAGACCGAGGGAGGGCGAGACCGAGTCCAGACCAAGACTTTTAGGGGCTGAGACTATTTCCAGACCAAAACCGAGGGAGGGCGACACCGAGTCCAGACCAAGACTTTTAGGGGCTGAGACTATTTCCAGACCAAGACCGAGGGAGGGTGACACCGAGTCCAGACCAAGACCGAGGCAGGGCGACACAGAGGGAGGGCGACACAGAGTCCAGACCAAGACCAGTTCCCCACATTACATGACCCACAATAAAATGTGGAACAGGATCACAGGTATTTTTTAAATTGATCTGAAAGATCCACATTCCCACTAAAACACCCTCACACAAACACTAAGAGCTGAAATCAATGAAGTATTTCGGGGAGGGGGGGACAGTCGATAACGGTAACAGCACCGAGGGAGGGCGACACCGAGTCCAGGCGACACCGAGTCCAGACCAAGACCGAGGGAGGGCGACACAGAGGGAGGGCGACACCGAGTCCAGACCAAGACCGAGGGAGGGCAAGACAGAGTCCAGACCAAGACCGAGGGAGGGCGAGACCCCGAGTCCAGACCAAGACCGAGGGAGGGCGAGACCGAGTCCAGACCAAGACTTTTAGGGGCTGAGACTATTTCCAGACCAAAACCGAGGGAGGGCGACACCGAGTCCAGACCAAGACCGAGGGAGGGCGACACCGAGTCCAGACCAAGACTTTTAGGGGCTGAGACTATTTCCAGACCAAGACCGAGGCAGGGCGACACAGAGTCCAGACCAAGACCGAGGCAGGGCGACACAGAGTCCAGACCAAGACCGAGGCAGGGCGACACAGAGTCCAGACCAAGACCAGTTCCCCACATTACATGACCCACAATAAAATGTGGAACAGGATCACAGGTATTTCTTAAATTGATCTGAAAGATCCACATTCCCACTAAAACACCCTCACACAAACACTAAGAGCTGAAATCAATGAAGTATTTCGGGGAGGGGGGGACAGTCGATAACGGTAACAGCACCGAGTCCAGGCGACACCGAGTCCAGACCAAGACCGAGGGAGGGCGAGACAGAGTCCAGACCAAGACCGAGGGAGCGCGAGACAGAGTCCAGACCAAGACTTTTAGGGGCTGAGACTATTTCCAGACCAAGACCGAGGGAGGGCGACACCGAGTCCAGACCAAGACTTTTAGGGGCTGAGACTATTTCCAGACCAAAACCAAGGGAGGGCGACACCGAGTCCAGACCAAGACCAGTTCCCCACATTACATGACCCACAATAAAATGTGGAACAGGATCACAGGTATTTTTTAAATTGATCTGAAAGATCCACATTCCCACTAAAACACCCTCACACAAACAATAAGAGCTGAAATCAATGAAGTATTTCGGGGAGGGGGGGACAGTCGATAACGGTAACAGCACATTTTTAATTAGGGTTGTTGGTTGCATTTAGAGCAATATGTTTTACATACAATCAAAGTTAGGATGTTAACAAATAAATCAGACGATGCAAAAGCAATTTATTGATATTCCCATAGTTATGGTCTTGAAATAAAATCCAGAGTCCTCAATGTCCGAGACCGAGACAAGACAGAGTACAAATGCGGTCGAGTCCGAGACAGGATCAAGACCATCAAAAAGTGGTCTTAAGACCGGTCTCGAGTACTACAACACTACTTGTTTAGTGTTTTGGAGGTAAACTTTCCAGTTACAGTAGTTCACCAACTAGCTCTAAGATTGTTCACTACAGCAGCCGAGCCTTCAGATATTTTTCGGAGACGAGCTGATAAATTTGCTTATCATTGCTGTCGAGTTTTAAATGTTTTGGACATCAAAAACGTTGCTGCCACCCGGGAACTCCAATGTATTTGTTTGGGATCTCAAAATATGTATAGAAACTGTAAGGAGAGAGGGTTTCTGAGTGAGTGATTGAATGTGTTTGTTCTTAGTCTGGATTTCAATGGAGACCCAGATCATTTTTAAAGATTTTGGATGAATCATTCATTTTGGAAAGAAAACCATCAAACGTAAACAAGGCCAGCTTTACACTCAGACGGCAGGACAACCTCCTGCCACATACAGCTGAACGGGCTGTTATGTATATACAATCTTCATTAAATCAGGAGTGATACAACATTTCTCTTCCAATCAGCGGGTGTGGCGGCCTTTTTCCTCCCGTCACGCTCCTGTAAAATGTGATGCTATCATCTGTCGCCAAACACAACGCAGGCAACCTGCCCTGAAAGCCTTCTGTCCTTCCTCTATCTCGCTCCATTTTTCTTCCTTCAGAATTCCTCCCTGAAGTAGTATCAATAACAGCAGCCTTAAGAGCTCGGGGGGAATTACCTCAGCTCTTTATCAAAACTGTTACAGCTGCCAGGGAGGCGTCTCGCAAATTGGGCGAGAGCTGGCGCCGGTGCACCGGTCAAAAAGACAAAAACAGCAACAAATAATCCCTTTCACACATGTGTGTCAATAGAGGCGGCGGTTCCCGTGAAAACCCATCCACCCTCCTCCTCCTCCTCCTCCATCAAGCCGAGCAGCCCAAAGCACAAACCCAGAGGCCAACAGCGATCCCAGTTAGGAGCAGACCTGTATGCTGGGGGGGTTGGGAGTGCAGGGTTAATAAGGTGGCGGGGGGAGGTAAGGGGTGTAGCGCTGTGGTTAGTAGCGTTCCACACTGGAGGACCACTTACATGCTTTTTTCACAGGTGGTGCATGATCTGAAAGTAAACATGCCAGGTTACACGGACGAACACCGCAGGAAGTGATGCAACACGGCAGCAAACAGTGAAACAAGTGAGACACGTAATGAGACAGACGAGAATGAAAACACAAATACTGTTGATGTATATGAGATGATAGCTGAGCTTACTGCTAATGAGTCCTAATGAGACCATTTATCATCATCATCATCATCATCCTCCTCCTCCTTCAGTGTGACTTTGGGAGAATTTGTGAGATGTGTGCAAAGACTGGATGTTGTAGTTAAATTTCAAATTAAGCAGTAGATTTCTGACAACGACGCAGTAAAACTTCTTTTTTTTGTCAACAAATCCCACAAAAAGACCATAAAAGGCCGTTTGGACGCAGCGTGACGAAGCTAACTTATTGTTGTTGTTTCCTGCAGATTAACTGAGCTCCTCTGGCCGCCAATGTAATATATGATCGTGTATCTGAGAGGACCTTTGTCACTCATCACCCCCCCCCCTGGCCTTTATCCGTCTGATCCATCCTGTCGCTCTCAGCTGTGGACTAAAACAGAGAGACGAAGACAGACTGAGCCATCAAATGACGACATCTCTCAAGAGTCTCAGTGATCTTATTCAAATTAGAAAGCACTCAGGACGAGCACACCTCTGTCTCTGTCTTTTCATTTGATTAATTCTTTTTGCGATAATGCTGCTCGGGTGATAATACACTCAAATGAATACTTAAATGAGATTGTGTCGCTGTGCCGCCGCACGTTGGTGAAATGACGTCCATTCGTGCAGGTTAATTTTCGCACTTTAAACTTTGGCTTTGCAACAAGAAGCCGATTAAAGGAGACCCTATTATTCTTTTCCATTTTATAGGACTTATTCTACAGTGTTGGATGTTCGTGTTAAACATGACCAAAGCTTCAAGTAATGAGGTTAAAGTATTTCTAAGACACACGGAGCCGGTATTCCATATATGGTCATTTACTCCGCACAGCAACGCTCAGGTCTCTCTGTACCGCCCAGCAACAACATGGTAACATGCTTCAGGTCTTGGCCAATCAGAAGACAGTGGGCTTTGAGAGGGGGGGCTTAAAGAGACAGGAGCATCTACAGCTTGTTTCTGACAGAGGCTGAAATGAAGGCCTACATGAAGAGCCAGTAAAAGATCATGCAAATCTGCCATACAGGAGTCACAGCACTACAATATATAGGTCTCCTTTAATCGGTTAGTCGATGGAAGGGAAATTAATCGTTAACTATTTTGATAATCAATGAATTTTTTTTTAAAATAATCATAATAATGCATTACATTTATATAGCACTTTGTCAGAGGTACTTAAAGAGCTTCGGAGTGAAATAAACAGGGGGGGTGATTAAAAGGCCAGATGGAGAAAGACAGGTTGGAAATTTTGTCAAGACACGAGGGAACCCAATACTCTTTGTGACGAGTGCCATGGGATCTTTAACGACCTCCGTTTAACGTGTCATCTGAAGGACGGCACAGCATCGCCTTCGCTGCACTGGGGGATTATTATTATTATGACCAGAGGGAAGCCTGTGCCTTACTGGCCCACCAACATCTCTTCCAGCAGCAACTTAGTTTTCCCCGGAGGTCTCCGATCCAGGTACTCGCCAAGCACCGATCTGCTTGGCGTCAGTCATTCAGCAGAAGCAGGCTACACGTCGGTATGGCTGCTGGTTCCATCTTGTTAAACTTGAGGCTCTGCTGCTATTCTTTATCATTTATAAATCGTACATAAAGAGTCTTACGGTTTCGGACTGCTGGTTGGACAAAAAGAAGCAATCTGAAAGCTTCGGGCTCTGGAAAATTATGATTTTTCACATCAGTTTTTTTTTTAAAGTGCTGTTTGTCTCCATGAAGCCGATCGGCAGCAGGACGGAGCTGTGACTCTCACATTAAGGGCGAAGGATAAAAAGTGTGTGTGTGTGTCACGGTCCAATCAGCAGACTGAGCAGAGCTGCACACAATAGACAGCTCAGAGTAAGAGCTCCCTGTCGTCATGACAACTTGACACAGGGTAGATAAGGCGATGGCGGCGGAGAGGTGAGAGACGGAGATCATTTGTTCCTAGTGTTTTAACGTCGTCTGAGGCCGAACCGTCGACGACCCACGACGTTAAGTTTTAAGCGTGTCTCAAATACGCAGGGGTCAGCTTTAAATTTGTGGGTTTTGTCCACGTTTCATCTCAGTAATATATTTCTGTGAAACCTGTAATTACAGATTTACATCAAAGCCACAGTGTGTGACGGCGGAGGCCAGAGGTACAAAACAGTGCGTGCACCATAGAAGGTGGACGCCACTGTTTCGAAGCCTCGAGTTTGGCATTTTGGGCCGTCGCCATGTTGGTTTTTGTGTGATGTGACCGTATTTGGACGAGAGGGTGGAGCTAGCTAGCTTGGTTTAGCAAGGTGCATCCATAATTCACGTTAACTGTGATACGCATCAGTGCCTTAAACCTGCTTTCTCTCTAACGGCCAGCAGGGGGCGAAAAGAAGTGTGATTGTATAGAAGTCTATGAGCAAACGAGGCTCCCTCAGATTCCCTCAGTAAACACTTTCCTGATGAGTTTATGGTCTCAGTCGCTAGTTTCAAGTCTTCTTCAACACAGCGTGATGTTTATTTAGTAAATTATGGTCCCATTTAGAGGAACAGAGACCAGGAAGCAGGGGAGGCTTTAGGGCGGGGCTACAAGCTGATTGACAAGTCGCTAACATCGTTCTGTGTAAATTTTCTTTTCACCGTTTTGTTTATTGTGCAGCATTTTATAAAGTCTGTTTCGATGGCTGCACTGTGAAATAAATGACCCGTTATCTTTTCCTACAGTTTGACGACGATGGTGATGATGATGATTCAGATATGACTGTTACAGATGCATGTTTACGAAACAATTTAGACAACGTACGCATGGCTTTATAAACCTTACGATGTCTGCACAGAGCTTTAAGTACCTTTAGTCATTTTATCAGTTTCTTTATGTAAGCTTGTTCTTGCTGTGGACTAATAAACAAAATTAAATGACTCTTGCTCAGAAACGATTACTGAGGAGTGTAATAAACCAGGAGCATCTTTACAGGAATAGCAGAGGACTATATTTGTTCTGTAAATGAAGCTTAAAGAGCATCTCAGAAAATACATCTGTCCTGAACACACGCTGGTGTGAGGTGACGTACCGTAGTCGGTGACACATTTCGGGGCCCGCTGCTCCGTCTCGGTGTTTCTCTTCTTGTTCTTTGACTTCCAGGCGTGGTAAACTTTGAGCCGGCGGTGGAACTCCTCTCTGCAGGCCGCCAGCAGCTCGATGTCTACGGAGGTGGGACACAGATTTGGAGAATCAGCAAGAATAAATAGTACACTATTACCAGAAGTAAATGTCAGACGACCTTTAAGGACACTGATTTTTCCCCCCCACAAGTTCGGTCAAGATTGCATTTGGACTGCTTTCTATTTCAATTTTACAGTTGTCATGTCTGATTATTAATAGCAGAAGGTTGCTGGTTATTGTGAACGTACATCCTACTAAATATCATCCATCATGCTAAGTGTAACCAGATGTTTTCTACACGAGTTCAGGTTACGTCAGCACACAAGCTTTCAGATCGTGACTTATCTTTCAGCGGACAGCCGATCACTTTGTGGTTCTTTGCCTTTGAAAAGCAAAAAAAATAAAAATAAAAGTGTCCTGTACAAAAACCTTCTGGGAGAAACACCCCGACTGACTCGTGTGGTAAAGTTTGTAATTACAATTTAATAACTTGAACTCTTCTGTGTTTTGTGCTTATTTGACCTTCATGCGTTGAACGTTTGCTGGCAGTTTCTAGAACTGGTGTGTATGTCCAGCATTTCTTCTTTTAGTAAATCATAACTTAAAGTTTTCTTTACGTTCCATGTACCCCCTATAGAACAAGTACCCCTGGACCCCCCGGTCTAAAATATCTTTGAATGCTGTACCAGTAAGATTTCCCCTCACTGGAACTAAGGAGCTATGTAGTGTTTTCTGCGGCTCTGAGCTCTTCTGATTGGAAATCTTTGGCGACTGCGAAGGGAAGCAAGCACGATGTGTCTTTGATCTGCTACAATAAGTTTCTTCGGCCGACCACTGCGTCTACGGTACTTTGTGCTTCTTCAAAAGCACTTGGCCGTCTCATCGTGTATGACTTTTGACAGTGACCCGTCTACAGCAGCCTCACCGTGTTAGCGCCGTTTGGCTGTTTCTGTTGCGGTTAACGATTGTTTTTTTTAACCTACATCATGAACTTATGATCATTAGCACCTGCTTGGTGTAAATGTTTAATCACACACCTGACGATATGCCTGCAAAACCGCCGAGCGGACGCGGAACAATTGATGCTGGTTTGACGGCGAAGGGCGGTCACATGTTGATTTGACTTCTTCTGTTCACTCACTGTTAAATCATAAATCTAATCTATTAACATGTTTATTTTGGATAGCATTACTTACTGTACGGCACTTTTCCACATCTGCCTAAAACCTTTGCACAGTACCGTAATGTTTGTTAACACAGTTTGATGGTGTTGACAAAAACATCCAAATCCTCCTCAAAGGAGGCTTGAATACTATTTATGATCACAATAAATAGGAACATGACTTGTAATGTTTCATTTAGCTCTTTATTTATACATCAGTGGTCGGCAACAGGCGATAATTGGTAGCAGAAAAATAAATAATAAATAATAGCAGCTGGTGCTGAAATAGATCTCAGTCATAACAGCTACAGTTACTCACATATTCACTTCCTCTTAAGTGATTGTGTCTCCAAAATAAAAGCGCGAGAACTTTTTTACAGCAATGTTTCACGTCGAGTTTATTAAGAGCTTTTACTTAAACGACATTCAAAAGAGACTCTGGCGTGCTCGACACACCCCTGGAAAAAGCCGTCGGTAAACGTGTGACCGGATTTCACTGGATTTCCTCAGGGAAATGAAAATAAGCGTCCACAGGTTTATGAATGCCGATCAAACGCCGGGACGCGCACGCACCGCAGCACACGCACCGCAGCACACGCACCGCAGCACACGCACCGCAGCACACGCACCGCAGCACACGCTTTATTGTGAGCATGTGCAAAAGTGTCCTTAATTAATTAATTTGTTTAACAAGGGAAGAAAAAATAAATACCTGCAGTTCAATCAATCTAACAAACCTTCCAGACAAAACAGTTCGGACTGACACACAAAACACCGTGAAAGAGAAGCACAAGTTAATAAGCTAGAGCCACTAACCATCAGCTCTGTGTAGAGGTCTGCATGCTGGGTTGATTCCTTTCATTGTGCCCTCGTATGAGCAGAGCACACACATTCTTCTGTGCGAAATATTGTTGTATGTTTTTGTTGTGTATATATATATGTTCCTACAATGCAGTAGATTTATTAAATTCATGGTCACTTTGAAATTTAAAAACGTCTTTTTGATGCCCCAAACTGTTATTTTGTATGATTAATGCTAACTGTGAACGTTGCATGATGAACATGCATGTGAAATAGCATAAACACACAAAAAGACACAATGATTTTAAAGCTCTAAATCACTATAAGACTAAATAAATAACATTAACTGGATTTTTATTGTGTCCGACAAAATTACAAAATCAGGAGGTCGCACCGAAATATTGCTGGATTGGTGAGATCTTGTACAAGAAACACAATTAGATTTCTTAATACCACATTTTATTTCTTTTCAAAATTAAAACCTGTTCATCCGAATTCTCAAGAATCAGTTTCTCTATCCCTGTGAGGATCACATCTCCTTCATACCTTAACCATCACAACTACATGCCCAACCCTGCGCCCTGCACCCTGCGCCCTGCACCTTGCACCCTGCAACCTGCACCCTGCACCCTGCACCCTGCACCCAATCGTAACCTGAACCCTAAACCCAAGTCTTAACCCTCAAAAAGGCTCTCCACCCGCGGGGAACTTCATTTTCACTAACACATTGATGGGGGGGGGGTCATCGGTTAGGGTGCATTCAGGTTAAAGTCCCCACCGGGATATGAAAACGTGAAACACATTCACTCTCTCACACATACACAGAGAGAGAGAGACAAAAGATGTTTTACACAGCCAGCATTAAGATAACACATTTCATCAGGATGATTCAGATAAATTACTTTAGTGGGGAAAAAAGACAAAAACAAAAAAAACATTCAATTTATCATCGGAGGCGCGAGGGCTAACGGCGTGCGATGAGATGCTTAATGCACACTAAGTGCTTAGGTAACGTCAACTGGACAAAAATACTTTGAGCAGACAGATGATTGGGGGGGGTTATTTCCATTTACTGTGCGGCGCTGAAATCACCGCGGGATAAACGACAACGTGGCAGGTGTCAACAAGCCCTCGCCGCTCGTTATGTTGGACTTTTTATTCTGCGGATCATCGTGAGCGGCGGACGTGATCACATCAGTATTCGCTCTCCTCCGCTGTCTGGGAGGCGAGGTGAGCGGCCTGTTAACAGCTAACCGACTCATTTCTCTGTGTGTGTGTGCGCCGCCGCCCCCACAGGCTCTGCTTTTCCCCACACATTCATTTGTGGGACACCGCCGGGTGCCACCCCTCCCCCTCCCCGTCCTCGTCGTCCACGCTCCCCCTGCCGCGTAGGACAAGGACAGGTGAGCTCTCGGGTTAAACTCAATATCATGAGAAGAAAACAGAGGAAAGTGGTGGATGTTCTCCCCTCGGCTCCTTTTATTACCTTTATCACTGGATCATAATCCGCCCGAGGAGGCAGCAGGATTTGCACCATCAGGGTGCAGCCAATTCAACCTTTCACCGCCGTTATGTTGAAATGTTGTTGAGCTCACGACTAATCTGTTATTGTGCTGCAGTAACGAGGAGTGGAAGACATATTTACATCCTTCGCTTCAAGGTTTTATTAGGCGATTTCATACTGCGGCAGTAACATGAAGACTTCACAGCCTCTCTTCAGACTTAGGACGCTCATCCTGCAGCACTTGTTGCTTGCTGAGAGTATGCTCGACCAGTATCAAACAGTGGTTATGTGACAACTTCCTGCTTCTGAACTCAGAGGAAACAGAAACACTAATTAATTATCGCCCCTAAAAGTAGAATCCCTCAGATTAAACGGCATGTTGGTGACTCAGGAGCTCAGGCGTTGTTTTTGAGTACAACACTAAACAACTAACCGTTTCTTCCAACTGAGGAATATTTCCAAATTAAGAACACTGGTGTCAAAAGGGTGAGTTGGAGATGCTTTTATTTCCTCTCCTTTAGATTACTGTAACAGTCTTTTTACTTGTTGGAGCAGCTTTTCTGTCTCCAGGCTGTTCAGAACTCACATTAACAAAAGAGCGCACGTCACACCTGTTTTAGCAGCACTTCACTGGTTACCAGTCCAGAACAGAATTCAATTTAAAATCCTGGTTCTTACTTTTAGAGCCCTGCACGGGTCAAGTTCCTCCCCACACAGCTCAGAGGTCATTGGGTCAGAGGGGGGATCGCCTCCCTTTCTGTCTTAATTCTGTCGATTCTTTTAAAAAGCAACTGAAGACGCTGCTATTCAAGCAGGCGTTTAGCTAGACGAGGGGTTTTTATGGTTTTGTTCTGTGTTTTCCATTTGTATTTAAATTTTCTTATGCATTGTATTTTACTCTGTTGTGTTGTTTTACATTTTATTGTGAAGCACTTTGTGATTTATATCTGTGACAGGTGCTATACAAATAATACTTACTTGTCTTTGTAAAGAGAGAAACTGACAGGGTGAAGTCACTAACCTGCCTGTCAGCTCGCTCCGGTCCGTTTCAGTGGATTTACCATAAAGGCTTGAATACGTGTGCACTCCAAATGTAGGTGCGGCTTCTCGCTATGTGAAACCGCACACGGTTGCGGGATTAAGCCGCAATATTTCTTTCAGAATGAATGAGCGAATGCGGCGTATTGGCGGACATTCTTTCTGCGTTTACCGGGGCTATAGAGAACAGTATTATGTAGCAAATCATTTAAATTAAAAACTACATCCATTAAGCAACACATCAACACGGTCAGGGGTCCTCAACTACTTTTGTTCAAGGGCCAGAATTATTCCATGCAGACACTGCAGGGGCCGGACTCTTATTAGCATTTTAATATTTTCACTTTCTCAAAATAAAAGTTATTGGCCTAAATCAGTGTGAACAGACTCATAAAAACACAGTAAATCCATATTTATAACTAAATACTTTACTATAAAATGCTCTCAGGCAGAGTGACGGTGAAAATATTGTCATTATAACTCTGACTGTCATGAAATTAAACACTTCGCCATCAAACCAGCATCAATTGTTCCGAGTCTGCTCCGCGGTTTTGCAGGCATATCGTCAGGTGTGTGATTAAACATTTACACCAAGCAGGTGCTAATGATCATAAGTTCATGATGTAGGTTAAATATTACACTTTTAACGCTATTATTCATTTGTGGCGTTATTGTGCACACCTGTAGTTACTGCTGGTAACAGCAAGTGGAAGAAGTCTGGGGCAGCTAAACAAACTTGTCAGGCAGCAATTGGTCTTTTTCCATAATTGTGTGACTTTATGCTGAACACAACATAAATCTGCAAACAGGGAAAGGAGCTGGTTACCTGGTTACGAGAAGGTGGGGGTGTGCAGCCTGCCGCTGCTGACTGTTATATTACTCGATGCAATATTTCAAACTAGTCCACTGTCACTTTATTTTCAAAATAACCACATTTTTGATAAATCTCACTGACAGACACATTTCTGCATTTGCAGTCATCATGGTTTTTAGGAGTGTGCATCTTCACTGGCCTCACGATTCGATTCTCAGGTCAACGAGTCGATGCGTCACCTCATTACGATTATGAGGCTGCGATGCGACTGCAAAACGAGTACGAACTGTTCCTTTTACTTTTTGTCTCGTCTGGTGTAGTTACACGTTTGTTTCTTGTCCTGTAAATTGATTCTTCTAATCCTGTATTGAGCACCGTGGAGAAACAGCATTTTGCTCATTTGACGTCTTTTTATTAACGGCCACGCTGTGACCTGCTCGCACATTTACAGCCAGACTGAAACGCAGCGCTCGTATATTGCAATACTTTCATCAGTAGCACTTCTGCAGGCCGCCAGTTGATGATCACTGCCCTCTGTGATCTTAAGGCCTCTTTCTAGTGCGTCAACTACTAAACAGAGGTGAAAAACCTTTTCTTATTTATTGAGATTCTTTGAAGGCTCAGCTTTGGGATGGATTCCAGCAACACTGCGGTCTGTCTGCGGTAACAAACTGAACACTCACCACATGAGGTGTTGATGGCGTCCCGCAGCTCGGCGTACTTCCACTTGCTCAGCTCGTACTTCTTGGCCCCGGCGGCGGCCTTGGAGGCCTGGACCTGTTGACCTCTAACACAGGAAGCAGACAAAAAAGGACGCAGGAAGTCAGCAACAAAGACCCGCAGCAGTGAACCGTGGGATACCGGCAGCGGGGAACGTGTGTGGAGATCAGAGGGCGTAGTTATTTCTTTAAATCCAAACTTGGGTCAGAAAGGATTTGCAGAAGTGTTGTATTAACTTGTAAAGGTGAAGTAGATGGGTGGAGTTTACAGTTAAAGTAAATATAATAATTATGACAATAAATACTGTGCGGGATTTAGCTTTCAAGGCTCAATGCATTTTCTTACAGAGGATTTCCTAAAGTGTAGAAATGATACTGTGCTGAGGTTTTCTGAGAATTTTGAGATAGGTGAGGTCAACACTCCCCAGAAGAAACCCCAGAACATTTTTAGAAAGGCCCGGTTTATTCAAACAGGAGCAGTCAGCCGATCAGACAGGCTGCCTTCAGTTTATCCAGATTACCTGAACCACTTAATTTGGAGGTCAAACTGAAAGTGAGCACACCTGAAATGCCAGCAAATGAACCCTAAAACAGGAAGTGGGTCTCTAAAGTATTGCTCTCATACGTTTGTTTCCCGTCTGATCGTCTGAATGCTCATGTTTCTGGAACCCACTGGAAATGATCTCTGGCGAGCATGATCAGAACCGACAGAGCGATTTTTTTTTTCTTTCTTTCCTTCCTTGTTTCATTTGAACAGTGTTTAGATAAATGAGAAACAAAAATGTCCCTTTTTTTTAAGCTATGTGTTCACAAATCTCAGCTAGTAAACTTGGTGACTAAATTGTTGTTATCAGAACAGCAAACGGCAAAAACTACAAAAAGTAAGACGAAAAACAAACAGAATTATCCTTCAAAAACAAGACGGTGAAACAGCTCTTTAAAAATTTAGGCTGAAGTAACTCTGGACATCTGAGACGACTGTGGCAATACTCAACTTTTAAATGGCTAAAATCATTTATGTGTCGAATAACCTTTTCCAGTAAACTCCACCCACCTGGGAGTCACCACAGGAACAAGAATCACAGGTTAAATATACAACAGATTCAGGTAACACTGGTTGGAGCTACGGGTTCGTTGCAGATGTTAAGGTGAAAGCGAAGGAAAAACAGGATTAGCAGCATCGCTGTTAAAAAAGGAAAAGAGAAATGGACATCATTAAAATGCGTGCTGTTTCCAGTCGCCAGGAAGTCAAAAAGCACCTCTGGTGCGACGGCGTGGAGTAGCTGCAGTGGAGTGGTATTAAATTATAAATGACCGTTTGACAGTATAAAGTGTACAGCTCCTCTCCAGCTGTGGGCCGGGCTGTTGGCGTGCTGCTGACAGGCCTGATTAATCCGTGACCGGGATTTGCCCTTTTTAGAACACCGGGAAGTTGGAGGCGGGACCCTGCTGGTCCTCTAATCCTATTGGGTAGGCTCTGGGTTTCACGATTAGCAGGAGCTGGCCTCGGACCCGATCGGCTGTACTGTGCTCCCAAAAGCACGTGAGGCTTTGGCAGCGAGCTAAGCTTCTGCCAGTCACCTTTAGTGCCTGCTTCATGTCGCCGCGAGAGGCGGCCTGAGCCAATTAGCCGCAGACATACAAACAGAGGAACCAGGAGGAGAGGCTGGCATGACATCACTCATTCACGCCCCCCCGAGAGGATGCAGAGAGGAAGCCGCAGTAATCTGATGAGAAAGTGCACCATCGCTGTCTTAAAGGTGCGCCGAGTTAACTTTTACCTGCTGAGACCATCGGCTGTTCAAAGGTTAAACATCTCGCTGCTCTACCAGATGAAAAGGAGATGATTTCGGACGTTACCGGAAAGATTAGAGTTCTCTGGAGGGGGCGAGAGGATTTACGTTTCAGCTTTACTTTTAATCCACAACTGCAAAAAGACTTCTAGTATTTCTGTAACTTGCCATAAGCCCAGATGTTATTTTGATGCCTGCTTGTTTTCAGCAGAAATGCTTCTAACAACAGCAGGTAAAAGCCAATATTTAATTAATTTTCTCATATTTTCAAGTGAAACCAGTTGGAAAACTCTTCTATGGTCAACAAAAATGCAGGGTTGGACCTTTAAACACCAACAAGTGGAAGACGACTCAACACGTGTGAATGTGGGAAACTTTTCTACTCGAGATGCGACTTTTAAAGGTGAAATAAATGGCGTTTTTATACAGATTCAGTGCAACTTTTTTCCCCCCTCACCAGACGTCAGAAGAGTTTTATATTTTAAGACGTCCTCACTTTTGCAGAAAAATCTGCTTCAGGACATTCAAACTGATGGAAAATGTAAATAAAGTATTGATTATGCGCCAAAGTAAAAACAAAACTAAACCACACAGCCTTTGTCTTAACCACTCAGGCCCTAAATTGGTGCAGACTCCCGTGCTTGGAAACTCTTTGCATGCCCTATCGATACATATTGACCAGGCTTTTCAAGTTGCACTTCTCAAAAGGAATAGCCAATAAATACTTTTGTTCATATTATTTTGCCGGGTTGATTGTATATTTTACTGCATTCCACCAACAACAAAGTGAAAAAAACATCACAAGTCTGTCAACTTTGCTGCATTTTGAATGATTTTAAAACCATAAAACAGCTCAAAGGTCAGCAGAAGACACAAGAGGAAGAAAAGGTTCAAAATAAACAAGAAAACAATCAGTAACAGTCAGAGGATATTAAATATTATCGGCTTGACTCTGAGGGAATTAACCCTGTTGATCTGAATTCTTGAATGAAATTTTGATCATCAACAAATAACAAAATCACCTGGAGTCTTTAGGAGGATTTCTGCATCACACGGCCTCATTTTAATCACAGATGCGGTTAATTTGAAAGATGAATGAAGCGATTGATTGAGTTGAGATTTTCAGTGAAGACAGACAAACGGGTTTTACCCACCGAGCCAGAAGTTCAGTCATTTCCTTCGCCATTTCTTCCCTAAAAAGCGGTCCCAGTTTAGAAAAGTTAGTATGTTATCTGTATTTCTTTTTACAAGCAAAATTTACAAACACTCCTAAACACTAAAAAACACGAGACACAAAGCGAGACGGCAAAGAGGGCGACATTTATGGAACTACAAAGAAAAAAATGGCGACAAGAAGCAAGTCCTAAAATTTAGATTTATATAGTGCTAATGTAAAATGTAATGCAACACGAATTGTCTTTAATCACCGTAATTATGAAATGATAAATAAAAAATATATAAAATATGTACGGTAGTCAACGGCGAGAGACAACAAAAATTTTGAACCCGTGCCCTGAATTACACACATGATGTTTGTCAGTTTAAAAGAATATTTTGTAAGTCAAGAAAGTCGCAATTTGAGGTAAAGTATAAGACTGTGAACATACATAAGATGTGATTACATTCTTCTATATTTTTATATTTATTCCTAATAATATATTCTCTCAGCTGTAATATGTCTGCACAACACGTGCGTAAATATCTGCCATGTTGTTCTTTCTCTACACGTAGTTGTACAACTTGCATCTGTTTATTTCATATTTATACATTTATGTCTACTGTCTTAATGTAGCACCTTATCGCCAAAGCAAATTCCTTGTGAGTGTAAAATACTATATGGCAATAAAGCTCTTTCTGATTCTGACCCAGAGGTCACTGAAGCTACACTGCAAAAACTGAGCTCTCAAAAACAAGGGAAAAAAAGCAATAAAATGGGGGAAATATTACTTTTTCTGCCAACAGAACAAGAATATTTCACTTGCTTCTTAAGGACAAAAAAAACTTGAAACAAGTGAAATTCTCTAACATAAAAGCCGCCTGGTAAGAAGACAAAAAATGTCTTCCATTCAGATAATTAATCTTACTTAAATTATAGTTTTTGCAGTGTAACATCAGCGAGCTTCCACGTGTAGATGATGTGATCAAAGGATTAAACGCACCGGGTGAGATCCATCTGCAAACTTCCTAGCTGGTAGGAATCGAGACGCAAGACGAGACGTGCAGTTCACCAAATGTTACTGAACTGTTTTACGACAAACTTCTTTAAAAACTCATCTTTCAAACTGACAAACCTCATGTGTGTAATTCAACACTGTTTTTAATGAGTAACTCACTAAAAGAGCACTTCTTTATAGAAGAAGAGGACAGCGGATCGGAACCAGCTGGTGAATAAAGTGCTACTACAGCGTCCTCGAAAGTGTGTGATGGTGTGAGTGTGGCCTCTGCTGCAGCTGACTCATGACGTGAAGCATCAATTTCAGCTTCCAGAGTGACTTTGTATGCGGGTCGCCTCAGGTTAAGTGCAGTGAGGAGTGCGCGGGAGGGCCTACGAACCGACGCTCTGCCACGAAACGCCGCAGCCAGCGACCGCTCGGATTACTTTAACGTGTCAGGATGCGGCGCTGAACTGGTTCAACCTCTCGCTGCTCGTGTTCCCGAGCAAAACAGATGGTGGAACTCGCTGCAGACAGCGGAGTGCATCTGATTCGTGCAGCCTCTCTAAATATACCTTAAAAAAACAAAACAACCCCATCTAGCATCACACAGTGTCCTCAAGGTGTTTGGTGTATTGAGAGGAAACCTACATGGTCAAGCTCTTGAGCTTCGTGGTTCCAGCAGCGCTGCAAACAAGAGGATTATAGGATTATAAGATGGAGCAGCACTGAACAATATAACAAATCAATCAAGAGAAGGAGAGGTGATTCCTTTCCCCCTGCATCTCATCAAGAAGTGATTCTCCTTCCAAACTCTGATTAGAGGACACGGCGCCAATTTATCAATGACAGTTTGGACATCATTCTTCACTTTACCTCCGTCTAAATAAAGAATAAAAGCTGTGTATCAAGGGTCTTCTGATTTAAAAACATGCTTACATCTTATACGTTGGTTAAAATTGGCCTGTCGGGGTCTTTGAATAAATATATAATTCAGATTAGTGCAGATTTATGGGACACAAAGAGCAGCTGCCTCTTTCCCCCAAGCGATTAGCTCCAGAAACGCTTGCAGAAGAGCCCGAATGACAAGACTAACGCTTCATTTCTTTTGTTTGAAATGTCTAACCGTTTCTCTGACACACTTCCTCTACAATACCGGCAGCAGGCTCTTCATTCTTTATCTAATTTAGGTCAATTTCCTATCATTTCAAGACAATTAAAATGATTGTGGGCTGCTCATAATTTTTAATTTGCCTCAACATATATAGGATTTTGTTAAGTATATATAATATCCAAGGAAGGTTAAAACCAAAGAGCAACAGAGTTTGGTTGAAGACGTTTCTATCTTCTAGTCTAGCTGCTCTTTGATTTTAACCTTCCTCAGGTAACTATGACCTGGAGGATTGAGAGTCTGCACATCTTATATTACACAAAGAGTAACTTAATACACTTTTTAAAATGAGCGATGCACTTTATTATGCGATCAATCAGGGAGCAGGGGTGTGTTTCTGCTTGGCTGGATTTGTGTAACGTAAAGAGGGTGCGTTCAAGCTAAACAACAAGTCTTAAGTTGCTCTTTAAGAAATGCATCCATGTGACTATGGTTGAACAGCGGCCTCTGTGGCCACAGGTGGTAATTACACCAATGCTGCTTTTTAAAGGAGACCTATTATGCTTTTCCACATTTTATGTAACAATGTTGGATGTTCATGTTAAAACGTGGCCAAAGCTTCAAATAATGAGAATAAAGTAATTAAAAGAAATCCCAGTGAGCCAAAAACTCAGATTTCCTCTTGAACGCTCTGATTTCAACTGCTTTTTCTACCAACGGCGCCCGTTTCTACGACACTATTCCACATACGGTCATTTGCTCCCACAGCAACGGCTCAGTCTGCCTATTCCGCCCGGCAACAACAGCGGCCTGGTAACATGCTTCAGGTCTTGGCCAATCAGAAGACAGACCGGTTCCACTTCTACTACGCTTGCGTCACCCTCTTCCGCCTATTCGCAGTAGAAGTAAAACAGACCCTTACGTCAGTGGAACCACACGATTGGCTGAAATATGTTTCCTGATTTGGCTGTTTAAAGCAGATGATTGGCTTTCTAGTGGGAGGGGCGGGATAACCGCCATTTTTGCCGTTACGGGCTTTCCCCATAGAGTTGTATTGAGGATTCGATTGAGTGGCGCGTCTCCTCTAAAATGTCTCTGGTAAAAGATTTGAATCATGCAAAGCTGCTTTTATTGCTTTTATCTTGTATTGTTTTTGTATTATTGTCTCTTTATTGTCTTTACACTTGTTAAAGCACTTTGTATCTTGTTTTTGAAAAGTGCTCTACAAATAAAGATTATTATTATTATTAAAGGAGTCACAGAACTACAATACAGGACTGGAAATGCAGTACAATAGGTCTCCTTTAAAGACACCAGTAACAATTAGACGACCTGAAACAATAAACAGTCGACGTGTGACGAGATTTCGTACCATGACGGGACGATATTTCTCCAATTCTGTTTGTTTTGTAGCTGCGGCAGACAGTTAACTTGCTAACATTAGCCACCATAAGCTAATGGTCATACCAGAGCAAGAAAGATTGTAGGACCAAAGCCCCTCAGTGTACTGAACTGTTGAAGGACTGTGTTATTCATTCTTTCAGAAGCCTTTTAACTGCAAAGATGCAGATTAAATGTATGCTTACATTTTAAGCCTATTATTATCCCATACATGTGAGAGTTGCTTTTAAAGGCGACTCCTACACTTTGCTGTAAGTGAGAGTTATATATATATATATGAGGACATATTTTTCTTCACTGTTGTCAGAGAACTGTAAAGTCTTCAGAAAGTTTGGTAAACACGGGCCCCGATCACGCTTCTGGTGGGTGACAATCACGTGGGTGCTACAATCACAACTGGTGCTAATTACTTGGTTCAAATGTGGGCAGTAAAAGTTCTTCTATTCTATTAAATTAAACAATAAAGAGTGCCTTCTATTAAACTGGTGCGACTGTCAGTTGCAATCAGCATCTCATTGTTAGAGACCGGGTGGAGGGGGGGGGCGGTGCTCGGCTGGCAGATCGTTACAGCATGCAGAGGGGTTGGTTATGGATTGAAAAGGGTTAGGGGAAGGTGGGAGCGGGGATTAAATTAAAGGGTTGAATCGCCGGGTCTTACGCTGCTCTCTCTGGGGACGATGGAACTGAGGAGCCGTTACTGAGGGGAGAGAAGAAAAAAAAGAAAACAAAGAAGAACAACAATGGTTAAACACACATGATCGAACGGAGGTGGTGATGGTTTCTGCGGTTTCACAGCAAACAGATTTAAAAACAGTTCCTGCAAGAACTTGTCAAGAAGTTGGTTTGGAAAGAACTAAAAGAGCAAAAAGAGTCGCAGTCCAACAGAAACTTCCAGTCTACAAAATGTCAAACTGAGGAACAGGAAAGCCTTCTGGATTTTGATGCATTATCAATGGTTTGTTTGAGCTTCAGCATCATAAAACATTAATTGTTTTTTTAATAACAAGTTGGACTTGTCCTGCCAGTATCCTGTCAAACTGAAGCCCGAACCACGAACACTACCACACTTCGTACAGGACTGTGAGAGCTAATCAAGGCCGGGTAGACAGCAGAAAGAGAGGATGTTTTACTTTTATCATTCTTGATGGATATGTAAGCTGAAGTCAAAGGTTCATAGTCTGGGTCTGGTCGGGATTCAGAAGGGGTTGATGCTTGATAATCAAACATCTCCTGTGTAGTCAGATTGAGCTCTACAGATCCACAGAGCACATGTGGTGGTAAAATGAGGCTACCAGGGCCGGGAATCTGTTCTAAACATCTCACATGGTGCCCGAGTTTCCGTACAGACACCAAAATTGATTATACAATAAAAATGTCTGTGTCAGCTTTAAAAAAAGAGCTTAAGACAGCAGATACCATCAAAGTGTGCTCAAGCTTGAATACCCTAAACGGCCGGGGAAATTAATTTTACTGTTATTTCCCTTTGCTAAATGTCTCTATTTATTGTATTTAGCCTATTTAACCGATGCCAGACTGATGTAATGAATACCTTGGGACCACTTGGAAGTTAGGTGCATGTACTTTATATATTTGTTGTATTAATCTAGACAATGTGTGAGTACTTCTAATATATGTTGGCTTAGTGTCTGGGTGTCTTTCGATACCGTACCTTGAACGACACGGTAGTTGTGTAAGTTACCTGCGCAGTCCGGAGTCGTTCTGCACCTCCTCGGGGGATGAGCTCGGCCTCGCTCTGAGCGATCCTCAGCGCCAGCTCCCGGTCCCTCCTCTCCTGCTCCAGGACGGCCTGCCGAGCCGCGTCCTCCTCCCGCTCAGCCAGCAGCTGCACCTCCATCTCCACCTGAACACACACACATATAAAGCACTTTACATTTCCGCTTGTGCTCTGTGGGACAGCCGGAGCGTCTCTGCTGCTGTTAGCATATGTTCATGCGTAGAAGTGTTGGAGGTAACTGCCAAGTCTACGAGTTTTTGACTCCTCAGAGTTGTCCACCATCTGCACGTGTTAAATATCTGCCAGATCCACTTCAGCACGGCTGGTGCCTCATGCTGCGCTCTCTTAAAAAAGCCTCCGTTAGGAATGTTTATTTAGAAGTATCTGGGACTGTTTGCACATGCAGATGTCACCCGAAGCACAAGTTTGCTTTATAAAGCTTTATAAATAAAACTGAATTTGCAGCTGCGATGCATCGCAAACTGTATCATCCCTGAAGTTCATTTGAATTTCACAACATGCTGTTTTGTTTTGAGGTGGGCCGCGGGGCTGGACTGGTAATCTGGCCCAGCGGCCCATTGGGTAATTTAAAACGGTTTCTTGCCTTCTTCACACGGCTGCCGCCAAATGCGCGAAAACAACACATTTATGTTTGCTACCGGGTCTGCAGCAGCGTCAACATCTATCCATTTGTTAAAAATGTTCTGAAAAATAGCTTGCACCAAGAAATGTTAATTAACAAATAAAAATGCTATGAAAAAGGTTTATTTGCACAATAAGCCTGCGATGCGATGTAAATATAGAAGAAACCTCTGCGTTGTCCAAAAGTAACTTAGTAAAAATAATAAGCAACTGATTACTGCATTATATTCTATTATATTTTTATAGTCTGAATTGTCACCTGAATTTTGTGCTTCCCTTTATATGAATTAAGACATTTCTACTTACATTTCTATAGATTGGTGCAGAAAATGTCCCCAGAATGCAGGAAAGTAAGTGTTTAGTGCTCAAAATCTTCTGGGGGGGGGGGGGGGGGGGGAGCCACAGACCCCCCTATCGAATATTTCATCGATAAATATTTTGTTCTAAATAGTATTAAAATATATTCTTCTGTTGTTGTCATGACCCCAATCTGATGGGTTAAGTGCTTCATCACACCCCTAATCTGAGCCCTTAAATGGACGGATGGTGTGTTGGTGGGGGGTGTCTGACAGATTTTGCCAGGGCCGATTTTTTTTCCAGGCCTGGAAGGCCGTGATTGGCTGCCGGTCACACTGCTGCAGCACTGAAGAAAAAAGAAACAGGACGCGTTTTTAATTTTTAGCGGAAAGCCGAGACGTGATAGATGTTCGAATGGAAGTTGCTCGCCAGGGGTCTGTGTTTTGGGGCCCATAGACATTTCTGACTTATTTCTGACTTATTAATTGTTATGAGTTATTTATGAAGCAAAAAACGGAATATCTCGACAAAACGAGCAATTTAAAGACGTCTCTATGAACTCTGGAATGTAAATAATCAGAAGTTGCAGCTGCAAATTTGCTCTCTTCTACTCTGTTACTGCGGAGACTAGAAGTGTGTTCATGCACCTGCACAAATAAACAAATCTACGCTAACCGAGGTGCAGGACCAGTGGACTAACGGTAACTTGTTGGTATTCACAGAAGCAGGAAACTAAAAATCGATGCACCGGCATGAACACACAGTCGCCCTTCAACCTTCATACAAACAGAGCAGATGAGGTGCAGCAGCCAGAGGGGATAACTTCATCAACTCTGTGCTGCTCATTAAAGGAGGAACGAGGGACGGCGAGCGAAGGGCGGGGCTAAACTGGATGATTAATGCTCCTGTTTGCACCTTCCTTCATGAAAGAAATGTCACGAGTCAAACGTCTCCTTGACCGACTCGGGAAGGACACGAGGAACTGCAGGTTTTCAGTTCAGGAAGATTTTACCCTTACATTTCAGATTTTAACATTTTTAACTTGATTATAGCGTTTCTGTTCTTTGTCCCCAACATTAGTCCAGAAGTCAAATCAAAATCAGTCATTCCGCTGTAAAAAACTTTAAGGAGACATTTTTAAAAAACTGCTGTCTTGTGATTAATGGGTGTAAATGTTTTAGATCCTGTTTCATCAGAGATCTGAAGACACTCCGTCGATTTTATAACGCTGTCAAGACTCACAAAGGAAATTTTTAAATAAACGTACCAGAGATATATCTTGTCTTCTTTACTACCCACATTCCTCTTCCTTGTATCGTAGTGCCTGCATCACCCACCACGCAACTCAAACAGCGACAGCTCAGTCGTAGATTCAGGTGTGTTGTGCTAACGTAGCCTGCAGCAGGTCTGTGAGCACACTTCTTTCTGAATCCACGCCAAAAGATTTGCTTCATCTTCAAAACGAGGACATTTATCAGACTTCACACAGTTTCCTCCGGAGACACTAAAGCTGTTGTCACATACCACCATGCTACAACACAAGATCATTTTCCTTCACGTTCACTTTGACACGTTTCACACGTTTATTATCAGTTTAGATTTGTTTGCCTTTTTTCTGAGCTAGTAATAGTAAAAGTTTAAACCAACAGTGTGATCTGTGTTTTATATCTATGGATTTTATTGTAGGCAAGTGAAGTGTTGATTTGAGAGGATAAAATCAAGGGCATCGCTTTGTGTTGAAAAGTGGCGGGGACATAGGGGCTCAGATTAGGGGTGTGAAGAGACACTTAGCTCACGAGACATCACGATATGCGAGATCAGGTTCACGAGATAAAAAGATCCTTAAACAGTGTTTGAAAGACATCCTCAATGCTGAGATACATGAGCAGTAGGCCATGAAATGTTTCCTGCATTCTGGTGACAGTTTCTGCACCAATTTATGGTGGAAACACAAAAGTCAGGTTGCACATTACATTTTAAAATCTATAAATATAACATAATCTAAGTCAGTGCAGCTCTCAGTCATTCTGTGCTGCTTTCACATCGGATTCTCCTGTAGATCAACTTTTCTCATGTAATATCATCCCTGCTGAGGCAACACATATACAGATGTTCTGTACTGCTCCCTTGAAAAAAGAGATTTTTCCCCCATGTCATATAAAGGTTAAACAAATGTTCACAGGGAGAGGACGGAAAACTTGGCCAAACAGAAACTGTGTCCAGAAGTTGTTAAAGATACTGACCGACTGATAACAAACTACTATTTTAAAAAAGTGGTGAGGACAAAATCAGCCATTTCAAAAAGTGGCACCTTTGGAAAAATTGATCGTTAACTCTTAGTCTTCACTTTAAAAAACAAAAACATTTAATTAACAAAAGGAGAAAAAAACATTTTTCTAAATGAACTTAAGAACCAAGAAGAACAATAAACACTAAAAACAAACCTGAACTGTTTTAATGGCTGCAGCAGCAGCATAAGCTGTGTTCGGGGAAGGGGGGAAAGAATACGGCGCCTGTCGGGCTCGTGCTGAGAAATCTGATAAGCTGTCGGAGAAGGGCCGGGCTGGGGCTGAGACTGGAGGCCCGTGCAGAGCTCTAGTTACCAACCATGACGGATCAGCTGATGTAGCAGCAGAATCACGATATTGTTGCGCTGCGAATGCGTTTTCAGGCTGATGCTTTATAATAAAAGTGCGTGACGACGTAGAGATGAACGTTTTACACCAACATTTAATGACTTCCAAATGCTTCTCGTGATGTTTTGGATCATAACTGTGACTGGTGTGATGTCACCTCCTCTCCTTAAACCCTGAGCCCTGTAAAGAGTCTGCAGACGGAGTCATGAATATTTAAGAAGAGAGGAAACGTGCCGAGAAGCACAATGACTCAGAGCTGGAGGAAGTGCGGGAGATTTGTCGGTAACCCAGCCTGGGGCCAGCAGATTTGATCTTTGATCTGAATGCTGGCCGCCGCAAAAATCTGCATTTAATCCGGGCCCGAGGAACCACGGGGACCTGTCGCCACGGCAACAGATGGGCCGGAAGGAAGACACACTGGATGATAAAACATAAAACCAAGTGTAACGCAAAACCCACTATCTCTCTGTTAAACACACACAAAGCAGTGCCGGCATTTGTAAAACAACAAGGAACCCCTGCGTTCTGGTGGCGTTCTGGTGGCGAGGAACAAGAAACACCAAAACTGTCTGCGTGAAGAAACAACATTTCAAAAAGGATTCTCTAAAGAGAGACACACTTCTGCTTAAGTTTAGAGCTGACCCCGAATAGTCGAAACTACCAGTTTTCTCCCAATAAGTTAATATACAGCCTGTTACAATACACATTTCAACTATTAATGCTGTAAATAAACATGTAAAAAGAATAAAACTTTCAATAAATGTTTTTAAAGTGTGTGAATAAATCCAAAACCCTAACCCTGGCTCGTCAGCGTGCATGTGTGCAGCAGCAGAAGAGGAACACTTGCAGAAGAGACGGAGCCCCAGCTTCACTGGTGTTGTGCCGAGTTGTCCGCACCTCGCGGGACTTTCGGATAATTTATCACCATCGACAAACCAAACAAAGAATATTTTAGCGTTTTTAAAATAGCTGGCTACTTGAAATTAACCCATGGAGCTGTCGGCAGCACGGCATGCACGCAAAACTCTGCAAAAGACCGGTGACTGGCAGAGAGAGAGAGAGAGAGAGAGAAGGGTCTTCAAAAAGCCTCAGTTTAGCTGCAACTACAGTGTAAGTTGAATGAAAAGACTGCAGCTCCTCAAGATTAAAGCGGAGATAAATTTATTCTCACTTGTAGATCTCCTACTGTTTTGAGGCTTGTATGTTGTTCCTAAAATGTAAGTTGCTTTGGATAAAAGCGTCAAATGAATAAATGTAAATGTCACTGGGTGGGATATTCAGGCAGCAAGTGACCGTCGCGAACATATCAAGCGTGAGGATTTGAGCCCGTGTGGTCTGATCCAACAGACGGGCTACTGTAGGTCAAACTGATGAACAAGTCGATGCTGGTTCTGATAGAAAGGTGTCAGAACACACAGAGCACACGGTGGAGTCCAGGCTTCGACGGGCAGTTTTTGGCTGCAGAAGCACGTGGTCATAATGTTATGGCTCATTTAAGTTCATACAAGTTTTTGAAATAACATCATTAAGATTGAAGTGATCTTGAAACAGGGACCTTCGCTCTATGACTCAAAAAGTGAGTAAACAGTGAGCATGAGGTCTGTAAATAGAGACAGTTTGTTTACAGGTTGTGTAGAAGTTTTCATCCGGGTTACGTCAAAGGAGTTTTGCAGGTCTCAATTGAACCGAGTGTCCACATGCCAGCACGGTGTCGTATGTAGTCCTAGATAAGCAAACTGATCTGCGTAAACAGTTTACCTTCTCCAGAGAGGAACTCTGATTCATAGAGTCATTTCACAGGAGTGACCTTATCAGCCTTACAACGTGATGAAGAAGAACAGTCAAGCGCTGATGGTAGATTCCACTTGGGGGGACACTTTGACCGTCCCTAAAACAGTCCACTCTGCTCGTGCAAGAACAAAGCCTACATGACGTCTTCAAAATGGAAAACACCAGCTCCTTAAAGGTGAACCTTATCTACCTGTTTTTTTATGCTTTTCTCTCCCTCTGTATGCAACCTTATCCCATTATTGCATGTTACTAACACAACTTCTCCCCTTTCTGGTAGTCTTGTGCTTTCTCGTCTCTCTCCTCTCTCCTCCTATCACTTCCTGCAGGTGTTTCTGGAGCTGTGGAGTCTGGATCTGTGGTTGCAGGTCACCTGCTGCCCCCGTGTTCCTGCTCGACACCCTCTGCTGCAACGACTATTGTTGCTATTCTTATTATTATTATAATCATTAACTTTACGATGGTTACCATTAACACTATTATAAATATCTGTACCATTTTTCATTTAGTTTATAGCAACATTACCTTCACTGTCTGTACCTCTGTGTATGTATATTGTGTAGGCTGCCTCCCTCCCCTCGTCTCTCTCTCTCTCTCTCTCTCTCTCTCTCTCTCTCTCACCCCAACCGGTCGAGGCAGATGGCCGCCCACCCTGAGCCATGGTTCTGCTCGAGGTTTCTGCCTCTTAAAAGGAAGTTTTTCCTTGCCTCTGTCTCCTAGTGCTGCTCTTGGTGGGAACTGTTGGGCTTCTGTAAATAGCATCATAGAGTACGGTCTAGACCTGCTCTTTTATGAAAAGCGCTGTGAGATAACTGTTGTTGTGATTTGGCGCTATATAAATAAAATTGAATTGAATTGATTGGGGTAAATCTTTATCTCTTTATCTAATTATTGATATCAGTATCGGCCTCAAAATTCATTCTGAATATAAACCACTCGTTCAGAAGAAGTTATTTTGTCCAAAACGTTGAAATAATCTGGCAGTGCGTTACTGCTCGAGTAATTAATTTTTGCAGGAAACGGGTGAACGGGTGTCTTCTCTTGTTTTTAAGAAAATCTGAGTTTTAGGGCTTGAATTGTAGAAAAAATACTTTTTTTTCTACATTACTGTCTCTCCTGACTATATTAGTCTTTATTCAGATTAAAACGTCAGCCCTGCTCCTGCCATGAAACACGGCGGAGGCAGTAATGAATCCGCACACAGAGGTGTTTGATTTTAGAGTTTCAAATCGTGTTGAGTCAGAAAGTGACGACGGCGGCCGCAGATTTCATTGCACCTTGTAGAGTCGCTTATTAAAGGACGTCCTCTACGAGCAAACGGAGCGGAAGTTTTAGCAAATTTAATCTACAAGAGTGTCTTTTACACTGAACTTCTTACACTACTTACTTAATATTACAGGATATGTACATTTTCTCCATCAGTCTCCTCGGTACATATGACACCTGATTCGCGTCTGTTTGAATTAGGAGGGTCTGACGCTCTCCGAGGGACTTAAATTATTATTTTAGTATAAATTAAATCAGCTCGACTCTGGTTCGGCTGATCGGGACGAGCGGTAAGTAGAGATTGGATTTATAAAAACAGCAAGACTGATGCACGTACGTCTATAAAAGTGCAGAATTCCAAATAACATCCAGGTATATTTAGGTTTGCACACAGCCGTTTGTGTTAAAAAACATTTTTTCACTCTTGTCTTGTGGTTTCTATCCATTAAAAGGTTAAGACGTCTGCCTCCACCCCAAGAGAGGGGAAGAGGATTTAATTTGTAATGCCAACAGCACTGAAAAATCTAATTTAATGTTTTCTCTTTGCAGAAACTGTGTCCATTTCTGTGATACTCCACAGAACACACCGCTTTACAGAGTCTGAGAGTCTGAATTCTGCGTGTGAAGTTTTCCAGCCTTCACATAAATCCATAAACGTTTACCCTTTTCATGATGCACAATAAATATTTTACAGACAGTAGTAAGACGGGATGAGGAGGAGGGGCACAGTATCATTCATCCTCTTAGTGTTGTAGTACTCGAGACCGGTCTTAAGACCACTTTTTGATGGTCTTGGTCTCGTCTCGGACTCGACCGCATTTGTACTGGGTCTTGTCTCGGTCTCGGTCATTGAGGACTCGGGATTTTATTTCAAGACCATAACTTTGGGAAAATCAATAAATTGCTAACTTTGCTTGGATGTAACTCGTCTCGCTTCAAGTGCAACCAATAACACCGATTAAAATGTGTTGTTCCCGTTAACGACTGTCCCCCCTCCACGCGATGGTAAGCGTGGAAAAGGAGCGTTGAATAAAGATGTTTGTACGTTGATTTCAGCTCTTAGTGTTTGTATGTGGGTGTTTTAATGGGAATGTGGATCTTTCAGATCACTTTGAGAAGTGCCTGTGATCTCATTCAACATTTTATTGTGCGTCATGTAATGTGGGGTACTGGTCTTGGTCTTCACTCAGTCTCCCCCCCGCTTCGGTCTTGGTCTCAGCCCCTAAAAGTCTTGGTCCTGACTCGGTCTCCCCCCCTCGGTCTTGGTCTCAGCCCCTAAAAGTCTTGGTCCTGACTCGGTCTCCCCCCCTCGGTCTTGGTCTCAGCCCCTAAAAGTCTTGGTCTTGACTTGGTCTTGCCCTCCTTCGGTCTTGGTCTCGGCTGAGAAGTGCCTGTGATCTCATTCAACATTTTATTGTGCGTCATGTAATGTGGGGAACTGGTCTTGGTCTTGACTCAGTCTCCCCCCCGCTTCGGTCTTGGTCTCAGCCCCTAAAAGTCTTGGTCCTGACTCGGTCTCCCCCCCTCGGTCTTGGTCTTGACTCGGTCTCCCCCCCTCGGTCTTGGTCTCAGCCCCTAAAAGTCTTGGTCTTGACTCGGTCTCCCCCCTCGGTCTTGGTCTCAGCCCCTAAAAGTCTTGGTCTTGACTCGGTCTTCCCCCCTCGGTCTTGGTCTCAGCCCCTAAAAGTCTTGGTCTTGACTCGGTCTTCCCCCCTCGGTCTTGGTCTCAGCCCCTAAAAGTCTTGGTCTTGACTTGGTCTCGCCCTCCTTCGGTCTTGGTCTCAGCCCCTAAAAGTCTTGGTCTTGACTTGGTCTCGCCCTCCTTCGGTCTTGGTCTCAGCCCCTAAAAGTCTTGGTCTTGACTTGGTCTTGCCCTCCTTCGGTCTTGGTCTCACCTTGGTCTCAGCCCCTAAAAGTCTTGGTCTTGACTCGGTCTTCCTAAACTCTGGTCTTGGTCCTGACTCGGTTTCGGTTTGGGCGGTCTTGCCTACAAAACTACCTCCTCAATTTATGACTTTAAAGTCAGTCTCTGGTAAACGGTCTGTCCCTGTAAAAGCTCCTTTCTAGTCTTCCGACCACTTAAATAGTTTTTGAACTACGTCACATTCACCCATTCATACGCTGATGGCGGAGGCTAAGGTGACGCCTGCTCATCAGAACAGAAATTAACATTCACGCACACTCCCGTCGGGAGCAAGTTGGGGTTCGGTATCTTGCCGAAGGACACTTCAACATGCAGACCGAAGGAGCCGGGGGACCGAACCGCTCAGGAGGTAGAGCCGTTTGAAGTACAAGGTCTATAAGTTGTTTCGACGATGGTCTCACATTTTTTAATCTTATTGGGGAGCAAACCTTTCCACGCTGTTGCACACGAGGTATGACAATATAAATGAAAAGTATTTTGCTCCAAGAGACGGTGTTTTTCCAAGCAAGCTGCATTCATATGGAACTCTTACTTAACGTAATAAAGGACACTAGAAATTACAGGTTCTGAAGAGAGTCGTCTCTCGTGCTCAGTTTGTTATTTTGCACTATAAATCCATCCAGTGAACAAACAGCTCCTGGGTTAAAACAACAAAGGCCAACAGAGGGCTCCCGTCTGCAGGACGCCTGGAGCGAGCGACCCGACACCCACCTGAATCCTCCTCTCCTCCTCCTCCCTCTTCTTCCTCTCCTCCTCTTCCTGCTTTCTCTTCAGCTCCATCTCTGCTTTCCTGACGGAGGGGGAAAAAAGAAAAGAAAAGAAGAAAGTACAGAAGGAAGCAGGGAGATAAAGAGACAGAGAGATAAAAGGGGAACGAGACCAATGAGAGACAGAAAGAGATGTTGATTAAGAGGAAGAGAGCGAGGAACAGATGGGGAATGAGACAAAGAAAGAAGAAGTGGAGATGTATAATGGAGAATAAATTAAAACAGACGAGAGACAGAAAGACAGAGAGAGGAAGGGAGGGGAAATAAAGTTAGATTAGTGAAGTGAATAAACCGGCTCCTCCTAATTGATGCCGACATCAGCCATCTTCTTCTCTAACTAGAAAGTATACGACTCAGCGTTTCTCCATTAGCAGAGTTAATTTGAGCGTTAAAACATATCTACTCTGTGCATACGTTTAAAAGTATGTTTATACATAAGTGCACTTTGTTTGGATTATTTGATTAATCGTTTGGTCCATAATATGTCCAACGTTGTTAAAAAATGTCCATTAATTGAGCTGCAACGATTAATTAAATAATCAATAACCTGTGAACTATTAAATATATATATTTTTTAAATCTATTAAATCGATTGTTTTTTTTTGAAGAAAAATTATCTTATTCCAGCTTCTTAAATGTGAATATCTTCTGGTTTCTTTCCTCCTCTATGACAGTAAACTGAATATCTTGAAATTAGAGGACGTCGTCTCGGGCTTTGGGAAACACTGACATTGTAAAGACTAAACAACTAATCGATTGATCAACAAAATAATCGAAAGCAATGGTTAGTTGTAGCCCTGTGTTTTCTTAAAGTTCGAGGCGATGTCATCAAATTGCTTGTTTTATTCAACCAATAATGTAAAAACTCAAATCCATTCAGTTTACGATATCAAGAAAGCAGCAAATTATCTCAATAAAGAAGCTTTATTAAAAGAAGAAGATTTTCTACTTTACTTGGACAGATTTGCTGCTAAATCAAACAGAAAAGAAATATTCTCCCGTGTCTGTTTCAGTTGCTCTTAAACTGTGTTTTCTTGCTCTTTGCCTTTTTATTTTTGTCGTGCACTCGCAGGAAAACTATCAGAGCACTCCGGCTCTGACATTTGCACTCCTTTACTACCGACTGCTTGTACTCGCCGGTCATCTAGGAATTGAAGGTCATTCTGCTGCTGCGAACTGCTCTAAATAGAAACATCAGCCAAACGGGTAAAAGAAAGAAAAGCGCCGTGCTCGGGAGCCACAATGTTGGGGAGCCTGCTGGGAGACATTTCCATCAACAGGTAGCCTTTAACACATCCTAATAAATAATGTTTGGATTAAACCTGCACTGGATCTGTGCTGAAATGGGAGCCAAGTGACTTGATAAAGGCCTTGTAGTGCACCTCAGCATGCCACCACGCTCCTGCTTTCACGACCTTCAGTGACCTTAAGGTGAATCTTATAACTTGCCAGAGGAGGAGAGTAAAAATGAAGGGAAAGTGAGCCATAAAATTTGCGCTGTCGTCTCTAATGTCTTATATTAGCGGGTAGTGGTTTGTGACGAACACAATGGCCCCCATCAGTCCTCCTAAAAGACTTTCCGTACTGAAGGAGGGCAGGTTTGTGGGGGTCAAACCTGAGTGAGGAATATGCCTGCCACGATCTGGACAGGAAATTAAATTTCCCATGTAACCGCGTGCAGAGCTTGATGGATTCAAATCCGCGTCGGTCAATTACATGATGTCATTCAGGAAATAGAGGAGGACACGCGAGGACGGCCGGATGCCCGAGCAGAGAACGAACAAAGACAGAAAACAGATCCAAGCAGACCGATTGTCCTCATTCACACAGTTTTCCTAAAATCCTGCACAAACATTAAATGAATTGGAGTTTTATTCTTTAAATGCATCCATTCTGAATTTCGATGTGCGTTAAAGCTTCACTAATTAATATTTTATGTCTTAGGATAAAGAGTTTTTAGGCCTTATAAATATATATTGACTGCATTTATAGAAGGAAATTAAGGTGTGCTGTCAAACTAAACCTGCCTCTCCCGTAGGGCTGGACAATAAAACAATTATCGCCATACAATTTTTTTCCAATAACAATATAACAAATGTTCAATGAATATTCATTAAATGTTTAATTTTATTTACTTGACTCATACATGGATTAGGACTTAATTTTATAATTTTCCTTATAAGTCCTTTAAGATGTTTATTTTGTTGAGGAAAAAGCTTTTACTTCATTTTACTCGTGCATATTTGCTGACAAAGATTTTATCATAATCGTTTTGAATGTTCTGCCTCAGATTTGTGACCCACTCTTTGGCCTCGAGTGTCTGACCGTAAAGAAAACCTCAATAAACCATCAGGTTTCTTCAACTTTCACTCAGGAGCAAAAATCAGCATTTAAACTCAAAGAAATAACGATTTGATAATTATCGTGATAATTATCGATAAAAAAATCTCCAAAAAAAGTCGTGTTAACTTCTCTTCTTTTGTTGTGGAATGGAAAAACTATTTTTAGAGACTACTATGTATTCTATAATAATGTCCTCTACATTATAAAATCTCATAATTAATTGAATTAACTCCTCTAAACTAAAACTGTAAAACAGAAAGGGAGGATTTGTTACAGGACTGTTTCATGAAGCTACATTAGTTTTAGCTAGGTGTACCTAATAAACTGGCCACTGAGTGTGTGTGTAAGAGTGGTCTAATATCCGTATTTGTTTTATTTAAAAAGATATTAAGGTTATAAGAAAGCTACTTGTACATAACGTGAGGGGTTTGTTTTCTTGATTCAGTGTCTGAACCTCACATTTTACCAAATTAATCTTTAATTTTATGGCTCCAATAACGCAGCAGTTAACCCCAAATATCAATTTCAAAGTCTAGGGGCAACAGCCGAACTGCTGAAGCCATCGGACACATGAACCAACTCCAGCAAATCCTGAATTAAATCATTTAAACTTGACCTGATTTCTTTACATCGGACTTGTACAAAGACGTTTCCGTATATCTCTGAGGCCGCGGCCGCCGACATTCTTGCGATTGTTCTCCCTGTAATGACGGGCGCTGGGGAATTGAAGCTCATTCTGCTGCTGCACTCGTAAATCACCCGTGGACGAGAGTGTCAGCTAAATGCAGAAAATATAAAAAGCAAGCCTGATAACTCTTCTGTAAAAATAAATCCTTTTGGAGCAGCGATCTTATTATGTAAATCCCCTCTGTTACCTTTAAATATGAGTGAACACTGAGTGTTTTTGTCCACTGCAGCATTTTTCAGGCTTTTGCCGGGTCGAAATACGCCAACTTTGACAAGTGCCTCTTAATTTTTGGCTAAAGCAAAACAAAAATGTTTCATCTGAGCCTCAGTCAAGAGGCTGAAATGTAAAAGTACTCCAACCTGAACCCCCCTCCCACTTACAGTCGGCGGTCCTCCTCCTCCTGCTTGCGCCGCTGCTCCTCCTCCTCCCTCCTCTTCTTCTCCCTCTCCATCTCCTCCTCGATGCGCCGGAGCCGCTCCCTCTCCTCCTCCTCCTTCTTCTTGTTCTGCATGGCGGTCAGCAGCTGCTCCGACCGGGTCACCAGGGCCTGGTACTCGTGGTCGATCTCGATCCGGCTCATGATGGTGCTCTGACAGACACAAAAAAAACAGAATCAACTTAAAGTTGATGCATCTGGACTGCAGGATTTATTTAAAACGGTTAAATGGTGATGATTTAATTCTCAAGTATTCACTTCAGTGGCAGAGAGAGGCCTTTATTGGGGACAGGCTTTTATTAGAGACTAGTGCGCAGAAGATAATTTCATATCCCAACAACAATATATATCCCGATATTAGGGGTGTGACACTTAACCCACGAGATCGAGACGACATCGAGATCTTAACACTATTTTTAAGAAATCTTTAGTGCTGAATTATAAGAAAATTTTGAGCATTAAACATTTTAATTCCTGCATTCAAACTGGTGAAAATGTTTTTATTTATATAAAGAGAAACACAAAATCAGGTGACGATTCAAAATCTATAACCTAACTATAACAGAATGTAAGTCAGTGCAGCTCTCAGATCTGTTATCAACTTATTTAATCTCATCCCTGCTGAGTCATGATTCAGTTTTCCCTCCTCTTTGCGTCTTTGTTTGGGGAAGTAACCTCTTTAAATGTGACTGTGGCTCCTTTTCACCTCAATGATAAAGTATTTAATTTTAATGTAGTTAGAAACTCCTGGACTTTAGTAGCTCCTGTGTTTCAGCAGCTTTCAAAACTTTCTGCACGTTCAGAATCTCTCCCGCAGATCTGTGTGCTCTGACAGGTCCAGACAAAAGGCAGAATATTACCAGACTAACGTTATCATTTAATGAGAAGTCTACCTGCCCTTTACTCTGCTGTGCATTACGTTATTAATCCGCTGGCAGTAACGTTATCCCCTTCAGACCGTCTGCAACCGAAAGCAACTGAAACACTTTTGATCGGGCAGAAATCTCACCACAAATCCACACACGTTAACTTCCAGCGCAGCTCAGATAAAGTGCAGCCAATCAGAGCAAGCTTGCGCCACAGTTGGTAGATGTTTATGTTGCAAGACTCTACCAGCTATGTCACCACTCGTCACAGGTTACGAGATCTCGTCACAGCCCTACCCACTACGGAAAAGGGGTGGTGATGGGGCAGCGGATAAGACACAGGTCAACCAAAGCAGGCCCCGCCGCCGTTAGTTGTCGACAACATCTTGAACATGAGTGAGGAACAGGGGAAAACCACTGAAACGGGGGATTTGGTTGCAAAAAGAAAAGCAACTTTTGTAAACCACTCAGTGGGCTGATGTATGGCTGCTTACTGCGTGAAAGCTCTAGAAAGGATAGTTGTATTTTTTCATATCGTAATATATATATATCGCAGAAAAGAAAAAACATTGCAATGTCAGTTTTTCCAAATATCGTGCAGCCCTACTAGGAGCATTCTGCATTTAAAAGGTCTCTCTACAGATCGATCCATCTTTTAACTTCCTTATTCAAATTCTGCAGATGCCTGTTCGAACTTCGATATTCAATAGACTTTTTGTTTTGTTTTTTACAGATTTACGCTTGTGGGAAATTCCTGAAACTCATGCAGCCGGCCCTCCCTGAAGACTGGAACTTGTTCGGCAAGGTTCACTGTGTAGCAACATCCTAGCAGATAACACAAAGCAAACACCTAGAAACGTCTTAGTAACCACCAAGTGAGGATCTGGCAACACCCCAGCAAAAATGTTGAAGCGTGAATTACATAAAGGCAGTGAGTAAATCTTCCTCAGCAAGTTTATTTCCTGTGCACGCCGCTTCAAAAGCTGTCAGCATCTATAATCACGGCCAAAAATCCAAGCGGCTCTGAGGATGTTCTTTACTGTGATGATGGGGATGTCAGAGCCGCAGACTACAACGTCTCAGCTGGTCTCTACGTCCTCTGAGAGCATCAGGAATCTCACAATTCAATCCCAATCTGACGGCTTCCACAGCCACACCTGACCCGAGGAGGGAAGCGTCTCGTGGCAGATGAATATTCATTCGCATCTGCCAGTTACTCTACAACAAATCCGCAGGGTGGCGGTTTGACGTGACGGGAGCGTCGCACTGCTGAGTCCTTCGACCAGCGTTTGTCCTTCTAATCCCGACATTTACCGCGAGGGGGACAAAGAAGACAGCGATGCTAAATTATGAAAAATTAAGCCGAAAAATAGGATATTAAAGATTCGTGACATTCATAGGCAAGATTATGTCGAAAGAAGGCGGGTCTTAAAGTCGGAGACCGCACACAACTTAATCCAGTTCAACAGCAAACAGCATTATGATAACAAGGAGTCAGGAGTCTCGACAATCCACCAGTTTGGGTAAATCTCTCTGAATCATCCGCTCGCAATGTCAAAAATCATCTCTTCATCTATCCACATGAAACGCTGGACTTCATCATTCTATATTTAAAAAAACTAAAATTGCTGGGGATCCAATCTGTTCTCATTTCATCAAGCAGGGATTTGAGACGCCACCCGTCCGTCAAACTGCACCAGAATGTGGTTTAATTTCATGCTGCCCGTCATCTTCTGAGAGGAGGCGGCACTCGTGTCAAAACGGTGGATATCCTGATTTTAAAACAAAACTCTTCACATGCACGTGTCAGTCAGAGCAGACAGCACCACAAAGGGGCTTTTACTAAAGGATACAGAGGAATTTAGTCTTTAAATACAATTCACAGCTGAATTCAGGGCTTTAATAGCAGCCAGATGAGCTCAGACTGTCCGTCTCACCCACCTTGATTTTGATCATCAGCGTGTCGACGGCGGCCTCCAGCTCCTGGATCTGCCTGCTCATCTCCTGTTTGCCCTCCTTCAGCCCGGCCACCACCTCGGTGAAGCGGTCCATCCTCTTCTTCAGGTTGCGCACCTTGACTAGCCCGTCGATGCTAAACAACATAGAAACATAACATAACATTTAAAAAAGGGGTAATTCCACGCTCCATAAAGGTCAGGTGTAAATCGACGCAGCACAGGCAGAGATATCCCGAGTTATAGATCCTACACTTCCCATAATGCAACTTGATTTCTGAATTCTGTACGTGCATTTTACATCTTTAAACAATATCCTGGATCATAAAGGTCTATGTTAAATATTATTTCTGAGAAAGAACTTTCGGTCTGTTTTGCACGGCAGGTGGCTCTAAATACTACATTACCCATGAGCCTCACTGTCGTTGCTCTGGAGAAGAAGCCAGTCAAGAGGTGCAAATCAGAGCAGTAGCGATTAAAAAAAAAAAAAAAGCCTAGGCATTGAATTTGATGATAAATCTTCACAGCATAGTTACAGAATGAATCCAAAAGTGAATTAATTTAAGATACAAAGAAAATTAGATCATTTTACAACAGGGTTGTAAAATAAAATGCAGTTTGTAGATCCCTTATGCTAGCTTGTATTGCTGGTTTTCTCACCAGTGCAAATATGACAGAATTTTAACCTTCGTGATTGGATGTTTCTCGCCAAAATGCACCTTGGGAGTTTTTATTAAAGGATCAGATATTTTCTAACTCCTTAATAATTTGCACCGGTGATTCAGAACCAGGAGAGTTTCACGTCCATCCAAGCCGCAGAAGTTAAACTGGAAAAAAATGATATATACACAGAATCAGCCCTCACATGAATGTAAATATCTGATTCTATCTTTTCATGTGACAACACTGAAGAAATGACTCTTTGCTCCAATGTAAAGTAGTGAGTGTGCAGCTTGTATAACAGTGTAAATTTGCTGTCCCCTCAAAAAATAACACATCACACAGCCGTTAATGTCTAAACCGCTGGCAAAAAAAGTGAGTACACCCCTCACATTTTTCTAAATATTTGATTCTATCTTTTCATGTGACAACACTGAAGAAATGACACTGTGCTCCAATGTAAAGTAGTGAGTGTGCAGCTTGTATAACAGTGTAAATTTGCTGTCCCCTCAAAATAAAACATCACACAGCCGTTAATGTCTAAACCGCTGGCAACAAAAGTGAGGACACCCCTAAGAGAAAATGTCCACATTGGGCCCAATTAGCCATTTTCCCTCCCCGGTGTCATGTGACCTGTTAGTGTTACAAGATCTCAGGTGTGAACGGGGAGCAGGGGTGTTAAATTTGGTGTTTTGGACTTTTCCTATCAGTCCCTCCGCCTGCTAACCAACCACGTCATAGTCGCCCAAACAAACGAAGCCCTGATGACGTCGGACTTCATAAAGCTCCTCCCACAGCCAAAGAAGACGTTACGCAAACGACACTGACCTTGACCTTATTCTGGATTCCAGTCATGATTCCAAAGACACGAATATGTCAGGTTGACTTTTGGGGAAATGTGCATAAACGGTGGAGCCACCCAGACTTTTGTATTTGATGTGACAGCGCAGCCATAAAAAAAAATCTGATTGTGTGGGATTAGATTTGAATGTCACACACAGAGAGGATCCTGTAAAGCTTATTGAAGTGTATTTTTAAGGGGATAAATGAAGATAGTCTTCTTGGTCAGAGCGGACACTACTGGAATGGTCTTCCTCTAACATCAACTTCATGAGTTACCTTACTACCTCATCTCTGGCACTCGTTACAGGGTAAATGGTAAATGGTCTGTACTACTTAGTCCAATCAAAGCACTTCACACTACATCACATTCACCCACTGATACATTAGAAACAGAAATTAACATTCAAACACACTCACACACTGATTGAACAGCCATCGGGAGCAATTAGGGGTTCAGTATCTTGCCCAAGGACTCTTGGGGGGATTGCGCCTGTATCGTATAGCTGCAGTACTGGAGGCTAAAACCTAAAACCACATTTCCACTGAGTGATCTGCATGATGTTTCTGCACTTTCAGTACTGCATTTCTAGGAAAAGCTTCTTTCTCAAATACTACTTTCTGTCCAACCAGACATTTTAAAAGGTCAGAGAATCAACAATTTATACAAATACACCAAGCCGATCTCTACCACATGAGCCTCGATGTTTTTAAATATCTTATGTAATGTATTTATATATTGTAATGTTTTCCAATACTTATTGAATGATTTTATGCAAAACATATGAAATAATAAACCTGATCGTGTTGCTTTTAATTATCATGAAACAAATCTGAAAGCGATACATAAAACATTTATTATATAATTAAATATAAAACTATTAAAATTTTAAATGAATGTAACGTGCAAAGCGCCTCGTTTAGGAATTTAAATAAAATTAAATAAAGTCAACAGGACTAAAGTAATAAAAATAAAACTAATTTCATGTTTGTCACCAATGTCGTCTTAATTAAATCTCCGCCCCAGTCATTAATACGCCCCCCCAATCACACAGTCCACCTCATCAGCCGCACACCCAAACACAATCACACAGCCTGTTAGCACAGACCAGCAGGTTGCCAGATCAGACAATAACCCCCTGCAGAGGGGAAAAAAACCTTCTTCTTCTTCTTCGCACACTCCCTCTTTCCTCCCACCTGCCCCTGCTCTGGTTTTTATCATCAAATATCAGAGGTAGTAAGCGGAGCTGTACGTGTTGGCGGGCGTGCGCGTCAGGCAGAATGACACTGCTGAGCTGTGAAAGTGGCAGATAATGAAGAAGAAGAAGAGAAAGATGAAGAGCAGGGGGTTTAGGGAGGAACTGGAGGACGGAAGAGAGATATAAAAAGATGAATGTAATGAAGAAGGGAAGGAAGCGTGAAAAGAAACCTGGGGGGGGTCAGGTTGAAATGAGGATGTTAATGAGAAAAGAGGATCGGGGGAGAGGGAGAAAGATAAGAGAAAAGAAATATGGCGTAACGAAAAGAAAGGTGGAGAAAAGAAGCAGGGGGCGGGAAGAGAGGGTGAAGGAAAGGAGACAAGAAAAGAGAAGGTGGAAAGAAAAAATACCTTAAAAAAAAGAGCGAGAACAGAAGCAGAAAGGAAAGAAGGTCGGGAAGAAGAAGAGGCGAAATTTGGAGACAAGCGAGAGAATTTGGTGGCTGGAAAGAAATGAAAGTAAAAGAGGAGGTGGATAAGTAAAGTAAAACAGAGAGGGATGAAGAACTGTGAAAGGGAGAGAGTTTAGATGAATAAAGAGGAGAAGAGGAAAGAGCTGGAGGTAAGAAGAAGGAGGACGACGACAGGACACCCACCGAGGCTTGTGCTTCTTCCTGCACAGCCACATCCGGACCGTCTTCTGCATTTTGATACAGGCGCCGGTCCGGTACAAAATCTTGTTCTTCACTGCAAGAGAGAGAGAAAAGAGTGTTAAGAACTTGTTTTGCACTACATTCTGCACGACCACGCCGGAAATCAAATGTGTGTTTATAGCTGAAAAGAACTGGAGCACCGGTGGGTGTAAGGGACACCAAAAGAACTCTTTTTGATTGGTCGGTACCAAAGATAATGGAAACCCAGCCTTAATCAGGAATAAGCCAGACCAGGCTCCATAAGCCTGACGCTCTCCTGTGAGCTGCCCCTCCAAGCACAGCTCCAGGAGGGACCCCTGTTTCTTTCTCCAAGTACAGAATGTAAATATTAACTACTCAGAATAAGTTTACAAACTTCTACACAGAAGCCACCAGCTTTCAGTCATCCAGGTCACGGTTATCCAAGAAAGGTTCAAGTCGAGGGCAACTGCACCGGGGCCAACGCCTCAGGTCAAGACTTAGCCATTTACCTACATTTGAAGGATAAGGGACACTCTTTCAATGACAACCATTTACATATTTTGGACCGGGAGGACGGGCGGTTAGAAAGAGGTGTGAATCAGGCCATTTACACCAGAATAGAAAGACCAGTCGCTGAACGGAGGAGGAGGGCTAAGACACCACTTATCCTACTTAAACCTACAACGCTGTCCTTTCAGCTCGATGCACCTTGATGACGACCCCGCAGAGGTTAAGTGGCTGGGATTCCCTGCCAGACAGTCAGAACTGATAAGCCCCTTGGGTGAGAGGCGAAGCGCTTTCAAGCACCCGCAACCTTCACCGTCCACTTGCCCCCGATTCTGACCTTCCTTGGACACCAGCCGTCTGTGAGGGAAGCTCGTCCCGCTGTTGTCCTCTGTGAAAACCCTCAGAAGTTTTACAAACTGATAAACTCCACGGGTTTTTACTCACGTGCCTTATCTAAAGTAAAACACCTCTTATTCCAAGTTTTTGAAAAAGTTATCAGCGCTTTTGTTTCCCTTGACTAGTCAGTCTTCACTCTGCAGTATGTTCAGATAGCCGGTTCCTGCAAGCGTGAGCATTTTCCCACCGTACTTGCCTCCCTCCACTCGATCCCTGTCCGTTATGGAGTTCATTTTAAAACCTTGCCATTTTGTCTACTGAGCACTTCATGGATTGGCTCCCTCTTATCTATCTGACCTTTTAACCCCTTATACGCCATCTGAGGCACTCAGGTCTGCTGATCAGTCATTTCTGGTCGTCCCTCGTGCTTTGGCGGAAGCTCGGGGATCGTGTGCCCTCTCAGTCTGCAGAACAAACTGCCCCCTCTACCGAGTCCTTCAACAAAGCACCTGCATATATTCAAGCTTTCTTCTGCCTTTGTTTGTAAAGTTCTTTGGTCAGCTCAAGTTGTTTTAAATATGCTTTAGAAATAAATTTGACTTGGCTTTAATTTGTAATGAATATAGTGAATTTCATACAGTTTTACATTCTGTGACAGTTGCAGGATTTCTTGATCTCTTTACAAAACAAAAAGCACCATTCATCATTTCAGCCTTTTCCCAGGTCTTTGGCAACATAGATGCTTTTTTCTGTCGCGCCAGTGAAGCGAGTTCAAATTGAATTGAAGTGAGAAAATTAGAGGGAGAGAGGAGGGGAAAAAAAAAAAAAAAAAAAGAGGGAGCGCCGGAGAGATGAAGGGTGAAAGATAAATAGAGACAGATATCGATAACATCACTGTCTGCAGCCAAATAAATTAAATTTTGTTAAGAACTTCTACTCCAACGATAACAGAACTGAATTAATAGCTCTGGATTTACTGAACTGAATTTTCGACTGCCTTTTACGACTGCTGCTGCGACATTATGAACCTTGCGGATCGGACGAATGCATTTATTTTTAATGGGATATGATGATATGCTTCGGCAACACCTGCTTCGGTTCAGTTCCTGCCAATAAAGCTAGTTTTCAATTAGATCGATAACGACAACAAAGAGCTGGAGGCGGAGATAAGGACAGTTAGAGAGAGAGAGAGAGATCTGCAGAGACTAATAGAGAAAGAGAGGGGTGGACAAACCGAGACAGAAGGAGAGAAACTACTAGGGAAGAAAGAGCGATTAAGACAGACACAGAGAGAGAGAGGTGTTATGATAGCAGCCTGCAGTGACTGACATGAACTCTCCTCAGACACTGCAGTGATAAACATAAGAAAGCAGACAGATATCCCCCTCCTCCAGGAGCTCAACCCCACATTATTAACAGCAGTCTGTCTCTGCTGCACAGTCTCTCTGCTGCAGATTACACCGCCCATGGTTTGTTTTGCTGTTGTACTCTGCTCCATCCACGAGGCCCTTGGGTATTTTTTTTGACAGCCATCTGTGCATACTGATCCATCTCTTGTTTGCATGATCGGATTTCCAACATGACTGCCTGGACAAAACTGAGAGCGATAAGGAGCAAATGCACCGAAAGCTGCGATAGGGAGAGCGAGCAAAAGAAAAGCGATGCATAAATTTGTGGAGAATTACTCTCCACTCTATGCGCCGTTCATGCAACCCGGTTTCAGGGTCATCAACATGACAGGGTTTCTTTAAGTTACTCGTACTGAGACTTCTGGGAACCAGGTAACGACAGCTGCTTAGCTCTTATATCAAACAAAACTGTCTTCTCTATGGGGTTTCCTCTCAGTTTGAAGAACATAGAGCTGTCCTGCTGTTAGCTATTCATTTATAAACTAAACCAAATCCACGCAGACTCAGACTCGGGGGGTTAGCGTGTGTCCTGCTGCTGATCATCAAACTACCTTCAGCTTGGTGTCTAACCTGCAGCGTGACTGAACGAGCCGCTCGTATCGTCTTGAGATCATTTAGAGTCACTAGACGATGGTCTAAAACAATGTTCTCACTCGTTTGATACTACGTTTGCTGTGTGAATTTGCATTTCTGCTTATTTTACACTGAAACTTAATTTATTTCTTAGAAAGTGTAATGACTTCTTCTGACTGTAGTGGAGAGGAGGTGGCACGCCTCCAACATGATACGCTGTGGAAAACCGTGCTCTACATCTTCTTGTCACATTGTGAAGGTCACTGAAAAAATCCTCTGTGAAATCCTTTGAAACTAGGGGTGGGAGAAATAATCGAGTCTTAGATGCATCGCGATGCGGACGAGGAAGATTATGAATCGATTAACAAATGTCTAAAAATCGATTATTTAAACGCTAATTGATAAAGAAATGTTGACGGAACGCAAAAAAGGCGGGACTCGCGGAAGTGCGGCGCCCGGATCGTCTGTGGATCGCAGCCTGTATTCGGCACATAGGCATAGACTGTATAAAAGAAAGAGCGCCAGCTAACATGTCCTCTGTACAAGGGCTTACTCTCCGTCCCCCACACCAGACTTTAGGGGACAGATCCTTCAGCGTCACAGCCTGGAACTCATCCCCACAGAAATGCTCCCTGTCGAAGACACTTTCAGAGATCTACTAACAACGCAGCTCTTTACCAAGGCATTCAATCCCGAATGACTTTTTGTTGTTCTGTCACTGTAACAATGTGTAACGCGTCCTTGGGTCCTGTGAAAGGTGCTAAAAATATTTATTTATTTAAGTAACGTTAGCTAAATTAGTAACAAAGCTGTATGTCACTTGTAACTAAACTACTAGTGAAGGGTTGAGAACATCAGGCACAAGCTGAGACTAAACTGGTGTGCGGCTCTGCCCTGTACACATCCTGATTATTATTTTTCAGTGTTCAGAGGAGTCTGACGACTGACTGGGTGTTAAAGAAATGATGGACCATGGAGCTGAGGTTAATAAAGTGAATTAGGGATGCAAACAAGTGCTTTTAAGCTAATTAGGAGCTTGGTAATTATCCAGGGATCCTGGATAGAAAAAATGATTGATAATGGTTTCATAATCGAATCGCAGCCCTCTGATTCCCACCCCTATTTGACAGAAGTCAGCGTGGCTTAAGGTTGTTTCAACTGGATCGCTTATCGACTATTAAAGGGACGATCAGCAATTGGTTTTTCACGCGCCGATGTTAAGGCGATTTTAACTAACTCACTATAGGAGCTAAGATGACATAAAAAAAGTCTCTAGAATCTGCACCACACTGCAGTGTTTCCCAATCATTGATTTATTTGTGGCGACACGACACAAGATCAACGCTGACCGCTACATACTATAGCTCTCTCTCTCTCTCTCTCTCTCTCTCTCTCTGTCAAACACACTGAAACGGAGCCGTGTGTTTTTAGAAAACTGATGCATTGAAGGTAACTCTGAGAAGTTAGTCCATCTATTTTCTAAATGGTGGCGGTTGACACGCTGTACATAGCTGCTAGCGACTGCGCCCTCCTCCTTCCTCACACTCTAAGGGAGAAGCCAGCCACGGCCGCATGAACTCACGATCTAGTTCTTTCGGTCGTGACCCGGCCTTCTATTTCATAGTTGAGGGTAAGAACGAAAGTTGACCGGTACATGGAGAGCTTTGCCTTCCAGCTCAGCTCTGTTTTTGTAACACTGGTTCATAAGAGCAAATGCAATATGGCCCCCGGTGGTAAACTCCTTCACTTGGGGTAAGAATTCATTCCCAACCCAGAGTTTAATATCAGTGAAGGGATATTTCCTTTATTCGGGGTAATATCACAGGTTTCCACAGGTCATGTAAAGGTAATTTGCTGAGCTAAAGTAAGGTAACAGTGTGCGACTGTCTGCCGCAGCTGCTGCCTTCATAAAGACGCCCCTCTGTGATCCATCTCCTACGTAACCCCAAGGTTGAGATTATCTTCGCTTCGTTTCATTCCTAGGAGGTTTAGACCGTCTCCGGTATGAGAATGCAATGCATGCGACCTTCAGATCCCGTCGTGACTTAGGTAATGCATTAGTGTCCAACATCCGAAAGATTGGCTGCTCAGATTTAGGCCAGTTAAAGGTGACCTTGCAGGGAAAGACCAGAGACACTGAGGGGAAAGCTGAGAGGTAAATATTGTGGACCAAGAGGGATTCTTCAGATTAGATTTGGAACTAAATTGCGTCTGCACTCTGTGTTGCTGCCGCCAGTCTCCTCGGTTGGACTTCAATAAACAAGGCTCTGTAAGACATCCTGAGTTTACCTGACCCGCTCCCAACAATTTCCATAACAACGTCCACTTACAGACGAGGGCAGCCGTTTCTCAGATGAGATGTCTGCAGCTTGTAGCGAGGCTCAAAGCGTGGCTTGTTCACAACTTTTGTTCCGTTGCATAATTCATTGTGACGTTGAAGCTTCCACAAGTGATGCCGCCCCTAGAAACATTATGTCATCTTGTTGTCATCTGACGCGTGGCGACTTCTCTTCACATCAGGTCACACTAATTGTGAATATATATAAGTATTCAGATGACATCACAAGGTATAATAGCTCAGATAGCAGGCGGTATTTTTCAGTTAGTCCTGGATCAACACAGATCTCCACATTCCCATCAGTAAAACATTCTGTTGGCACCCAGTCACTGCATAACAGAACTGCATCCAAACAGCTTAAACTGAATAAAACCTTAATCCAGACATGGCCGATAGCTGCTTTACTCAGTCCATGTGAATGCTGGTATATAGTGTCCCTTCTATTATTAGAAACGCACAAAATGGTGACTACTCTGATCAAATACATGCCAATAAGTCAAACTATAGGATTGGAGCTCTGTCCAGTCAACTTTCCTTCGTTCCTACACCTGTGGTCATGAAGACCTAGATCGAGGGTACAAGCGACTGAAATGGGTTTTCTCAGGAGGGTGTCTGGCCTCTCCTTTAGAGATAGGGTGAGAAGCTCAGTCAAGTGAGAGGAACTCTGAGTGGAGCCAGTTGAGAGGAGAAACTAGCCTGGAAAATCATCAGGACCCCCCCAGTCAGAGCTGGTCAATGTGGCGCGGCCCCCTGCTGGAGCTGCTGCCCCCACAACCTGACCCCGGATGAGCGGTTGAAGTATTTTGGAACTAAACTGTAGCGAAGGGAGAAAGCAGTCGCCCTACCCGGATCCGAAACCGGGTCTACAGGGTACTAAACATGCAACTTCACCGCAACGCCAAAGTTGCACATTCTCCACCGTAGAGATGGTACGCTGTCACCGCCGTTTTTTTATATATGACTTACTAAACATTATTAATGCACACAAGTAGCTCCATCACAGCGGACCAGAACAGATGCTGCTTACATTTGATGACGGACAGCGCGCACCACTGGACCTTCTTCCAGCGGCTGTGGATGAGCCACTTGTTGACCTTCTTCACCAGCTCTGCCAGGTGGTCCGGGTCCGACTTCATAATCTGGTCAAACTCTGCAAACTGAACAGCGGAGAGAGGTACGTCAGCCGGAAACACTAAACAATGTTAATGAAACACCAGATCGATGACGTTTGCGAAGCACAAGTACTTAAAAAGTATTTGCACTAAAATCTAACATAAGTCAGAATCACTTTTATTGCCAGGTATGTGTACACATACAAGGAACCCGACTCCGGTTTCACATTGTTCTTAATGTGCATACACAGAATGAGCATAAATTATCAGAACGACAAGCTCAGCAAAACAGACGTAAACTGCTACACATATATAAAAAACAAACAAACATTTGTAGAGAGCAAGACAACAGTGCAGTGAAGCAGAGTGCAAACGATACTAGAATAAATCATTTTGTGCAGGTGCAGTATTTAATGGACATTACTGGTCAAAAGTTTTAGAACAAGTTCATCTAGCTTGTAAAAGTAAGCAGCAAACTGCTAAAATTAAAAAACTACATTTACCAACTGCCTCATTCTGGAAACATTTACCAAAACAGATTAAAATTAACCATTAAATGAGTTATGTAGGATCAACCGATGACTAACTGGTCTGTCTTCCTTCATCAACATTATATAATATTATTAAACAAATAAGGCCTCTGAGGGTGGATTAGCAGGCTGTTCCAAGGTGTTTACTCTAGAAATGTGTTTCAAGGCTCCGTTTTCTTGCACTGCTGCAGAATAACTTAAAGTTGTTAACTCATTACTTGAAGCCTGAAAACTGTATCTCTCTGAAATTTACATTTTGTCAGTTTTGCTGACCTAAACTGTGACTTTACCTTCTTTAATTATTATGCAGCAGTGGAAGTAAATGAAGCCTTGAAACACATTTCTACAGTAAACACCTTGGAACAGCCTGTTATTACACCCTCAGAAGCTTTATTTGGACAAAATTATATATAATATAAACGAAGGAAGGCAGAACAGCAGGTCATCGGTTGATCCTACAGTGAAATAATGAACAAAAGTCCTTTATTTAACTGTTAATCATTCTAATTATCTCTGAAAATGTAAACGTTGTTTTTCCACTTTGGCAGTTTGCTACTTACTTTTGTACCATTTAAGGTTTTTCACTGGACCTGAACCTACTTATATTAAAATACAAACTAGAAAAATGGGGGTGCTCTACAACTTTTGAACATGAGGTAGGTGGATACGACACGAACAGCACGTGCATATGTGTTAAGAGTGAGGGAATACGTAATTCTGTGTCATGATCAGCAATGATTAGAAGAGATTTTGATAATCAATAATAAAAACATTCCCTGGTTCAAACTTCTCAAATATGAGACTTTGCTGCTGCTGGGCTTAAAAAACGACCAGATCCTGTACATCTGTAATTCTGGTGGTTGACAACTTTTCTCAATGTATATCATCATATTGCTAAACCCCGCTTCTGCACAACACAGATATTTTTCAGACACTACTGTCAACATCTTGTAATATTAATATCTGCAGCCTGTGAGAATCCATTTCATATTTCACTAAAGCGTGGCCTGAAGCGTAAACGTACTGTATATATTTATCTAAGCTACAGTGAACTCTTCTTCATCCATGCATCTTTTATAACAAGGTCAAAGCTCATGGCAGTGCTGCTGAATGCTTTCTAACACTTACTGCGCTTGATTTGAAAGCTGAGAGCTACTCCCTGACAGCGTAGCTGGCATCTCTTGTGTTGTGATCATGTCCTCTGGAAACCTCTAACTTCCAGACCTTGAGAGTGCTGCTGCCGCCTTAACAATGAAACAGCGTCCAAGTTTGATTTCTGACAACGTGGATTATGAGTGCCGGGCTTTCGGTTACCTAAAGCCTAAAATATACTTTTCCGCCGTGCTGCAGCTGTAAACCCCAGCCATCTCTGCAGGTTTAAACAATTATTTACAAGTACCATGTGATGTTATGTCCAAAAAAAATCTGATCCCTGACGCTTCCACAGGGATGGAAAGAGTAATGAAAGCATTCGAGTTCAGGCAACAGAGGACATATGTATTTTTTATTTATCCCTCCGAGCTAAATCTACAGTGTCAGACTTGCAGTTTGTCCTGCACAGTGTGTACCAAGGTCCTCTGCAACAAACACTTTCACAAAGGCCTCCTGGAAACCACACGCCTAACCCAAATGTGATGAATTATTTATCCACTAGAGAAATAAAAACCCCATATGTTGGCACTGGTTTGTTCAAAAAAAAATCTCATCTTGACTCACCTCAGCAGCCAAAATGACTAATGCGCTTTCCCTCTGAATCTATTGTCTTTCTTTAGGGAAAACAAAACCTATATTATTAGCTAGTGCAATGGAGGGGAGGGGGGGGGGGGGGAGAGCAGGTTTTCAAAACGTCTCACCTTCCCGGGCCGGAAAAACACTCTGGTCAGGCCAAACTTGTAGTCATTCTCATTCAGTCCCAGAGCTTTGAATAAAGCCTGCAACACAAACACGCAGGACATTGATAAACACGGACATGTGGCCGCATTAAAATGGTAATAAAAGCTTGGATCGGGGCTCGGAGAACTGACCTTGCAGAAGAGACGCGGGTCGAGGCGGGTGAGTTTGGGGGGCATGTACTTCTGGTACATGTTGTAGAGTTCGTGGAAGGGAGCCCTGGAGGGGAAGCCGCCCTGCATCAGGTCCAGCACCGACACCATACCTGTGGAAGCAGGGAGGAAGGGGGGGAAATTACTGGACAGGAAGTTCCTTCAGAGTTCAGACAGATCGGTTCAATTAATATGAATATGAATGAAATTCTTCTAAAACTAAGGTTGGGTATCAAACCTTCACCGAGTATCAAAATCTGGCATTTAGTCAGATTCATACTCGTATAAATTATTTTTTAATCAGATGGTTCCTGATGTAAAATCTAAATTTTGCCAATATTTAATATTTGAGAACTGTATTAACATCCTGTACATATTAACATTTGACAGTGGTACAGCTGAGGCTGTTGGGAGTGTCGTTCCTTTAAGCAGATATTTGGTCACAAACGTTTTGGGCGAATTTTCACCTGATGACGGCAGCAGATAAAATGTCAGAGGATCACCAAAGTAAATATTTATCTTGAGGGGACATGTGCACCGCATTTCATGGCAGTCCATCCAACATGTGTCCACACATTTTTAGGGCTGACGCCTAATAGTCAAAGATTTGATGCTTCGATGGGCGGAGCCTGATTCGACTGTTATTCACACAGTCGGAGCTTCGCGGTGAAACGAGGATCACGCCGTTTTGGCGATATGAGGGGTGCTCAGCGTTCAACATTTCAACGTTTAATTTTGTAAATAAACGTGTAAAGAGAATAAAAATAATAATAATAATAAATAAAGTGTAACCCGAACCCTGGGGCGTCACTGCGCATGTGTAGGCGTAAATTTACAGTGTATGTTGAATGAAGAGAGACTGCAGGCGGAGCCATCAGTCGACTACAGGCTGGACTTGATGATTCTGATTCTATGTAAATCCTTAGTCGGGGACAGTCCTACACATTTTACCCTGAACCAAAAATGTCAACCTGCTGATGGCGGAACATGGAAAGTCAGAGGGAAGCAACTAAGCAACTCAGTGAAAGGGGCTGCAACTAAAGATTATTCTCATTGTTAATAAATCTGTCCATGATTCTCTTGTTTGGTCTATGAAATGTCTGAAAATTGTGTTTTAAGGTATCTTGTTTTGTCCACGACCCAAAGATATTCAGTTTACCGTCATAGAAAACAGAAAATATTTGCATTTAAAAAGCTGAAAAAATTTGTCAAAACGATTCACCGATGATCAAAATAGTTGGCGATTAATTTAATAGTTGACAACTAATCGATTAAGCGTCGCAGCTCTATCTGGAAAATATGAAGGTTTGTAACAAATTATGTGCCAATACATCTAGTAGATGTTGAGATATTTCACCAGATAACTGAAAAGTTTGGCCTGCTGTTGGCGCTGGATAAAGAGTCGGGGGGGGGGGGGGATCATTAGGATTCACCCTCTGGGGATTATAAATATCTCTACAAAATGTCAAGACAAATCAGTCAATATCTATTGAGATATTTCAGTCACCAACCAACTGACCGACATTGCCATGATCCCTAAAGCCACGATGCTCGCATGGCTAGAAACATGTTTATCAGTCATATATATATATATATACTATATCTAGTTATCCCTGCGAGGTTGCGGGGTGCTGGAGCCAATCCCCGCTGTCCTAGAGCGAGAGGCGAGGTACGCCATGAACATGTCGCCAGTCCATTAGAAGGCACAGAAAAACGAACAACCACTCGCACTCACACCTAAGGGGCATCAGAGTAACCGATTAACCTGCATGTGTTTGGACGGTGGGAGGAACCCACGCTTAAACGGGGAGAACGTGATCACTGCCTCATTCTGGAAACTGTATTAAAACTTCAAACATTCCCTTATTTACCCAACAATCAACTGTGATCCTAAGAACTACAGATCCAATAATGCATCTTAGAAAAAGGACTTTGAAATAACAACATCAAAACAGCAACACGGGCTTATAAGGCCGCATCAGCATCCTCCGTCAGCCCTGTGTGCTCTCACCTTTTCTCTTTTTGTCAGTACCGTCGTGTTTATGTTGTCATGACTTTCCAGACTGTTGCCCTTGACACATAATAATAATAATCTGTTCGCAGAGACCCCCTGTAAACGTGGATAATTTGGCCTCTTTGAAGCATTGTTAGTCATCTCATTTTGTTTTGAAAGAGTATATCAAAGGACTCATTTTCAGACCTCTTTCGTAGCACAGACGCTGCTAATTAGCATTCAGTGTAAATGAACCACACTATCAGCAGAGTTTGTATCTGTCATTAAGTTACTTCAAAACCAAAGTCCTTAGCCATGAAGTGTTTTTAAACTATTTTGCCTCCCTCCCCTGCACAACATTAAGTATATTCAGTTTTGAAGAATTATGTAATCGTTAAACACAGCTGATATTTCTGGCATCAGAGAGCACGACTCAAATTCCAACAGTACAGGCAAGCCGGCCGCTTCATTAAGCCGTAGCATGTTAGCATAACGCTAATTCTACTGAAAATCCCAGTTAGCATTAATTATAGCATTACCAAAAGTGCATAAGACCCTAACAGTAATTTTAGCTTTTGCATATTATGTGCTGATGTTGTCAGACTTGGCAACTGTGGCAACAAGAGGCAATTTCCAGAAGGCAATTTAGCTAACATTAGCCACCGTGAGCTAACGACCATGCCTGAACAAGTAGGGCTGTAGCAGTGAAATGAACAAGGGGGCGTTTTACTGGCCGACAATTTAACATTTTTACAATTCAATTCAAGTGGTGGTGATGGAGCAGTGGATAAGACACATGCCTTTGGGTTCAGTTCCCCACTGTGACACTTAACCCCTCGTTGCTCCAGAGGCGTGCGACCTCTGACATACTTAGTTAACTTAATTGTAAGTTGCTTGGGATAAAATCATCAGCTACATGAAAAAATGTAATGTAATGTAAGAGAAAAAAGTTTTACGGTCTGTGAACTTAAAATGTGGTGTAGATGCATTTAAAGTAAATGTGTGTTGCTCAACACTGGTGTCCAATGTCTCCACCTACTGATACTTGTATATTAAAAAACAACTCGGCAGCCAAAGCTAAGCGACTAAATCTAAGTAAAATTTTGTAAACACACCGACACAGCTGGATGGAAAAATAAGGATGCAACCAGAGTCATGTGAATTCACCCTCTCGTCTCGTGTCATTTCATCCCCAGACAGCTTTTTGTGTTTTTCCACCAACAGAGCGACACGAGCTGACAGACCGAACACTGCCATTCACACAGCCACAGCATGGCTAAAAATACTGTTTGTGCTGCCAATTCTGTGTAGAAGAAAAGTGGAAAGCAACAATGCAACTATCTCAGCCGTACACGCCTGATAATATAAATTTCCTCTTGGGCATTCAGATAAAGCTGAAACCCTGACTTTAGGCCCCAAGCTGCACATTACTCATACCAGACCTCCATTTGTAATTGCTGCACAGTTTCCCAAAGGATAATCTTCGTGTCGCCCTTACTAGAGATCTGTTCCTCAATAATTACATCAAGGCAATTTGCTAAAGTTGTGTACGTTCACCTCGGAGCCCTTGGGGGGGGGGGAGCAGGCATTTAAACCAGATCTGTGCTTTTGATTTGAAAAACAAAACAAACCTGAAGCTTCACTGCTAGAAATAATCAACTCAAGCCAAGTGGTCATGTGAACCGGAGTTCCTGAACATTTTATCCCAGCGTTAGTCTCCCTCCGCTGGCTCCCTGTAAAATCACCCACTGCTTATTAAGTCCTACTTCTAACTTACAAGGTATTACACAGCTTCAATATGTCACTGATTTAGCTAAGCCGTCTAAGCCTGTCTGTGCTTTCTGCCCCAAAAGAATAGGCTCAAGGTCGCTCTGGTCAGAAGATCCAGCCCTTTCTCAGGATGCAAACATTATGGAAAACTTCTTTTTGTACTTGCATTTGCTTTCGTAAGGTTCCCAGATTAACATATTTATTTCTCAGAATGAGTGTCAGAGCTTTATGTGAAACTAACTGGGTCTTGCTGTCGCTGTTTTGGTCATGATTTCCTTTCACAAACATTCAGATTTGGGGACAAAGGGTGGATTTTATTTAATGACGTTTTTCAGTTCTAGTGCTGATATGATACGAGTTGGTGTCACTGTGACAAAACAGCTGTTGATTGTAACACTAAATCCTTTTTTTTAGAGTCAAAATACATGCCATTTCATTATATGATCATTTAATCCTGGTCGCATTCTATAGTTTTCAGTAATTTGCCTAAAGACTCAAATAATTCTGCTACGTACTTATTGTAAAAGAGAGTACAGTCATGTTAGTGGCTCTGTACAGCATTAGGTAAATGAGCTAAATGCTAAAATCAGCATGCTATCATGCGCACAGTGACAATGCTATCATGCTATAGTGATTACCATCTTAGTTTAGAGTGTAAAAGTTGTCTTAATTAGCACATAATACAAAGTGCAGCTGAGGCAAGTGGACACATTATAATTTTTGACATGATTAAAAAGCAAACGATACCCAACGTTAATACAGTTCATTCAATTACTGCCTGTACCAGATTTCATGGCAACTCATTTAATGGCTGTTAAGGAGCTAGAGGAGGAGTCTTTAGGGGAAAGTCATCAGATTATCTCCCCTGGGATCCATGAAAGTCTTTACAAACTTTCATGCCTATCGATCAGATTGAGATATTTAACAGAATAAGTGAAAACTTTGACCTGCTAGTGGCACTTTGACCTCTAGAGACCTGGAATATTTGTGGCAAATTTCATGGCCATTAATCCATCGAACAGTTGTCAGGATTTATGAAGGACAGATTAGGATAGGATGGATTCATCCTCCTGGGGACCACGACTGTCTAAACAAACTTTCATTGCAATCCATCCAAAAGTTGCCAAGATATCTGAAAGACAGACTTTGCCTTGCTGCTGGTGCTAGAAGAGAACTCAGAGGATCAGCCAAGTCTGTAGGATTGATCCTCTGGGGACCACGACCGTCTAAACAAACTTTCATTGCAATCCATCCAAAAGTTGTTGAGATATTTCAGTCTGTGTCAAAGTGGAGGATCGACCAACTGACTGACATCCTCAGACCTGTGCTGCTAGTGTGGCTAAAAATCTGTGCACCTGGTTCTCTACACTCCGAATTACTACAAGTAAACTTACGATTTCTGGTTGAACAAGCTTACAGTGATGTAAACCGGCACTTCAACGCGTCATTTTCATTATAAATTTAACTCTCATACTCGAACATTCAATTCAGCAGTTAAACCGAAGGGGGACGTCTTTGAAACGCTTCTTTTGTCCGGCCATCAGTCAAAAAAAATATTAAATAAATTCTGTTTAAGATTATACAAAACTGAAAGAAGCGGTAAATAATCTCTTTTATGAAACTGGGACCAAAGAATGTTTTGCTCAAATGATTGATGACTGATGATTTAGAAGATCATATAGCACTGTGGGTGGTTAGTTACCAAATTACAGTCGGTATTCTGCTGATCTTTACTCCGTAAAGTAGATATATTTCTATTCATCCTTATTTAAAACAACAACGGTGATTTAAAACTTAATCCTCACATGAGAAACTAATCAGGAACATCAGTGGAGAATCAGACTGCAGGCGCACAGTTTAAGTTCTTTATAAATATATATCTTTTTTTTTTTGCTGGTGTTCATGTGAAGGCGAACACAAATATCCCTTTTGGATGGCAGCACATGTTTATTATGCAATATCTTTAATAAAAGAAAAAGGATCATCTTGTCAACCAACACCTGAGGTTACCTACTCCCCCTTTACGATCGCCGGTTTTCATTATCTAGGATTAGGCTGCTTCTTGGTCGCTGAACATCCTGTTTTGGATCTAACCCCGTCATGTTGGTACACAGAGGCCTCCCCCGTCTAATCCAAACTATCACCGTTTCGATTCCCAGTCCAATAAAACTGATAGAGCGCTTCCCGGGGTGCAGTATCTGAACAGGGCATCGCTGCGTTTGTGTGGATGAAAGCAAAACTCAGACTCTCTGAGGATATTAAACCCAAGCTCATCATTTCTTTTCTTCCTAACCTGGCGGGAGGGAGGGGAGCGTCGCAGGCTTGGTTTGGGGAATAGGAGAAAGTTTAAGAAATTGGGGTTAAAGTCACAAAGTAAGATTAAGACAGCAAGTAAGACAGCACACAGGAAATAAGGGCAGCCAAGGACTTCAAAAGACACAGAATTTATTTACTAGCCATCCGTGAAAACAGCGGTGTGTGAATTAACATTTGTGGGGATTTGGTTTGAGCATCCAATTAACTTTATTTTGCTTTTCTAACATCTTCAGGAGTTTAAGTTTTATCGATACGATCTATAAACTAAGTCGGTCATTTCTGCTTTTTAACTCTCTGGATGCGGCATCATCTTTAAATCTTACCTGTACAAAACTCGAATGAACATGAACATTTTTATCTGTGACAACTGAGTAAACTCAATCAGCATGTAGACCTCGGGTTGAGATTGTTTTGTCAATGTTTTGTGTAACTAATCCGGGCTTTGGCTGTTGTGACTTTAGTACTCTGAGGTATGTGTGCTACATTTTAATGGTTGCGGTACTTTTGTTTAATGCTGTAAAGTTAAGAGTTTATAGATTATATGCCGCCCTCTGGCCTCCTCTTCTCCCCTTTTTAACTGTTGAATCATGAAGGTTTTAACTTCTCTACTCTCCTATCTAACTATATAGATAGTGAACATCTCACTTTTTCAAAGACTGATGAAAGAAGCCGCAATTGCAGTTTGAATACTGGGAATTGAGTTTTATCCAGGAATTGTTTCTGAGGGCAAAAACCTACAATCCCAGGATGTTTTTAAGCCTGTGTGCACGTGTGTGTTCGTGTGCTGAAAATTATAATATGGACTGCAAAAAGGCGCCTTCATCAAAAGTACAAACACTCCTGTTCTTTAAATCACTGTAACAAAATGCAGAAATGAGGCAGATATTCCTTCTCTCTTCTTCTCTGCACACACTAATAACCTGAGCTTTGATCAGCTGGATAAAAACTCTTCCATATTATCATCTGAAGATGTCACCGGAGGAGATGAAATGTTATTCTACTAGACATACTACCTCATAATTTAGCAAATATATAAGAGAATAACATCTAATAACATCATCTAGGGGGAAAAATTGAAAAAGGTGAGATGATCCAGGGTAATAATCGCGACATCAGGGTGTCTATGAGGTAAACTTCTCAGTTAAGACAGGTGAGAATTCCTGATTCAGGAAAAGCATAAAGCTTTGTTCATAGAAAATCGCACTGACCGGAGCACTGCAGCTGAGAGAGAATCTGAGCTCCTTCAAACTGGTGGCTGACCATCTTCAGGTTTGGCTTAATGCAGCGGACGAAACTGGAGCCCTGGTGGAGCGAAGATGGGATGCATGGAGCGAGGGAAAAGAGACAGAAACAAGAGTACAGAGGCAGAGAGAGACATGAAGAGAGGTGAGGAGAAACAGAAATCATTACACTAACAGCAGGAGCCACAAAGACGAATCAGAAATTCACGACATCCATCACACTCTGGACACGATCCTCTGCGTCTCCGTCTCAGGGAAATAGAAACTGTGGGTGTTCGCCTGTCATGAGATGTACAGAGCTGTGCCACAGAGGAAAGCTGATTTTACTTTACTGCAGCTGTGTAAAGGAAGAAGAAGAAGTAGAAAACACTGACCGTGCTGCGGAGCTTCTCCAGGAGGATATTCAGCTGGGTCTGCAGGAGCAAGAAGAGGAAGTGTTGTTTAACTATCTGATCAAAAGGAATGCAGATCGAAGTCTAAGCTTGTATAAACCTCAACGGGCTGAACAAGTAGAAATTGTGCCAAACATCCCACATGGGATTACAGGACACATTTTCATTGAGGAAATATAAGATAAAAACAAAAGTTATGACTTTATAAATAGCTAAATATGCTTTCAAGCAATAGAAATAAAGCGTACACCCGATATCAAAATGGGGGAAAAGAAAATGCAACATGTCTCAAGTTTATCCTGATAAAGACAGTTTTTCCTCCATTCTCAGACTTTCTCCAGGATTTGGCTGATTTAAAGCAAACGTATACGTCTGCGTCCAATCCACACCGCAGCCAGACGCACATCCCCAAAACTTTTACTACACGTTGCGATAACGACGACTTGCAGAGCTAATCAACTCCACCCAGCTGATGCGACACCGGTGTACGCCACGATAGCACTGAGGTGAACACGTGACCGAGCGGTAACTAACGGGTGGAGCTTTGCAACGTGAACATCCAAAAACTGAAGCACGATTATTCTGACTTTATTCAGGACAAGGTTTTGAACGTGAACACAGGAGCTATTAAAGTTCAGGAGATTGAAACCGAATAAAATTAATTAATTTATAATTAAGCTGAAAAGGTGCCACACGCACATTTTAAAGAGATTAACTTCCCCAAACAAAGACAAAAAAATAGGAGTAAATCATGACTGCATGTGCGCCAACTCAGCAGGGATGAGTGAGAGCTGCACTGACTTATAGGAAATTTGTATTTAATGCTCAACACTTTCATGTGATAATAATGTAGAGATTTCTTAAAAATAGTGTTAATATCTCGTCTCGATCTCGTGCGCTGAGCTTCTGGTCGCCCCCCTATAAATAGTGATACACCTCAAAGTGAGCCCCCCCCCCCCGGTATTTTTAATGTGGGGATTTATCACTAACATCACGATATAATATAAACACCAAATACCAAACAGTGTAGTTTTAGCATTTTCCCTCTATGGGTCTTTGGCATCTCTCTTTCTTTGCAGTTTCTCTACCAGATAAGATCTACTTTCTCTCAGACAGTCTTCGGTTCGCTCTCAGCTGCAGATCAGATATGAAGTCAAACACATGCATGAATAAGTAAAGGTCGAAATCTCCTGATCTGTAATGATGCATAACTCCACCGGCGGGGTCAATAGGTATGGAAAGCCAAGCATTGCGGCCAATATTTAAGTCCTCTCTGCACTTGCAGGTATCGGGTTATTGTTTTACTGTCTGGAACTTCACAGTTTGTAGCTGAAGATGCTGCTGAGGAGGACAAGTTAGGACCGAGAGTGTACAAATCATGTTCCCTGATAAGCTTTTGTAAAGAAAAGCCTGGTGTTATTTGGTATGCATTAGCAAGAATCCTCTTACTCTGCAGGCTGTCGTGGGTCACAACACATTCATTCTTTACATTTGACTCACTTTCTACCAGCGTAACGTTTGAGCCAGCTTGGTGTCCCAAGGAGTTGGGCGGGTTTCTGATAATGAGTAGTCTTTGCCAACTTAAGAAAAAGCATTTTTTTAAAAAGCAGAATCACAAACTAAACAAACAAAATGCTTTACTCATCAGACCCTTTCATTACTGATGAAACACTAATATTCCAAACTTAAGTGTCGTTCCCTGGTCGCCACATTCTTGACCTTCGACTTCTCCTCGTTATTGCTAACTTGTAGTGATGGTGATGCATTATTCAAGCTCATTCTTTTAAAGTGACTGTGGACATGGAGAGCATCTGCGTTATGTCAATGTAAATATATGTAAATGTACATAAATGTATACTAACTGGGGTCAAGAAGGGAAGAACAGAAGAGCGAAGCCATGAAACAAACAGTGATTTAATTTAATTTATTAGCATAACAGCGGCGTCCTCGTTTGTCCAGACAACACAACAGCTAATTAGACTTCATGATCATATCCGTGTCATTCGGCCGATGTTGTAACCACAGTCCCAGCTCATTGTTGGTCCATGCAAAAGAAATATCTGGTGCGGTTCTTCGTCTGCAGCACTTTATTCTCCCGCCAAATCTTCTGTAACTAACGGAACAGACCATCTGCTTCATGTTTAAACCGGCGCGCGCATGCCCAGCGTACCTGAACAGCCACTCGATGTGCGTTTTCAGTCGTTTTAATGTAGACACAGATCAGTTCTTTAAACAAAAACGTAGTAGTATGAATGTAGCCTGGGTATCTTCAACCAAGTCCAGAACCCCCCCCCTTGATTTTAACCTTCCTTGGATGATCTGCAAAGCGCTCGTCTGTAACTGTAACTATGTATTGAGCAATATAAATAAAGTCATTGGCTCATCATATTATTTACATCCTCTTGTGGCTTTTCCATGCGTCCTGTTCATGTGATTAAACTATATCGTTTCATAAATATGACTTGTTCAGGCGATGCTCCATCGCGCAGTGAATCTTGAGGGTGCTCAGCCGCAGAGGACGCACCGGTTTTGTCTTTCACAATCAGTTAAATTAAAGGTCGACTTGTCAGCCGTGTCTGGATGAGCCTTTGGAATAAGACACCCTTGTTATGACGTTTTTGATCCCTGAAATTGAGACAAAGGTACGCTGTCTGGTTATAATGAAAACCTGCACTCCCTCCATGGCTCACTTTGTTCCAGCCAGAAGGCAGTGTCTCCCGTCACCTCGACTAACTCAGATTTATCACCGCTCATTGTCACCCCAACCCACCCCGCCCAAAGCTCTGTTCCTGACCTTAATCATGGCTCTGATAGAGAGAGAGGGACCTAGGGCAGAGGAGGAGAGAGACCGGTGGGGCTTTAGGAAAACACTATAGGTAACAGAGCTCAAAGGTAATAAGAGCTCAATCTACTCGAGTCCAGATCCACCCTGACTGCAAACTGATCAGTGTTTCCCAGTGTCATCCGTGTGCAGACCATATTTTAGCGTTTGATGCTTTTGTTTGCGTATCAGGAAAAAAAATCTAAGTGTCCTACTCTTAGGATGCACGCCATGTAGCAGCAAACGCCCTCGATTCGAAATCTGGCAGGACTCATTCGCTAAACGCCAGCTCCCCTCACACTTCCTTACATTCGCTCTCCTGCAGTCCTCCTACAGTCATATAAAAGATAATAACCTTAGGAAAGTTGTTCACAATGCAGTGTGGTTTTATGAATGGAGAATCCTAAGTTGGATGCGAGCTCTAACACGTCACTGATGACGGCGGCCGTACGGTTTCTGTAAGAATCTGCAATGTAGCACGAATATAAATCACGTCTCCGTACGCATGAAAGGAAAATAGTGTCGGTAGATGAAAGACACCTGTGAATTCAATAAAACGTCCCCCCGCTGCCCGCAGATGTACCGGACACCGTCATTCCCTCGGGTTATGGGCTTTTTTGAGTGAGTGGAGCCGAGCGCTGTGGTGTTTGGCTCACCTTGCCTTTGGTTAGGTGACACATCCGAGCACACATCAAGGTGAGATGCTGAGCTGGATGAGTCACAGTGCAGGAGAGTAAAAAAAATAAAACCTCCCTCCGTAACTACAGCTGACAAAGAAGCTGCTCTCTTTGTTCTTTAAATACACTCAGAGAAAAGTGCACTTCTCTGACGTAACTAGTTGGGGTTTTTTCCACGTGCAGCCTCTCTTTTCCTCCGTTTGTCAGTCTTTGGTGGAGTTTAGTGACGTGTTTAAACAGACTCGTTTGCGACTCACCACTGAAGGAAAAAACACTCGCGGAGATCTTTCAATTCAGTTTATTATATCAAAAGTTAACAAAATAAATTTCCGTTGTTTACTTTCAACACATGTATCAAAAAACACCTTAAATTCGTTTCCCACAACTTATTTGGTGACTAAACTATTTCACTCATGAACTAATTAGGATGAGGAGGATCTGACACAATACTTTTTATGTAACAGTTATTTGAAACAAGAAAAAATTAAAATAGATCTCCTTGCTTCTACCAATCAACTCCTACGGCTTCAACAGGTGGCATTTTATGCAAGGTATTGAATGAAGTACTCTGTTGGCATCGGTATCACTTTAAGGGTACTGGTAAAGGATACCCAAACCCTAACGCAGACAGCCTCATTCTGAAGTTTAAGGTGGCCTGTTTGTTCTTAGCCTGCATAAATCATTGTCACACTAACTGTGATACTTTGATAAGTTGGTGTGATCGGTACAGTTTTGGCAGGAGTACTGCAGGTACTTTGTGTCCTGTAGTCTATTTTGGTCTCTTGTTTGTTTGCTTGTGTTTTGTTTTTCTTGCATATAGAAGTATCTCAAGCAGGCCGTCACTTTTTAATCGAATTTGTGGTCTGTAACTTTCTTTGTACAAACTGATCCTAAACTCGAGGTGCCGGCAGCTTTTCGTTAGAGGATCTCGGCACATCAGCCACCCTGAGGCTCAAAGCGGAGCCTCGACAGCCAGAACAATGAGGCCAGAGCTCAAGGGGTGAAGTCTGAATCACATCTTTAATCAAAGCCTTTAATAAAGTGAAGAAACTAATGTTATTACACACAGCATGTCTCCATCAGAGCAGAAGAGCCAGTGGCAGTAAGGACTTTTAAATTGCCTGCGCCCAGCTAGTGTTGCTTTCGTCAGACAAAACTAAACGAAATATATTCGTCTATGACCCGACTAAAACGAGACGATGACGAGACGGCGACAATGTACTTAAACACTGACTGTGACTATTCCTAACGTGCAATATTGTTGACAAAAAATGACGAAACTAAAATGTAATCCATAAAATGAAAACTCTCCTTTTGTCAGTATAATGAGGAGAAATTTTCACTTGAACAGTTTGTTCATTCAGAGGTATTTCTTTCCTCCTGGCCGACCGGGACGACGCCTGGTGCACGAGGATAACGTTACTATGGAGGATGCGCTAAGGGCAAAGAGGCGCTTAAATATTTGGTCCCAATTAGCCTAATAAAATTTATAGCCTAATTATATCGGACGGCAATGTGGTTGAAAGATTTCTGGAAAAAACACTACGAAGTTGAAGCCGCATATCCAGGCTAACCACCGGGAACTGAGGCACGTTAATGTCTCCTTTAAAATAAAAATGAGACCAAAGCTGACATTCAAATTTTTCAAAACATTTTATCTCTATATGAGATGAGTTAAATAAAGACTAAAATGATGGGTAATGACTAAAACTAGACTAGACTAAAATACCCAGACTTTTAGTCAGCTAAAACTTGATTTAAAAACATAGAATACTGAGATTAAATATGACAAAAACTAACAAGGACATTTGACACAGGACTAAAACAAAATTAACACTACGCCCAGCTAATACTTGCATCTCAATACATTCTTCCAGTTTGGTGTAGCAACGACTGTTTGGCACTGAAATCTAATTCAAGAGGTTTAAAAGGTTTTTTGTTGAGTTCAAGAGAGTGTTGCTGGCGTCAGACATATCTCACAAAACTCCTAACTTCTCTCTCCAAACCAAGACGTCGGGGTCTCAATAAATGCTAAAATATCTAAAATGTATGTTGGTGGTTTCATATATTAAGAAGAACGTTTGCCCGGGCTGGCAGGTGTCACATCAGCAGGGGTATGCACGAAACAAACTACTCTGTGCGTCCAACCACATCTAAGGCGGGCAAAAAGGCCGTCATCATAGAGAGGGGAGAGACGCAAAATAAATCATTCCAGTGGGGATAACTGCCACGCTTTCAGACCAGCATCCCCCCTGGATGTCACAGTGACTGATTAGGCATGGGTCCCGATTTTCAAATTTTCAAATAGTCATTCAATTATAACAAATCTAAAAAATGCTGGGACTAATGTCGTGTCCAGGGGCGGGTTTCTCAAAAAGAAAAAGACTTTGACTGTGGCTTAGATGTAGTAGATGGTCAGACTTCAGACATCTAAATCAGACCGCTGCACAAAGCTCTGAGGACCCTGACTATCTTAAGCAGGACTGCACTGCAATGAATTCTGGGTAAAATAAGACACTTGTCAAAACAAACAAAAATGGCAGACTGAGTAGGCGCATCCAACCAAAAAAAAATGTGTTTGTTGAAGCAGTATAATAGTTATAAAGACGTTTTACTTGGAAAAGTCAGCGGAGAGTGTAGGAACAAAAAGAAATGCTCGACTTGGCAGTAAACAGCGTCAAAGATATAGAGAAAAGATCCAAGAACATGGTACAAGATTTAAGAGGAAATATCCTACAACGGGGCGAGGCAGGGCTCAGTGCTTCAGCCAATTCATCTGTCAGTCTCAGGATAGCTTCCTTGGGTAAACGAAACCGACCGATAAAGTTTGTTACAAATTTAACAACAGCTGCTGTTTCCGAGCAAAGCATTTTAATTGGCCGACGTACGATCTCAGGCGGAGACTCCTGTGGCTCTCTGACTGTTGATTGTGATTTATTGGTTTGCAAACAACGGTGGAAAAGAGAGGAGCAGTCGCAGAAAAACTCCGAAGTTCCTCCGAAGGTTCCTAGTTCCGGGGTCAAGTTCCTTTGGTCGAAACGCAGCTATTGTTTTATATTTCTAGCGGGTTACTGCGGTCCCTAAAAACTCTTTCCCTTCTCATAGCTCTCTCCATAATATCGGCAGCAAACCACAAATCATGAGCCATTTTCCCTTTTTGCTCGCTCTCTGTAGGGCCGGGCAATAAAACAATAATGATAAATTATTGCAATATGATTTTCCTCAATAACAATATAATAAATGTTATAAATATACAATACAAATATTTGGTTTAATTCATTTGAATCACAAATAAATTAGCACTTCATATTTATTTTGTTGAAGAGATTTATTAAATCATATTTGTTGAAAAAGATTTTATCATAATAGTTTTGAAGGTTCTACCTCAGATTTGTTAAGAGATCTACTGTTTGGCATCGAGTGTTTGTCACATTATGACCATAAAGAAAAGTTTAATCAAACAATTCACTCAGGATCAAAAATCAGCCTTTAAACTTTAAACTTAATAATTATCGATATCGAATGATATGAAATGTTTTTATCGTGATAACATTTTTGGCCAGTGTTTTTGCTTGAAATGCCCATCCCTGAGTGACGTGCCATGCGTAGTCTATTGAAAAACTAAAAAACATTTGAATGGCGTAAACTGGAGGATACAGGTCACTCCAATTAAAGGTCGATTAAAAACCAATACCCATAAACTTATTGTATTAATTCCACCTTAAACTCAGCCCCCAGGTTCGTTCCTTCTCACCTTAAACTTGTTGCCGACGCTGATGAAGCCGAGTTTTCCCGCCTTCTGCTTCATGTCCTTGCTGTTGTTGGAGTTTTCAAAGAGTTCGCGGACGAAGCGGTCCTTGGACTCACTGACCAGACACTCCAGAGACATGTGCAGGGCGTCGTTGTTCTTCTCCACGAACTTGGTCTGAGAACGGGACATTGTCAAACATAAATACATGTTTTCAGACTCCAGGGAAGCTGCACTGCTTGTTTCAGCTCCATTTCCTCTTTTACATTCTTTGTAAGAAACAGTGCAACAATAGTGTTTCAATGAGATTTTTTTTGAGCTTATCTATCAGAATATAAACCTCATTTGTTTTCTGCAGTCCACTGATCAAAAGGAAGACAAATAAATAACTTTACGTGACATTATTTTTAAAGACGGCTTCTGTGATTTGTTGAACGCACCGTCTCGTAGCACACGGCTCCTGCAAAGTGTCTGATAATAAATCCTTCATCATCCCTCACGTTCCTGTGGACGGCCAGCTTAGACTTCCTGGGAACCTGAAGGACACACACACACACACACGTACAGTTAATTACATGTGCGCACACACACACACACACACACACACACACGCTCTTTTATATTTCCAATTTACAATAACATGCTAATTCCCAGGCCTGTCAATCACTCTCGGCTGGAAATGAAGATTAAGAGTCAGTGTTCAGTAATTTAACTGTCGGCTACCCGACGTCACGCCGAGGCTAAACATTACTCTGTACTGAAACTCACTGCAGTGGCCTGAATATGAGATCACCCTGATTAGAAGACTTAAACCACCTTTTGGGACATTTCTTTATAGATAAAAAAAATAAAAATAAAGTTCTGCTTAGCTTTCAAAATGTATGGATACTTTTACATAAAAATACAGTAATAGTCGTAATCAGTGAAATTATATTAAACAAAAACAATGAATTTTTTTTTTTTAAAGCGAGTTATTTACAGGTAAATGAGACGAGCTCCAGGGAACTGGTTGCTTCATCCAAATAATGAATACCAAAGAAAAGATTTCTCCTTCTGCCTTCGAGCCATGCAGAAACTTTTAGTTTAGAATAATTATAGATATGATTGTTCAATGTTTACCTGTTGGGTCTTCATTTTACAGCTTTTGATATTTATCTGTTTAGACATTAAAATAATGTAAAAAAAAATAGGGAACATGAGAAACCTCCTCCCTTCTGAGGTGCATTTTATTTGCACATTAAAATCCAAAAGGAAACGTCTCCTCTTTAGCTTATAAAGGACTAGTTTGCATCACTAACTTGCTTTAACTTTGCTCCTCTACAGTCACCAATGTGCTTTCTTTTCCTAACAACCACTTTTTCAGATACACTTATAACAGCATCTGTCTCGTAGATGTCCTCTTCGTTTAAGTTCTTGGACTAGAGCTGCAACGAGTTGTTGATTAAACGATTGGTTGTCTACTATTAAATTAATCTGCAACTATTTTGATATTCGATTAATCATTTTTAGTCATTTTATTAAAAGAAAAAAACGTCCAAATTTTCTGATTCCATCTTTTTAACTGTGAATATTTTCTGGCTTCTTTTCTCTCTTCTGAAAATAATCTGAAACTCTTTGGGATGTTGTTATGACCTTGGGGTCATATTTTGTTGTTTGTTTATCTCTCCTGGCACTGTCAGCTGTTCTCCTCCATTAGAGTGTGTGTGTGAGTGTATGCAGGTACTGGAGAACAGGTGGACACACTGGATTGGTCTGGTTGAGCTGATTGGAGCCTCCTGATTGGGCACCTGGATGACAGCAGCCATCTTAAGCCCTACTGACAGGAACTCTGCCCCCCTCTCTGCCATTCCCAACCTGCCTGAGGACTGTGTGTTATGTCTGTGTTTATTGTACACAGTGAACGGTTGTGACTATATTCAACTTAGATTGTAAGTATCGTAGTCCTTCTGATTGTCTTATGACAACCTGGTTTTGTTGGCTTTGCCATTTTTGTTGCTATGAAGCAATTTCCTTTGTCGTAGCTATATTGTGTCAGCTACTAGCAGTGAGTTTTCTCCTGTTTTTGGACTTAGAAGCCTAGTTTTAGAGCTTTGTCTTTTCTTTACCTTTTGGTTTTGGGTTTAGGAAGGATTTAGGTTTTCTTAGTGTTTTGGTTGTTGTTTTGGGCACTGCTCATCTCCGATGTATAATAAAAACTGCTAAATTGTATTTGTTGTGTGCTGGCCTTGTTTGGGAATGGGAAGAGTGGGAGGCCACACATTTATGTTACATCCAGGACACCCCTAGACCTTGGGACGTAACAATGTGGCCAAAACAAGGCTTTGAGGACGTCATCGTGGACTTTGGGAAACTCTGATCGACATTTTATAGAACGAACATCTAATCGATTAATCAAGAAAATAATCGACAGAGTTGTCGATTGTGAAAATAATCATTAGTCGCAGCCCTACTTGGAGGGGACCAACAACAAGTCCGACATTTTGGGAGAGTTAAAGCCTGTTGCACACTAAAGGATTTTCAAATCCTTAACCGATTTTAAAAATGTAATGGATCCCGCAGACATAACGACAGAATTAACTGCTAACATTTTAATCTTTAATCCGGGGCTTGAGATCTCACAGAAACTTTGCGTGATCAAACGTGACTTCAGACGTAAAGAAACGTGGAGGCAGACTGTCGTCGTCAGCTGGGTGACCTGGTGTGTGCTGTGCACAAAAAAACTAAAGAATAGAATCAAACTGTGGAGGAACTCGACGCCGAGAAGAGAGAATCAGCAGGTTTATACACTTTATAGCGCGAGCAGATACACACTCATCATGTGTAAGTTATGTTCTGTTTTACCAAAAGTGATGTAGGATACTGAGCATGAATAAATGAGGCTTCATGCATAAAACGCACACAAAAAACCTAATGCAGTGATTTCACTGTAATAACCTTCACTGTATGATGGTGACACCCCTGGGTGGCACCAGGACACTGTGTACATACAGACACAGCTGGTGCTCTTTTTAGATGTAGTTTAGATAAATTGAGTAATTTAATTATTATTAATGTTTCAGGGTTTACTCACAGTGAGGCGGAAGTGGTCCTTGTGTTTGTTGTGAACAGTGTCGGTAAAGTGCTGGTCGCTGGGTTGAGGTAGTCTGTTCTCTTCGTCCAGGATGTCCAGGATGCCGATCACCTTCGCCTCCACCAGGTCTGTGAAGAAAGCATGAGAAGCGTGAGAAAAGAAAAGCTACACTGCCTCTGCTTCGTTAATGAGGCTGCGTCGGATTACCTGAGGCTCCTCCCGATAAATCAACGTGCCAATATTATCGGCTGATATGAGCTTCTAAATCTGTGTTGAACATCCGATAAATTACATTTTAAAAAGAACGGACAGACGGATCCTTAAATAATGTTATGAGTGTTGCTTTTAAATAGTTTGTCCACCAGAGGGCGCTCTGCAACTCCCATGATTGCAACACAAATGTTTGGAAAGCCACTAATCCACCACAGCAATCAGCTGTACTTTTGTTCAAAGCACTATCCATAACAATAATAAAGTGCATTATGTCATGTTATCTTGGTGAGGTCGCATAACTACACATAATAAATGTCGGGGATAAACTTGAACTCTGAAAAGAAGAAAGAATATCAGGCGATATATCGGATTTTCAAATCCTCAAATATCAATAATCGGTATTGGTTTTGAAGAAAAACTTAGGGATGCACCGAATGTTCAGCCACCAAAATTAATCGGCTGAAAATAGTTAAAAAAACACTTTCGGTGTTCGGCTTAATAAGTCAAAACACCGATTAAATTTTACTGAATAATTACGTTGACGTGTCGGCAGTGTGGAAGCATTTTAAAGTGTCTGAGAAAGACGCAAAAATGTCCGTTTGCAGACGCTGTTCTGCTGAATCGTCTCCTGGCACATCCACTCCATCTGTGGCTGACTTCTTAGAAAAGACAACAAGCGGTCTGACCCGCTTTGAGTGTTTCTGTCACTCGTTTGTGAGAAGGCGATTAGGCTAGCCGCATCTTAATTTGGAGTGCACACGTATTCAAGCCTTTATGGTAAATCCACTGAAAGGATCCACATGTGACAACGTCCGGTTTTCAAAATAAGGCGTCCGTACAGGATGGGAATAACATTAATTGGATTATATTCACAGAAAGTATAAAAACACATTAGATGTGTCCATTAAAAGTAAATAGACCATAGTCTCTCCAAATCCGGTGGGAGTCACTGAGTAAAAAGCACATTTTCACTATTTAATTTATGCACCGGTAAAAAGAAATTGGCAAAATAAATGGAAAAAAAACAAACATACGTTGGGTAAATGAGTAGTACGTTCAAAAGGTTTTTCAATCTGTGCAGTAGATTTTTCAGCCGGCAGCCGCAACCTGGCTGCAGTGTCTGCAATGTGTTTCTTTGAGGCAACTGTACCCGTCAAAATGGCGTCCACAGAAAGTGCTTCTTGTAGCCAGCGACAGCCTCACACTGTTACACCAGGTGTCGGACAACATCATGGAAAGGTTCCCCTACGAGGGACTCCCGGTGATACCCTTTGTTTTTTTTTTTTAACAAGGAACTGAAGTCTTGCTCAAGGACAATTTTCACTCTGAAATCTTGTGAGAGGCGAGTGGTTGCAGGAAGACATCGTTTCTCTGTCCGTCCCTCAACTTTACCTGTTCACTCTTATAGCGTCGATTTCAAGAGTAAAAGTTGTAAAAAGCGGTGAACATAGTGGAGCATTTAGCAGCTAAAGAGCAAGATTTTTCCCTCAGGAGTTGGTGTAGAGACCAAAAATAAGGATAACAAATTTCTGAATAAGTAGCGAATTAATAAACCCAAATTCACTGCATGACTGAATGAATAAACGAACATAAAAGGACTTTGTTTTTATGAGATTTTCCATTAGTTTCTTTTAATTTCTACTTAGTTTTGCATGCAGCCATGTATCTACTGTGTGTACAGATCTAATTTTCTGCTACATCAAGTTTGATTTTGATGTTCTCCCTGTTCTTGTGTGGACACAGTGGCCGCTTCCTTCGCAACACCCAACACGAACCCAAACAAACAAATACATTTTAGTAATCTACAGTTTCGAGCCAATGAACAGAGCTTATTGTAAACAGTCTGTGTTGGCCCGACCGCTGCCTCCCTCCAGCTGCCTCCGCTGTAGTTAAGCATCTAATATTGATGCTATTTCACAGAGCTGGACATCAGCAAAAACCCTAATTAACCTCATTCACCTCTAATCACCTCACATCCATCTCCCTGCATGTTTATGGAGTAATGAAGGCACATTTCATTCAGGACAGGAGTTCACATGCTCTGAGGCTTCATCACTTTGCCTCTTTACTCTGTGTCCATGAAACAGCACAGAGGGTCCAGGGTCAAACTGTGGAGAGGCAGCTCTCACAAAACTGAAGGCTCTGAGCCAGCAGCACATTAAGGCCAATAATGAGCAGCATGCTGCCGCTCGGGGCTCGTAAACACAGCTTTCAATGTTGCCTCCTCCTGTATAGCTTTAGAAGGTTATATGTGCACAACCCCTGAATGGGAAAATGACAAACAGGACGACTAAAAAGTAAAACCAGCAGCAGCAGCAGAAACCCACCAAACCTCCGGCAGAGACTTGACAGTCTATCTGAAAGAGCCTTAGAGATTAGATGATACAGCTGTGTAACAGATTGTAATGCAGAGCAGGAACAGAGGGGATACAAGGTCTAAGGTCTTGGCATTTAAGTCCAGATTTAAATCCCAAGTCAAGGCCAAAGGTAGGATCTAAAAGTCTAATGTAAAGACCAGCAAATCCATATAAAGACGGGTAAGTCGTAAGTCAAGACAGTTGAAAATCAGTCCCAAGTCAACACTAACAAGTTAAGACAGGAACGTTGCAAGTCCCATCTAAAGTTAGGATCAACAAGTCTTACATAAAAGACATGAAAGCCCCAAGTCAAGTCCTAAGTTAATACAGACTAGTTGAAAATCAAGATCCAAAGGTAAGATAGAAAATTAATAAGACAAGTCACAAGTTAAGTCCCACATCAAGATCAGCAACTCCAAGGTAAAGACCGGTAAGTCTCAAGTCAAGTCAGTTTAAAATCAAGTGCCATGGTAACACCTTTAAGTCCCAAGTCAACACCAACAAGTCCCAGGTCAAGACAGGAAAGCCACAAGTCCCATCTGAAGTCAGGATCAACAAGTCTCACCTTAAAACCAGCGAATCCATATAAAGACGGGTAAGTCTCAAGTCAAGAAAAGAAAGCCCCAAGTCAAGTCGGTTTAAAATCAAGATCCAACGTAAGAAGTTTAAGTCCCAAGTCAATACCAACAAGTCCCAGGTCAAGACAGGAAAGTCATAAGTCCCATCTGAAGGATCTACAAGTCTCACATAAGGGCATGAAAGCCCCAAGTCAAGTCCTAAATAAAGACAGACTCCTTTAAAATCAAGTTCTAAGGTAAGAGCTTAAAGTCCCTCAAGTCCCAGGTCAAGATCAGCAAGTCCGACATAAAGACGGGTAACTCTCAAGTCACGACAGGAAAGTCCCAAGTCAAGTCAGTTTAAAATCAAGTGCCATGGTAAGACCTTTAAGTCCCAAGTCAACACCAACAAGTCCCAAGTGAAGACAGGAAAGTCACAAGTCCCATCTGAAGTTAGGATCAACAAGTCTCACCTTAAGACCAGCGAATCCATATAAAGACGGGTAAATCTCAAATCAAGGCAGGAAAGCCCCAAGTCAAGTCAGTTTAAAATCAAGTGCCATGGTAAGACCTTTAAGTCCCAAGTCAACACCAACAAGTCCCAGGTCAAGACAGGAAAGTCACAAGTCCCATCTGAAGTTAGGATCTACAAAACAGTCATGGAAGCCCCAAGTCAGGTAAGAAAGAAAAATACTAAAGGCATGTCACAAGTTAAGATCTAAATGTTCCAAGTGAAGACCCGAGTCAAGGGGAAGAAAACCCATGAAAAGTCCCAAGAAGTCCCACAAGACTAAAAAGTCACAAATAAAGACCAACAAGTAAAATCAAGGACAAATATCCCTTGTCAACTGTGTAAACATAATGTCTTAACAGTTACTTTAGAGACTGCAGAAAGCTGATTAATTCACTGATTTATTTTGAATATTTCTAAGCACCATCTGGATATCTGAAGGATAATCTGACCTGTCGACAACACCAGTGTTACCTAAAATGTCTAAAATACTCTGTTTAGTTAGGGCTGAGTACACCTGCCTTTTTGTGTTCTTTTTTGCCTTCTAGTGGGTGTTGTAATGTACATTATGTTCTACACATGGGTAAAAAAAACACTGAACTCGAAAGCACTAACATGGAAGAGGAGCAACTGAAGCTGATCTGAATTCACAATTGTGAGTGCAGAACGATGAATGGCGTCTTCATACCTATGCAGTCCTGATTGTCGACATAGTGAACCTCGTTGACTCCGAGCCCCTCCCTCTGGTACAGCTCTTGCTCCTGGAATGCAAACAAGATATTTCTAATGAGAATCCATAAAGATACCGGCGTTGTGTACGGCTCTCGTCTAATGAGGGCTGGGATGAATCTGTGGATTCCGCCTGGAGGGCATTCTAGCTCTCTAACAAATGGCAACTTAGACCAGGTTTTCTGATATTACACTTGCAAGCAAAATGAGCATCTTAAGGTTACGGCTTTCACTCTGGATGTTGCTAACAGATGTTTCAGTGCCAACATCTCTGTGTGTAAATGAGGGTTTTTAAGGTCAAATGAAACAATGAACATTTGTGGGGAAAAAGCAACGAAAGTTAACCAAATGAAAGTCAAACACAAACCAAAATATCCTTTAAATTGCCCTTTTCTGAGTTATTTTAATGATGTTTGATCTTTAAGAAATCTGATAAGAAAGTTTAAAGACATATGGCTTTGATTTTGCAGACTGACTGGCTGATTATATCGTCTTCTTGATTTAAAACTTTGGTTTCTACAATCAGAACTACAATAACACGGTGACATTTCACACCTCGGGGTCGACAGCTGAACAGCATTGCTTTCACAATTTATTTAGTCAAAAACACCACTCCAAACAGTAAAACCATAATGGAGCCTGTGGCTTTCCAAGGTCGCCAACTGCTCAGCGCTGGCTGAGGATTAAGCACTCGATCAGTTCGTTATGTGAGGACCTTGAGTTACAAAACATTATATATCGAGCATCATTATTTTCTAAAACATAAATGTGGTGTTTTGGAACACTGCAGACGTGGACAGCATTAGTTATCACGTCGACTGTTGCTAATGGCTGTTTGTGTGCTGAAGACATCTGTAGGTTGAGTTTCATCCAAAAATAAGACAAAAGACCACTGGTGTTATGAAAAACTGAAAGCGACATAAAACTTTCTGCATCATGTTTCTGCAGCTGTTTGTTATCTGAAAGGTATTTTTAAGAGAAGCACAATTACAGGATGTTTTCATCCAGGTTGGTTTTGATTTTACATGAAGTGTAATCATCAGAAAGCATACTTTAAAAAAGCAAGTATTATGTTTTGGAATGAAACTCTCTACTTTAAAAGTGACCAAAGTTTTGGCTTGATGTTTGGAGGTGTCTGGGCTTTGGAAAATCAATACTTTAATTCAAAAATGCAACATCTACAAATTGAAAATGTGACACCTACTCGTGAAACACTGCTACCTACTCGAAAATAAGTGCTTACAATAATAAAAGCCTGTATCGTATCAAAGTCCTGAGTCATCCCGAGGTGTTTGCTTTGATTTGCCATGTTTGTTAAGTGCTGGCTGATGGATCTGAGGTGGTTGATTTGGCTTTTTTCCCCCCCTAAATGGAAAGAAATGTTAGATTCTTTAGAATAAAACCTGCTCTCACCTCTTTCAGGATGCGCTCATTGAAGAACTGCTGCAGTTTCTCGTTACAGTAGTTGATGCAGAACTGCTCGAAGCTGTTGTGTTCAAAGTACTCTGCACAACAGACAGAGGAGCAGATTACAGATCAGTTAAAGATGCTGCGTCACAGTCAAAAGAAATCTGACAGGTGAAACTACTTTAGGAAAGTATAGACGCCCCTTTGATCTCTCAACTTTCAGTTTTCAGTGTCTTTACAATACTCTAACATTTTGGTTCGTTTGTACCACAGGGACTTCCTTTTGATTTTATTTTGAAACTTTCTTCTCCGTCTCCTGAGGAGTCAAATGTCTTTTACCAGAACTCCTTAGGACATAACATAGGAAAGACCCTTAAACGCAGCTGTCACAAATCAAACAAAAATGTTTTGATACTAAAATATTTCTGTACAACACTGAACATCTGAACATCATGAACTTTAAAAGAGTATTTGTATATATGAAACTTTTTCTTTTATTACTGAAAAACATATTTGAGCTGAATACTTTCTGAAACCTTGAAAACATTCAAATTCTTACCCTGAAGATGTTTTGTTGCAACTTGTTCGTTGTTGAAAAGATCCAACAGTAAAATGTTTTTCAAGTAACTTTACACAAGAGGCTTTTAACCAGTTGTTTTCTGACTAAGTTTTTTGGCCCCGATCCCAGTCCTTTAATATTGGGTATCTGCCAATACAGAGTCTGATCCGAAACTTAAATTTCCATCTGAAATAATACAGCTATTAAATCTGACACACCTTATTCTTCATGAGCTACTTGATCCAATTACTGAAGGTCCTAGTTCAAAACTATAAAGTTGATAAGCTTAAAATATTAGCAATTAAAAGTGATACCAAATCCTTTCTCACATGCACACATGCTTATCTGCAGAACCCAGCTGAGATTAAGGAGAACTGCAACACTGATGTGAAAACACAGTAGAGTTCAGTAAAGAAATCGTCAGAATTTGATCTGCTTCGTGTTACCTGATACCTGATCCGTCCCAGGATACCTAGGATCGACCTCTCTAACTTTTACTTTTTAAATGTTATTGTTTCTGCGATGAAAAGAGTTTTGAGCGGTACTAACCAAAGCCGGCGATGTCCAGTACGCCGATGAAGTTGGCGGAGGAGTCGAAGGGGAAGCACTGGTTGACCCTGGTCACCACGTGGTCGAATAGGCGGCTGTACACGGCCTTTGCCAGGGCGTCCCGAGCGTTGTTCGCCTGCTCCACTTTGAGCGGCACTCTGGAAAACACACATCGGGATAAAAGTAAAGCGTCAAAATAATGTATAGCGTACTGAGTGTTTCAGTTTTGGAGAGTGCGTTCACTTTGTGTATATTTTAAAGAACAAGGGAGAGCGTGCGTTATCCCTTCGAGTGTTTATGCTTTACTGAACTATAACTGCTCTTCCCATGGTTCACTGGTCATATAGAATATCTCATTTACTACAAGAAAACTTACAGTTAAAGTGACACGGTAAGAGTAAATTTAACTTTGGCTCACTTACACTGAAAACTGATCTTGTAAACATGTTAAAATGTCTAAACTTCAAAAAAATGTGCTTGTGAAATGTTGTCTGGCGGATCCACTTTGAGCTGAACCACTCAAAGGAGCTGAGGGGTCAATTAAAGTTAAAGCAGTTGTAGGAGTTGGAGTTTCACTTGAAGGTGAAGTACCGAAAGGGGCTCAAGTGTCAGTTGTAGCAAAATAAACTGAATTTAAAAAAGGTCCTTTAATCTCATCTCAATTGCAAGAGATGCAGTCGTGAAATGCTGAATGGAAGAAACATTTCAAATAAAAACATTTCATATCATTCGAGGTCGATAATAATCACGATAAATGTCAAATCATTATTTCTTCCAAGTTTAAAGGCTGATTTTTGCACCTTAGTGAAAGTTGAAGAAACCAGATGGTTAATTATGTGGTTAAATTATTCTTTATGGTCAGAACAAACACTGGATCACTTCACAAATCATTCAACATTCAAAACAATTCTGATTAATCTTTTTCAACAAATATGATTAGTAATTCTTTTTCCTCAACAAAGTAAATATCTTAGTAGAAAAATGTATTTGTTTGTGATTCAAATGAATTAAATCTAAAAAATAAAGATTTATTGAACATTTTTTATATTTTTATTGAGGAAAACTATATTGTGATAATTATCAGTATTGTTTTATAGTTGAAAGCTCTGTACAAAGCAGCTGAAAGCTAGTAAGTGGACCATTGATTTTAGCTTATTTTGCTATGCATAAAGTACAGGTGAAAAGTTGTTGAAGTGGCATCCGAAATCTGCATAATCTGACTAATTAAAGTAATTAAAGCAAATAAAAGAACATGTTTCTGATACTTCACAAATGTGCCAGCAGTTGTCAAAAAGAAAAACATTTTGTTAATGTTTTTCTCAGGACTTGATGTCTCTTTAAATTTTTCTTATTTTCATTTTAAACAGTTTAAGCCAGTGTTTTCCAAGTTTCCAAGTTTTTTATCAAGTAAAAATTCACAGGTTTCAGTGTGAAATGTGAGCATTTGCTTCTTTTCTGTTTTATATCCCTGTAAATTGAGTTTTGAGTAGTTGTAGTTTTGAACAGCTCGACAAAACAAATCATTTAAATGTCTTTGCTGGAAAAATTTGGGCCAATTTTTAATAAAACATTTTATTTGAAAAAAACAAATAGTCAATAGTACATTTGAAGTAAAAATGCATTAAAAAGTACTGAAAAAGTACTAAGGCTCAACATCTAGCACTGTACAGGTCCTAAAGAAGTCATGAAAACTCTGACCTCAGCAACTCCTCTTCTTCGGCTTAATGTTGGCTACTTGAGAATATATGTTTAGATGCTGCTAAACACATTAAGCTACTGTGTAAACATAAATCTGTCTCTGAGGATTAAGTGAGTACTACAACTTCACCTGCAGACTAACATTCAGGCCAAACGAACAGGGCTGGCCTGACTTTCGAAGCAGATAATTGTGTTATTGACGGTTAGACAAAGAGAGATTGGATGCGAGGGAGCGGCCCATAAAGCGGTGACAGAAACCATAACCGGCAGCGAGCTCCGTGGAGGTATCGAAATTGCTTCTGACTGTGTGTGGTTCAATAGCGGCAGACAAAAGGGAGCGACCCGATCGCAGGGGCCAGATAAAATGTACCGCATTAATCTGCAGCGAGGCAGAAGTTTCTGCACAGGCTTCACCTCTTCACTGCACGACTGCAGCGCACTCAAGGACATATCGGGGAAATAACTCCACACGAGTGGCACCTCAGAGGCTCCCAAAAGTCAGAAGAACGACTTCCAAAATCCACCTTCCCCCCTTCCCTCTCTCTCTCTCTCTCTCTCGTTGACAATTTATCTCCTCTGCACATACCTTTTTAAGCCACATGCAGCATCACGGGGAATACTGGCGCCTGATCCCTCCAGGTGTCTCGGTGGTATTTCTCGAACACATTATGCTGTGATAGGACAACCTACTGAGCGAAGGGCAGACCCCCCCTAAAGCTGCAATCTGTAATTTACTTCTACATCTGCACTCTGAATACATTCCCATCCGATTTCACGATGCGCTGTGTATTTATACATTCATGCGTTTCCCATTTATATTCAAGCCCAGATGTAAAGGCTGCAACAGCCGTGTTTACCTGGCTGATACTTTCAGTGAACAAAGACGTTGGACGTACAGCCGACAGTTTCAGAGCTCAATCGCTGTGGAGATAAAAAAGCAGTCCATGTTGTTGCTTCTGTGCAGGTTTTGTATTTCTGTCCCATGTTTTTGAGACAAATCTGAAATTCAGACACAATCACGTCTTTTGCTTAGCGTCGTCTTTTCGTTCTCTATGGTCTTTTATTTCTGTTATCAATCTTGAACACATCCCAAACTGCCAGGAACGTATCCCTCCTGTCTAAACCGAGCAGGACACATTAAATATAAATTCAGCGAGAAATTCATCCTGCAAGTTGATGTTTAAAGTGTTATATTTTACACATTTTTACAACGTGTGAAAGTTTATTCTTGCCCTTAGAAATAATAGTTCGATGAAAAAAAAAAAAAAAAAAAAAAACTTAACTCAAGGTCTACTTACAAACCTTTTTCTGTACCTTTTCAGCTGCATCTCAAAAGCTCCATCCTCTTACGAAGGCCGTGACAATGCGGCTGGAAAATCTTAGTAACTGTACTATAGATTTATACCTTTTAACATTTTTATTTATTATATTTATGATGCTTAAATGGCAAAAAAAATACATGCATATATCACACAAAGTTGTAGCCCTGCGCACTGTGACACAAGTGTTTCACAAAGCTCGACAAAGTCACACCTGAGCAGGCGTTAAAACCTGACTTATCACCTATCAACACTTTCACAGCTCCTCACCTTCAACCCTGCCCTCTCTCCACTACCTGCCATGTTTAATCCATGCCGCCGGCTGCAGCTAGAGGTTTTAATACTCCGGTGAGGCCTTCTCATTTAAAAACCAAGAGGTCTAAATGCCAGGGCAGCATAATGTCAGAACATTAATCGTACAAGTAGCCTAATATGTATTCCCTATGAGCTTCTGCACCGTGAATGTTCCCCTCTCTCTCTCTCTCGGTGTAATTACTGATGTCGCTTTGTGTACAAATTGTGCTCTCTGAAGACGCCTGCTGGTCTGCAGCTGCTCCCTGGCTCTGTCCTCAGAAGACGGAGAAAAATGGGTTTTTAAATCAGAGGAATGTACCGAAATGAAACTGAGAGACATATTGTGATTCAGTTCTGCTCTACTACATCACATCACCAAGTCACTTCTCATTTGTAGACATTTGCAGCTCATCTACAGGTTGGAATTTGATAATACGTCAGGACTAAGCATATTTTTCCGCTTTGCTTTGGGCCTCCTTCCACAGTAAGCGAGCGCTTCTAGACAGAGTTATCGACAGAACCCAAGGTTTCTGTTTTAGGCAGCTGTGGCTCAGGAGGTAGAGCGACAGTTTGATCTCCCGGCTCCTCCAGTTTGCATGCTGAAGTGTCCTTGGGCAAGAGGTTGAACCCCAAATTGGGGAAACAGAGCTTTTTGAAAGGGCAGCTACGCTAAAATAAAATCTTTCTGTCACCTTTCAGCATGAATCGGGGTCTCTTGTTAGCTAGCTTGACTAGTAGTTAGCGTTGCTTGCCGCATGACTCAGCATTTCCTGACAGCAAACGTTAGGGTCTTACTTGGGCGTAATGTGAATCGGACTGAGTGTGGCCGTTTTACAGTGTTTAAACATGTGGACGTGTGTTTATTAGAGGAACAATTTACATTGTTAAGCTAACTGGAGAACTTTCCAACGTCAAATGAGAGCATATCTCCCTCCCAGAACTGATTTTCAGATTGTTATATTTGTTTGCCACTCGGCCGCCATCTTGGCAACGCCTCCGGGCAGCCATTTCGGACTAACAAGACCAGGCTCCTATCTGAATGAATGGGCAGAGAGCCAGAACTACAATTTCACTGGTCACCAGGACATAAAAACTACACGAACAGAATCAGCAGTAAAATCTGATCAAAATCGCTGAAAAAGTTTGACGACTTTTCCCCAAAATAAGGTTTAATAAGTTTTCCCGACACTTACGTCAGTGGAACCACGCGATTGGCTGAAATATGTTTCCACCTTTGGCTGTTAAAAGCACAAAGACGATTGGCTTTCTAGCAGGAGGGGCCCTCAGATCTTCCCCGTCAAGGGCCACTTTTAAAAGACCTTTTGTTCCAACGGTGTTTGAGTCTCCTTAACTATTAAATGTCTCTGTAAAGCTAATCTAGAAGTAGAAGTGGGTACTTCATCACATTGATCCCAAAATCCAATATACCCACAGACCAGTCATAATCAATACGGACCAGTGCTTTCAGGGCAAACCTGGTTAAATCTTTCCGAGTTTCAATCACAGATGGATTGAAAGGCCAATCGGGAAAAGAGTCACTTGCAAAATGTTTATTGTCTTCAGTGTAGCCACAGAGCAAATGTGACCAATGCACCCAAAGATGGATTTTCTTTTACCCTTGAAATTATTGTTTTATTTTAGATGTCTGAGGAGGCAACTTTTTTCCTTACGTTTAATTATTTCACGATCCCTCAGATTTATCTGAGGTTGGGAGCACAATTCATTTGAGAATAATTGAAATTTATAAACGAGTGGGAGCTTGGGGGCAGAAAAAAATCCAAACATCTGAATTAAATGAAGTTAGAGAAGAGAGAAGTAAAGGGTGGAATTTAAATGTTGTGAGGCCA